CTCGGATGAGAATTTAAAAAAAAATAGAAAGTTGCCATTGGTTTTGAGAGTTCAACGCTGGCCCTGTTTTCTCCATAATTTCTGTTGTTTTTGGTGCACAATTTTGCAGAAAGCACTATTTCACATTTTAGCAGAAATACCCCATTTGCAACACATATATCTGTTGGGCTTCATTGGTACTAAGACACAATTATTTCACATTTTAACCTCTACAATTGGAATGCATCTTCCAACAGATGGAACCTTTCAGTTATAGTTGTTAGGTTTTTTTTCTTTTTCAGGGGGATAAAATAATGGTGCATTTCAAAAGCTTGTGTTTCCTTAGATTTGACGAAATACCACAGTATCCAACAAGTAAAGAACTGCAAAGCAGATTAAAAAAGACAAGGAACCCAGTAGAAAAGTAGCAAAAAAGACTTGAACAGCTGCTTGACAACAGAAGAAATCTCTGTGGCTAGGAAATCTATGGAAAGGAATGTTTCATAAGGCAGTTGCTCCAGAAATACCCGAGATGCCTTCACATGCTTAGCATCTGACAGAAGGGTAAAGGCCTGATGGGTGTCGATGGGGACACGAGATGCAGATGGCGTGATTTCATCCCCGTGAAGTTACAAAACGGGCACAGCTAGGCCGTGTTGCTTAGAAATGCATTGTTTAGTTAGCAAAAAACATTTTAAGAAAAGGAAATTGTCACCAGTGTCAAGATGGTGACTACCTTTGGGGGTGAAAGGAGGGAGAAAGCTGGGATTAGAGGCATCCAAGGGGGCTTTTGGGGTCATGGTAATGTTCTGTTTCCTTTGCCTTATTATACCTTGTTCACATATAAATTTTATGTACTCTTCTGTAGGTCTCAGAATAAAATTAAAAATGGCGAATGATCAGTTGTGCCAAATGTTGTTGGTAGGTCAGGGAAATGAGAACTGACCACTGGTTAAGCAAAGTGGAGACTCCTGATGCACACAGCTGTCTCAGTGGAGAGGCTGGGGCAAATCCCATAGGAATGGGCTCCAGAGAGAACGGAGAAGAGAAATTGAGACATTGAGTCAACAGAACTTGTTGGAGGAATTGTTATGTAAAAAGGAAAAACTGGTGACTGGAGGGGGTGTAGAAAGCTTTGCATTAAATATGCAGAGTATCAGGATAATAGAAAGATAACTTTTCTGGAATGTTGAAGGCAGTGGGGGTAGCACAGGGGAAGGGAGAACTCTGTGTATGGGAGGCATTTGGAGGGAAGTGAAAATTGATAATACTTAACATTTGTAAAGAGAATTAACTTTACAGCTACTTTGTAAATCTGGCAACATGTATGTTTGAATCGCACATAACATTTCATATTTACTGCTGGAAAGAAGCATGAACCAGCTTACTCAGCACCACTTTGCACAAGGAATGGAGCCCAGAGGGATTCCGTGCTGGCTTAAAACTGTGCCATTACTAGTAATCCCAGACTAAACGCTGAGTTGCCCCTGCCCCTTGGGTTAGTACTCTTTGTATAGTACTATCTATAATGCGGTTTTCTTTTAAACGAGGTTTTATATAATCACTATGTTTTACAGTAGAGTTTATGTGGATAATATTTCAATTAGCCTTTTCTGCATAACAGACCACCCCAGAACTTAATGGCTTAAAACAACCATCATGTATTATTTCTCATGATTCCGTGAGTGGGCTGAGCTCAACCAGGGCCACTCAGGTGGCTGTAGTCACTGGCAACTCAGCTGGGGTTGGGGCGAAGGTGGCCTCACTCCCATGGCTGGGCCGTGGTTCTGTCGGCTGGCTTGAGATCTCACATCGTCCTGGAACTAGACTGGACTTCCAACTGGCAGTGAGAGCGTCCCAGGGTGGCCACGCCGGACGCCTCGCCCCCTGAGCTGCTACGGCATCACAGCCTCCACACCAGAGTATTCAGAGCAAGTTGTAAATCTCGTCCAGGGTCAGACTGAGACAACAGGCCCCACCTCGTGATGGAAGGAGGTGCAAGACATCATGGCTGTAAAATTAAATTACAAATTTTAAATGTAATCATTTAACTTATTTTCTAATGTTAATTTTTACTTCTTATGGCGCTAAAAGCTGTTGATTTGGTGGAATCTAACCGTAGTTTTAGTCCAAAATTTGACAATGAAAACTGTTATGTTAAGAAATAAGAAGTTATGTTTTCCAGATTTTGTATCTTCTGTGATGTAAAACAGATCAAGAAATGCTCATTTTTATAAAAGCATGGGGGTAAAATGCATCGATATAATCTTTGTTGCTTAGAATGTTGGATTAGTAATTTTCTGATATTATTACCATTAATGTTTTATTATCACCTTCGTGACTTTTTTTCACATTACAGACTATAATAGAATGCAGTACAACTAAAAAGTAAGAGCAATGAATAGTTTCCCATGAATTAATTTATAATAATAGTGTATTGCTGGGCACTGTGCTAATTATATCGGTGTAAAATGTCACTTAATTTACTTGACAACTGTCTATATTGTGTACCTATCGGGATTCTTACACTGTGCCAAGACTCGGGGCTGTTGCCCCGAACCAAGCAGACATGGCCCCCACACATTTCCTTACCCTGGCTGGGAGCCAGCGAGCCTTCTCTAACGCAGCTTCTGAGCCAGGACCTGAAGCCTAAGTAGCAGCCAGCTGAGCTAAGAGCGGGTCAGGGAGCAGGAAGTCTTCGTGGAAAGGAAGGGAATAGGCAGTCTTCCGTGGGAAGGAAGGGAATAGGCAGTCTTCCGTGGGAAGGAGGGGAATAGGCAGTCTTCCGTGGGAAGGAGGGGAATAGGCAGTCTTCCGTGGGAAGGAAGGGAATAGGCAGTCTTCCGTGGAAAGGAAGGGAATAGGCAGTCTTCCGTGGAAAGGAAGGGAATAGGCAGTCTTCCGTGGAAAGGAAGGGAATAGGCAGTCTTCCGTGGAAAGGAAGGGAATAGGCAGTCTTCCGTGGGAAGGAGGGGAATAGGCAGTCTTCCGTGGGAAGGAGGGGAATAGGCAGTCTTCCGTGGGAAGGAAGGGAATAGGCAGTCTTCCGTGGAAAGGAAGGGAATAGGCAGTCTTCCGTGGGAAGGAAGGGAATAGGCAGTCTTCCGTGGAAAGGAAGGGAATAGGCAGTCTTCCGTGGAAAGGAAGGGGAATAGGCAGTCTTCCGTGGGAAGGAAGGGAATAGGCAGTCTTCCGTGGGAAGGAAGGGAATAGGCAGTCTTCCGTGGGAAGGAGGGGAATAGGCAGTCTTCCGTGGGAAGGAGGGGAATAGGCAGTCTTCCGTGGAAAGGAAGGGAATAGGCAGTCTTCCGTGGGAAGGAAGGGAATAGGCAGTCTTCCGTGGAAAGGAAGCTTGGTCACGGACCTCGGAGATAAGTGAGTGCAGGGAACATGAAAAGAACTGGAAAAAATCTATTATGCTACCATCTAGAATGTGGAAGGGGTGGGGCGAGAGAAGCTGGAGCGGTCGAGTCGGTTTTATGCCAGGGGTCATGGGCAACCATTGCTGGGTTCCGGTTTTGCTCCGATTTTCATTTTAGAATGTCACTGGCTGCAGTTTGGGTGACGGGTGTAGCCAGGGAGGAGAAGGGTTGACTCTAGGAGACCAACAGGCAGACCGTATGAATCAGGTGGATGAAGACAGGCTTATAAATCCTAGAGGTATTTAGGAGATGGAATCACAGACTTGGTGACTGGATGTGGCGTGGGGGGAGGAACCCAAGGAGACGCCGGGTCGGGCTTGGGCGCCCCCAGAGGAGGCATCCGTGTGTGGGACTTGCTGCAGCATCCCAGCTCCATTCCAGGTTAAATACCTGGAGCTTTTTATTCTCTGGTATTTGAAATGACATTTTTAATATCAGTTCATAAAAGTATCAAGTTTTGTTCAGTAAAATTCAAAGGGAGAAATGCTGCTATAACCTGAATGTGTACCTTGGGTCTGAAAGACTTTTACAGTTGACCTTTGAACAACACGGTTTGACCTGTGCAGGCCCACTTATATGCAGAATTTTTTCCATTAATATGCAGTCAGCCATCCATATCCTCAGGTTTTGATCGGGAATTCAACCAACTGTGGACTGAAAACTGTTTTTGATCTGCGGCTGGGAACCCACAGACGCGGAGGGCCGGCTGTGTGCATCGTTCTACACCATTCCATATAAGGAACTCGAGTGTCCGTGGGGTTTGGTGCCCGCAGGGTGTCCTGGAACCGATCCCCATGGATACCAAGGGACGGCTGTAGTTAAGTTCTAGGGGAGTCAGGGGGTACACGTGGATTTTCAAGTGTGTGTCGCGGGGATGGCAGTGCCCCTAACCGTGTTGTTCAAAGACCAGCTTTACTGGAGCATGGATTCCTTAGTAGACAGAAACTCAGTGCTCTGTTGCTGAGTTTCACTAAACAGTGTGCTTACTGCATAATTTTTAAAAATCACTTGAAGAGAATAATAGCTAAGAAGTAATATGTGAATACCTCTGTTAAGCCTTAAGCCTTTTTATTCATTTGTCTAAAATAATTTTATAATTAATATTTTCCAAGTTTTTAAAATAGAGTTCAGTAAGAGAACTTAAACAATGTTTTTCTCTTTTAATTGTCCTTCATGCCTCTAGTTAATAGAATATTACTTTCTTTTCTCTAAGGAAGAAAAAAATACATAAGATACCTACATAAAAATGAAGCCTATCATTGGTGGATTGTGTTAAGTAATGATAATGGAGGTTTAAAAGATCTAATGTTGTATCTTGGAGAGTTAAGCTTTCTCTGACACCAAAACTTTGTAGTCTTTATAGTTTTGAATTTCATGGCTCTCTGTAGATTTTGTAAAAGTACATTGACTCTTCATTATTTACTGTCCTGCTCTCACTGAGAATGTTAACTCGCCTCAAGTGTTCGGATCCTCATTCTAGGAGGTGCAATATATTCAGTGGTCTGTTTCTCCCTTGTGTTCTGCATATTCTATTATTCGCAATATTTTAGTTTAAAGCACTTTACAACCAATTTTTTTTTCTTGTTTTTTTCCCCTTAGGCACCACAAGGGCCCCCAGGGATGGGGAAGTCCCAGGGGTGGACTATAATTTCATTTCTGTTGAACAATTCAAAGCACTGGAAGAGAGTGGAGCGTTATTAGAAAGTGGAACGTATGATGGTATGTCCCCAAATATTGACAACAGCAACCCCCAAAACTACCTTAACGACTGAAATTCTTTCAGAGGGAATTTGATCCGTAAAATACCATTTTATAAATAAGTTTTTTCTGTCGGTTTTGGGGAAATTTTTCTTTTAACTAGCGTAATTATAATTTACTAGTTAAAATGGGATTATACAGTAAGCAAGAGCATTTCATCATATTATGAAGTCAATTATGGATAATATACAAAAATTATTCAAATTAGCTTGCTTGCATATTTCATAGTAATTTACATTTGTCTTCTGAACTTAGCAAGTGTTTGTAGTTTCCTTTCTATTTGTGATTGAGAATTCAATTACTGTACACTTTTAAAAAATCTATTTATACCTTGGCTGGCTTGGAGAAAAGAGAATATAGATTGGAGAGGAAAAACAACAGAAACAGAATAATTCATTTTCTTTTCATATCTCTTTTCTCTACCCATTTGATTCTAGGAAGTACAGATTTAAGGTCAATTTCAATTTTTAAATGACTCTACGTTAGGTCCTTTTTCCCTTATGTAACACTCTTCACGGGCAAGCTCCCATAACACGCTATGCTGTTCCATCATTGCTTTGTCATGCAGCTAGAACTGCCTTTTTTATAGGCTCAGGGAAGGAAGACATCGCGTCTTTTTATTTTTTTAATTGATTTAGAGGAAGGGGGAAAGAGAGAGAGAGAGAAACATCCATGTGACAGGGAAACATCAATCAGTCGCCTCCTGTATGCACCCTGACAGGATCGAACCCACAACCTGGGCATGTGCCCTGACTGGGAATTGAACAAGCGACCTTTCAGTGCACAGGACGATGCGCAACCAATTGAACCACACTGGCCAGGGCCATCATGTTTTTCTTATGCAATATTATCTTCAATGCTCAGAGATGATGTTTAATAAATATCTCACCTTGATTGCAACATATTCAAATATGTGTTTGTGTTCAGCCCAAAAGATCCATGCTTCATCATTTCTCTCTTTAGCGACACCATGAGTTCATAGCATCATTTACTTCCTTTTTCTCACAGTTCCCATCTATTCTATTACCAAATCTAGTCATTCCTCCCTCTGTGGCAGCTTCCTGGGTGCCTTTCTCCTCGCTTTGCCTCAGGGCAGGCCCCCTGCACTGGCCCCTGTCTGGGCTGTTGAGTTCGTGTGGGTTTCCGTTCCTCCCCTCCGTCACGCCACCTGCCGTGGCCCCCTTGCTGACACTCCTCAGACACAGTTCTGGGCCCATCTCTCCCTCTTCAGAATCTTCAGTGCTTTCCTCTGCCTGCTAGGTTTGACCCAACTACCCTTTCTGAACTTGGCTCCAACAAATTGATCCATTCGATCCTTTTTTTATCCATTCAACCCATTTTTTAACTCCCGTCTATGTGCCGAGCAAGCATTATCGGAGGGACTGGAGGGACTGTGGTGAATGGTAATAAATCCTGTATCTTAGTGGGGAAGCCAGTCAGAACAAACAAAATAACTATACATTGAGATGTTATAAAGGAAACAAAAACAAGGGATTTAAATAAAATAATAGGAATGTCTTATTTAGATAAGGTGGCCAGTGAAGACTTCTCAGAGGAAACGGCAGCTACTTATTTCGTATTTTATGCAGATGACCTACTCTCCTTCACCTCCCTTTTATAGGCAGCCACTGCGATGTGTTTAATATGTATGTTTTCTTTGTATGTGTTCTTGTCTTGTGTGATATATTTATTATTTACACCTGGACTCTGTTCTCATTCAGTTTTAACTGTTTTCACTTATTTCTGTTTTTATTATTATTATTTTATTGTTGTTGTTAATCCTCACCCAAGGATTTTTTTTCATATATGTTTTAAAAATACAGTGGAAGGGAGGGGGGCGGATGGAGAGAGAGACATCGATGTGAGAGAGACTCATTGATTGGCTGCCTCCTGCACTACCCCAGTCGGGGCCAGGGATTAAATCTGCAACCCAGGCAAATGCCCTTGACTGGGAATCAAACCCACAACCCCTCTGTCAGTCCTTGGGCCAATGCTCTAACCATTGAGCAAAACCGGCCACGGCATATTTCTATGTTTTAAGATTCATCCATGTTGCTATGCTCTCTTTGCATGTAACTCATTGCTTTTTAACTGCCGCACAGCACTTGATTGTGAGTCCACTGCATTTCCACGTTGCCTCCGGCGCCCCATCCCCACCGATGAAGCTGCAGCAAACATTGTTGCATGTTTTCTCGTGGGCCTGTGTGAGAATGTCTGTGGAATGCATCCCCGAGAGCAGAATTGCTGGGTTCAACACCTGTTATAGACCTATCTGATGAAGCGGTTCCGGGCGGGGTGGCTCTGCGGTCTCCATTCCCGCCAGCAGTACACGAGGGTTTGGTTCCCGTGGAGCTGCAGTCCTGGCTCCGCAGCCTCAGCAGCTCCTGGAAGCATCGCCCTTTACAACTGTGGGGTCTGACGGCTGTAGGATAGGATCGCGTGAAACTTCAGTTTCTCCGAAAGCCAGTTGGAGCGTCTTTTCAAGTGCTTGTTAGTTTTTTGGACTTCTGCAAATTGTCTTTTTTTTTTTTTTTTAATGAGCTCTCAATCACATCAGTTAACAGACATTTCTAAGGTATTTAGATATTAATCCCTTATTGGATATGGATATTTTCTCCCATTTTTTCACCTAATAACCTTTCCTGTGTTTCTTCAGTAAACAGAAATCCTAAATTTTCATTTATCAGATTTATCACTGTTTTCCTTATGATTTATACTTTGGAAGTTTTGTCTAAGAAGTCCTTCTGTACCCTTAGATCACAGATATTCTACATTTTCTTCTGTTAAGTATAAGAACGTGTTAGCTATATGACAAAGTGGCATATTACATGTTATCGATTACCATGTGCTCCATTCAAAGGAAATGCAAATTGAAATAACAGTCATACATCATTTCACGCCCAACACATTGACAGAATTCTTCAAGTCTGATCATTGAGGGAGATGGAAGCTCCCAAACACAGCTGGCGAGAGTAGGAAATGATACAATCCCTTTGGAGAGCATCTTGGCAACAGCTAGTAAATTCAAAGATGCGCGTGACTCGGGCGCAGCGATGCCGACTCTCGAGAAGCCTGTGTATTCGCGTGTGCAGACGGCGCCAGCAGAGTCCCTGTCGCACTGTAGGAGGCAGTGAGAGGATGCAGACACCTATCTTCTAATAGGGGGGTGAATAAAATACATTTTAATTTGTTCATAAAAATGGACTGTTCTACAGCAGTTAAATGAACTAGAAGCTACGTGTCAACAAGAGTCTTAGAAATATAATTGTACAATAGGAAAGTTGCAAAAGGATGCACACAGTAAACTGCTTAAAAAAAATAGGAAATGTTACAAGGACGCTTTACAAAGCTTTTATGGACAGTGGTGTTTATACTTTTGTGTGCATATACATATGTCCTCGATGGGCGCAGATTCAGGGAAATGACACGTGCTGACTTCAAGAAAACTCGGAGAGTGGGAAGGACAGAGACAGGAAGTTAGGGCTTGAATAGCGTATGTGACCATATATGTATATCCTTAGAGGGAAAACAAGGGGAGACCTGAAAGAATCTGGCAAGTTACTATCTGGAGGATTTGTAAATAAATATATGCGGGGGTTTCTAGTACTCCTGTAACACTATTGTCTGTGAGTTACACATGTTTAAATTAGCTAATAGTTCCATTGTGAAAGTAAAAACACTTTCAGCTTTTCTGAAAAAGAGAAAAAGAAAAATCTCCAACACAATTTCAAAAGGATGAAAACATATTTCTGTCAATAACTAAAGCCAGGGTCCCAACTTTATAATTGTATACCTTGCTGTAATCTGCGATTTTGGTTTTTACCAACAACTCAAGAAAAACAGATCCAATTTAGTTATAAGCATCCTTATTATTAATACCAATTTTTTTGTAAAACAAGAAAACTGCCAGAATTTATTATCAAGTTCTAAAATCTTATCATTGATCATGGATAATAATCATAACATACTGAATTTTTCTAGTTTTCACCCTAGAAAAAAATTAAACTTCCTCGAGCCAGGTAATAATTACTAAGAATACACACTAAAATATGTTTCTAGGTAAACTACCATCCTTAGGAAAGTGGGCTTTTTGGGTGTGGTACGTCCAGGTTCCACGGCAGTGTGGCGATTGGACTAAATGCAGGAGGTCCCAGAGCACCCTCTTCCCCAGCCAGACCCCGTTTGGGAGCGTTTCTCTCCCTTTGCCCCAGAGACATGTGAACTGGCTTTTTCATCAGTTCCTTGCTTTACTTCCGGGTCAGAAAGTTTGCCGAGATCCCATTAGTCTGTTTTCAGATGAATCTTGGCATCCATCTGTATGACAGGAGTAACTATTTCAAACCCCGATTTGAAACCGAGGGAGTGGTGGAGTGGGGTAGAGAAGAGATGCAGTTGAAAAGCTGTTTATTTTAATTTCACTGTATTGTCTGGAGTATTTAGTGTATACCACCTAAAGTCAAATTTCCAAAGAATTCCTCTTAACGCTTTTCCCCTCCAGCATGCTCCAGCTAAGGCAAACTATGTCATTTGTAGATTTGCCTCAGTGTTATGATCAACAATCCATGCTTTTTTCATCTAGGAAAAATAATCCATTATATGCCCCATTAATTTACCTTATGGGAATGAGCATCTTAATTACCTCCTTAGGAACCAAGGAATTCAATTAGAAAGATGTGATTTAAAAAATAAAACAAGGTCATGAGTCTTTTACTCCATAATCATATATATATCTTCCTATAACATTAGCATAGTGATTGATAAACAAGGTCAAAAACTAGCAGGAGCCACAAACTTAATGTAGCCAGATCTGTTGAGCCCTTTCCCATTATATTTGGCTGCCTAATGAGAGCTACATGACAAACTGAGAAGATATTCAATTGTTTTCATTCTACTCTGGAACATTTATTTTTACTGCGAAAATTACTGATCCTCAAGTCTTAACATATTAAAGTATTTCTTGCATTCCTGAGAGTAAGCCAATATTGAATTATGCTAATAATGTCTCTATTTGTTCAACAAATTGTCAGATAAAATGATATAATTAGAATCAGAGGAAAACTTAAAAAAATTACTTTGACAAACAGCCTACATTTCAACACAGACTGGTTAGTTCTTAACTTTATCCTTTGCCCACATACTTCCTCATTTTGCCAGAATAGTTTATTATGTTGTACATGAGAACAAAATTACTTGAGTTAGTTTTCTTCTCCTTTACTCCCACTTTTATGCCAGTGAGTCTTACCCAAGAGCATTGATGCCTTCAAATTCACACATCAGGCCCTTCTCGAGAACCCATGCAGAAAAGCAAGCCCTGTTAGAATAAATAACCTGTACACACACAGTCAACTTCCTGGCATTATATGGTGAAGGGCACTTAAAAAATTAGTTATTTTTGCTCTTTCTACCTCCTCCTCTTCTTCCAACAAGTGTTTTGGCCTCCTTTTGGCCAGTGGTGGTTATTCAAAAATGTCAGTATAAAATAACAGGGCAGAGACGTACACTGGTCCTATTGTTCTGACTCTCAATTCAACATTAGTGTTTCCAGCTGCTGTTACTTTGTTCTTCAGGAAACTTCTATGGAACTCCCAAGCCTCCAGCAGAACCCAGCCCTTTCCAGCCCGATCCTGTGGACCAGGTCCTCTTTGATAATGAGTTTGACACAGAATCCCAAAGAAAACGCACGACATCTGTCAGCAAGATGGAAAGGATGGACAGCTCTCTTCCTGAAGAGGAAGAAGATGAGGACAAGGAAGCTGTTAATGGCACTGGAAATGCAGGTTCGTAAATAGACGAACAACGTCTAAGTGATCTCCCAGGTTGACTTGAACATGACACTGCAGTGGAAGTGGTAGAATTTTTCCACAGCACATGCAGACTGAGGGATAGGATTCCAGTATTTTTTCTAAAGGTTTTGTGTGGAACAAAGGGTATCTCTGTCGATCATTTTGTAAGCTGAAGTGAGTTCCCCCAAGTGGTCATCTTAATAAATCAGTAATAAGCTATCACTAGTAATAATATGACATTACCCTACTGCTTAAAAGATTTGAGATTCATTTCTGATGGAATATGGAAATCTTGTTGGCCTAAGCCCTACTTTACAGGATATGAACAAAATATAGATGTTTTAAGATACAGGCTTCAGCCCTGGCCAGTTTGGCTCAGCAGTTAGAGCATTGGCCCGCGGACCAAAGAGTCTCAGGTTCGATTCTGGTCAAGGGCACGTACCTCTGTTGTGGTTTGATCCGGCACTGGTTGGTGTTGTGCAGGATGCAACCATCCTATGTGACGTGTCTCCCTCACATCGATGTTTCTCTCTCCCTCCCTTCCTCCCACTCTATCTGAAAATCAAGGGGAAAATATCCTCAGGTGAGGATTAAAAAAAAAAAAAGGAAGATACAGCTGTCTGCCCTGGCCGGTTTGGCTCAGTGGTTAGAGCGTCAGCCTGTGGTCCAGAGAGACCTGGGTTCGGTTCCCGCTGAGGGCACATACCTCGGTTGCAGTTTGTCCCTGGCCCTAGTTGGGTCGTGCGGAAGGCAACCACTTGATGTGTCCCTTTCACGTCCATGTTCCTCTCCCTCTCTCTCTCTTTCTCTCTCTCTCTTTCGTCCTCTCTCTCCCTCCCACTCTATCTGAACAAAAAATGAAAAAATGTCCTTGGGTGAAGATTAAAAAAAAAAGGATACAGCTTTCAACCAAAACAAAATACAGAACTTTGGAAATATGCTAGTCAACATTATTTGAAAAGTTTGTTAGTAGTACTTTGAGTTTAAATTTAGAATCACTCAAAGAAAATTTCCGAGTTTGAGTCTCATATTTTTCATTAAATGCACAGCCAACAGAAATTTACTAGTGTAGAATCTTCTCCTTTTGAGTACCCCTAAGACTGTGGTGATTTGCCTAGGAGACTTACACTATTAATTGAGAATATTTCTAAGTGAGTATGAGGAGGAAACCACAGAATCCCAGTAGAACTAATTTCAGTGCTATGTATTATAATAATTCCACTTAAAACACTACAATATAAGCTTATTGAGGGTTAGGATGTTTGCTTGCTTTGTTCATTGTTATATCTATCCCTTGCACCATAAACAGTGCCTGCATGTAGCAGGAACTGAAAAGTGTATGTTATTGGTACCCAATAAATGAATTAATTTGGTCACATCCCCAAATTTGCAGAACCTATTACCATATTATGTGCCCAGAGCATCCTGATTAAAATTTGCCATGTATACTGTGTTGATTGTTTTACTTTATTTTATTATTTATTTATCCTCACCTGAGGACTTTTTTTTTGTTTTTTGTTCAGATAAAGTGGGAGGGAGAGAGAGGAAGAGAGAGAGAGAGAGAGAGAAACATCGACGTGAAAGGGACACATCGAGTGGTTGCCACCCACACAACCCAACCAGGGCCGGGGACAAACTGCAACCGAGATACATGCCCTTAATGGGAACCGAACCTGGGTCTCTCTGGACCGCAGGCTGATGCCCTAACCGCTGAGCCAAACCGGCCAGGGCTGTGTTGATTGTTTTAATGCGTTCATTGTTTGCATCCCTTTCCAGAGTGTGAGTCCTGTGCCATAGTCCTAACGTCTCACATAGTTGTGCCACATTATGTGTTTGATGTTTAATATTTTACCCCAGTATATTTGGGTGAAAACAGGGCTAAAAAGGTTTAGGTGAATTCACATCTCATGCTTTAGGGGTTATTAAAGGAAATCATCATATTGTAGAGCCTTTGACATTGATGTCAGCTTTGCTGACCCACAAAATTAAGTCTGTTAACATTTTTAAATGTTTAAGGCTGAGATTGGAGACCATGAATGTGTCCAGTGTGGGAACGTATATGTTCTTGGGTCGGTAGGGCAAGGAGGGCACGGCAGGGCGTGGATGGGGGTGAGGAGTGGGGGCGGGGGACGTGGTGGGATTGAAAAATCCCAGTGCCTGGTTAGGTAAAGAATGCATGGACAGAGATACTGTAAGGATAAGGAACGCTGTGCAGTGATGTCTGAGGCCTCCTCCAAGAGTCTCTGACTCTGAGGCACTGACTACAGTTTGGAGTTATTATAGTTGTGCTGTCTTTTAAGTTCCAGAAACAAGTTTCAAGTGCATGAATTGTGCACTCCCTGGACAGTAACCCAATTTTAGCTCAATCTTCCCTACCTCATGGACTTTGGAACTCTAAAAGGATTTTAATATCACCAGCAGAGAATTAAATTTAACAACAGAAAGTCTTTTGAGTGTAACTTTAAAAAATTAGTGTTACTTTAATTTTTTTTTTTTTTTTTTTATCCTCACCCGAGGACATTTTTCAATATTTTGTTCAGATAGAGTGGGAGGGAGAGAGAGAGAGAGAAATATCAATGTGAAAGGGACACATCGAGTGGTTGCCACCCACACGACCCAAACAGGGCCAGGGACAAACTGCAACTGAGGTACGTGCCCTTAGCGGGAACCAAACCCAGGTCTCTCCGGACCGCAGGCTGACGCTCTAACCACTGAGCCAAACCGGCCAGGGCTAAAAAATTAGTGTTACTTTAAAGGTCTGTGTTAAATGGGTACAAGGCCACTTGGTGTTACAGTTAAGGGCACAGACCACTCGGACTGGAATTCTGGCTATGCTGTTTATTAGCTTTGTGACTAAATTAACTTAACCTCACCATGCCTTAGTTTCCTCATCTATGAAATGAGCATAGTAATATATGCTCACGGGATGGAGTGATTTATGAGTTAATATATGTAAAGAGCTTAAAATAGAGCCTGACGCATAATGGGGCTGTGTGAGGGCTGCTGCAGCTGCTGGTGTTCTGTTGGTTGGTGTCTGTACAGTGTATACGGAACTGATTCCAAGGTTGCTTTTTGCTTCTTTCCCAGACCAGCGCCCGAGGTGCTGTGCAGGGTTATTGTCACTTAGCAAATGGCAAAAGTCCAGTGTGTTTATGTTTTTTCAAAAACTATAGCAGAATGTGGACACAAAAGACAAGGAAATTTGTGATAACTATTTGGCATTTTGTTAGAAACGAAGAGGGCTGTTCCGAAGAAAGTATAGTTTACCGACTTCTCCTACTGTTTGTTTTGAATAGAAAGCAGAGAGAGGCATTCTGAGTCATCCGACTGGATGAAGACCGTCCCGAGTTACAACCAAACCAATAGCTCCATGGACTTCAGAAATTATATGATGAGAGACGAGAATCTGGAACCACTGCCCAGAAACTGGGAAATGGCCTACACAGACACGGGGATGATCTACTTCATAGAGTAAGCAAGTGTCTGGTCTCTCCTGACGAGCCCTCCCCTCAGGCTGCTCTGAAGGATGTGTAACCTCCTCTCTCGAGGCTTCATGCCCCTGTTCTTTCTTTAAAAATACAAATTTACATCCACATTGTAGATTCTTATCTCACTTTCTCCCTGGGTGGTCTTTTGTTTTTATTTGACTTAGGTAAAGGAATAGTGTATTTGACTTCCCATTTTATAAAACAGGATTAAAAACAAATTTATCGCTAATAATGAAACATATAAGGAATAAAGAGAGTTTTGTTTTTGTTTTATATTGGGTATATTGTGCCAGTTAATATCATTTCAGGAATCATCATATGAGTGGGGCGTATTTCTTATCTGAGCTAAATATTTTCAGTTCTAGTGTTTGGGTTTGATGTTTTCAGGCAGTATAGTCAACTAGTATAGGAGGGGGAAAAATCACTGGTCCTCAGAGGAATTGGTATAATATAAATTCATACAAAAACCAAACTATTTTATGGAAAAGCACTATTAATATGCTTATATTTACAGAGCTATAGAATACCATATGTATTCAGTCAACCTAAAATTTTATATTGCTTACACCTGAGGATATTGTTTAAATAATTTATTAGAAGTTTTATTATAAGTATTTTTATGTTCTCATGCAGCTGTAATTCTCATCTTTAAACTAATTTACCCACAGGTAGAGTATTGATGTAGTGGAGTTACAGAACATAATGATTAAAGTACTGAGGGCTGGATAACACACTCAAAAGAACATATTCTCAGACATGAATTGGGGGAGGGAGATTTGATGTGTTTCCTCCATTGGTCCCAAATTCCGTATCCTTCACATGGAATGAACATCTTGCTATACCAAATGAGATTCTAGTGTTTAAAAGACAGATTTCTGTGTGCATGGTATTCTTTTTACCATATATGGTAAATTATTTATTTTGTTATACATTTTTATAAACATTAATGACCAGGATTATACACAACAGACAAAATCTGGTATATTCTTCTCTGGGGACAATTTGAGGTTTTTTTCTAGGGTTATTTAGACTTTTGACTTTCATGCCGACTTTGGAACTAACCCTCCCAGTAAGATGTAGAGTCACAGAAAGTAGCTAGAATGTCTTCAGAAATAGATTATTAGATGTTGAATCTGACAGGACCTCACTCTGCAAATGGGTGAGTTAGTAAATTATGGGGGTGGGGAATTTATATAAGATATGTCTTTATAGGTGAACATTATTAAAGTGGACTGAAGGCCTACATGTGAGATCTGATATTATAAAACTTCTAGAAGAAAACGGGGAAAGCTTTATGACATTGAATTTGGCAAGGACTACTTGGGAATGACACCAAAAGCATAGGAAAGGGACCACATGAGACTTAAAACCTCTGCGCAGCAAAGAGAAGCAGTCCACAGAGTGGAAAAGCAGCCTAGGGAGTCGGAGAAAATATTTGCAAACCATCGTCTGATAAGGAGTTAATATTCAGGCTAGAGTTTAATATTATTTGCTATTAGGTTAAGCTTTCCTGTTGGCTACAGCTAGTGCGCTGGTCCCTGGTAACTGTCGTTACATCATGCATCTGTAAGTAAGTAATACTGGTGTACAGTCTTTAGCTATTATGTTTTGGGTATATCCTCTATGGGCATTTCTTTCCCTTGAGAAATACTGAGTAAAATCCTAGTGGATTGTCTACATCTGCTAATTTAGCAGTAAACAAATTTGGATCATTGAATCCAAAATTAAGCTTTTCTAAAGTAGTAGTTTGGAATTTGGTTTTGTAAGATATGTCCATGATTCCCGTTTTAAACCAGTCTGCATGCTGCTAGGCCTCTGTGGAGTCCTAAGCCTTTTCATTTTGCTCAAATTGATTCAACCAGTTTTAGTTTGGGGAAATTGTCTCTGACAGACTTGGTAACAGACTTTCTAGAAAGAATCCCAGTTTTTCTTACTTAGATTATCCATATTCAGCACACAAAGAGTTTCTAGTCTCGAGTCAGCCCTGGGCCGTGCAGGAAGGGGCTGCGTAGGCAGCAGGTAGCTCTGCAAGTCGCTGGGGTTAGAAAGGTGTGGGTGATACGACGAGTCCCTGGAACCGTTGACTCCATTTCCTAAGAGTGGCCAGTGTCGAGCTTAGTGAGTTGATCGCATGATGGAGGCGCCATGAAAAGAGAGCTTGTTCACATTGCTGTCCTCACACTGTTCTACAGTAACTGTACTTTACACTTTGTTGCCTTCCTATGTATTTTCTTCAGTTATTTTTTTTCTTTTACTGTCCTTCTATTTCAGATTACCTGTAGCATTGTTTGTCTGCCCAGCAGTGTGATAGTTTTATCTTAGTGTTAGTATCTACTGCCGGTGACCAGGTCTGAAGTGAACCAACGGCGACCTTTGATGAACTGAAACAGGCACTGCCCTCTGAAAGCACCTGCCGCCTACTTCATACACGGGGGCGGGGCGATCTTTTTGTTCCACCTTTTTTTCCCCTCCTAAGTATATGTTCCCTACTGATGAACACTTAGTTTTGTGGAGTTGAGTGTAATTATACCCATCATTTTTACTTGCATGTTGCAGAAATGGATACTGTAAGCTTTTAATTTTATATCACTCTACATTATTTTATTAGCCCCATGAGTGCAGAGGCCTGTCTGATTGTTCACCTCTATATTCTCAGCCCCCAGCAGTGTCCACACATCACAGGGACTCAAGAAATGCAGTGATTTTTGAAGGGAAGGAGGAAGAAATCCAGCCCACAAGCACACCAGGTTTTCAGCACAGCCCCTTCTGCTGGGTGGCACACAGCACAGGCTGTAGCTGACGCTCTGAAATGTTGTAATCGCTTCGATAAGTGTGTTATTCTGTACTTGGCGTCTTATCCCTTCTTTAGAATCTCCATTCTCAAATTAGTGCCTCTAGAATTACCTTTCCTTTATGGCAGTTTTGCAATCACAGACTGAGAACAGTAGGATTATTGAGTCAGAGGTAGAAAACGGAGCCTGTAGGAGATGAATATTCTAACATCATGTACCTTTTAGTCACTTTTAACCTTTGCTTCTGATATATTTTTTCCATCTTTATTTTACTGTTTCTAATCGAAATCTTTCTTCTACAGCCATAATACCAAAACGACCACCTGGTTGGATCCTCGTCTTTGTAAGAAAGCCAAAGCCCCCGAGGACTGTGAAGACGGAGGTAGAGATTCAGGACCTTCTTTACCTCACTGCTCTCTGACCCCTCCCTGCTCCTCTCGCCTCGGTCATGGGTCTGTGCACATGGGTCCATGTCACAGTCGACTGACTGCAGTTGTGTCATTGCATCTCATTTTGAGAGACTTTATTTCTTTTAAGGATTATACAGTTAAATTCCTTTTTTAAAAAGCTTAATAAAAACAAATTTGTCCTTCTTTTTACATTTATTTTAAAGACTCACTTTAAAAAAAAGAACGACAAACTTTAAAGAATTTTGAATAAACACTTTAATAAATTTGGTACATTCTCAACCACAGGGTAGCCTCATGAGCCTTCAAAAATATATTTTAGTATCACTAGGATGGATATGCTAGTACCTGTGGCTGATCCTTAGCCATTTAGAGCAGCATTAGAAACCCAATGAAAGTCTTTAATAAACCCCCACCCCACAAACAACTTTTACTGCTAAGTAGTAAAATTATTTTTCTAAGAATCACTGGATAATAATGCTTGTCTGTTTTGTATATTATAGATTGTGTTTAGTGGTATAGTCTTACGAGTAAGTATAGAATTTACCCTAACCAAATTGTTTGCTATGCCTTCGTGAGTATAGGGTGTAGATGAATAAAATTTGTGTTCGTTTTATATCACTCATCAGAAATTAATTACCTTGGTTAAGAAAAAAGTAAGTGGCTTAGAATGAGATTCAGATAGTCCCCCTATAGATTGAGTTCCAATCTTAAAAAGAATTAAACAGAAATTACACATTGTTTAGCATGATTGCTATTAAGAATTTTTCCAGGGCCCTGGCCAGTTTGGCTCAGCGGTTAGAGTGTCAGCCCGCAGACCAGAGGGACCTGGGTTTGGTTCCTCTAAGGGCACGTTCGGTTGTAGTTTGTCCCCGGCCCTGGTTGGGGTCATGTGGGTGGCAACCAGTCGACGTGTCTCTCTGACGTCGACGTGTCTCTCTGACGTCGACATCTCTCTCTCTCTCTCTCTCTTCCCCCTTCTCTCCCTCCCACTCTATCTGAAGATAAATGCAAAAATGTCCTTAGGTGAGGATAAAAAAAATAATAATTTTCCTAGGAACAAACAATTGGAAATGGAATTATTTAAAATTCTATTTGCAATGATTTTTTAAAAATTAGACACCTTGGAGCAAATCTGCTGAAAGATGTGTAAGTCTTCTATACTGAAAATTAGAAAACATCACTGAAAGAAATTAATGAAGACCTAAAATGACTGAAGAGATACATTATGTTCATAGAGTGGATGACACAATATTGTTAATGATGTTCATTTTCTCTCAATTAACATCGATATTAAATACAATCCCAATGAAAATCCTAAAAGTTTGTTTTGAAGAAATTGACAAATACAAATTGTAAAATACATATGTAAATATAAAGGCTTTATTCCATAGTACGTATGTACCACACCTTCTTTATCTAATTATCTATGGAAGGACACTTTGGTTGTTTTCCTTGTCTTAGCCTCTGTGGGTTATGCTACAGAGAACGTAGGGGTGCATGTATCTTTAGAAATAAATGTTTTCAAATTTTTCAGGTAGATCCTCAAAGAGGGGTTGCTGGGTCATATGATAACGCTATCCTTAAGTTTTGAGGACGCTCCATTCTGTTTTCCATAGTGGCAGTACCAGTTTCATTCCCACCAGCAGTGAATTGAGGGTTCCCTTTTCTCCACAAGCTCATCAACATATGTCAGTTGTTAATGTCAATTGTTATTACGTTAAGAAATAATTTTTAAAATCATTTTTATAACATACTTCCCTTCTCTATAAGGCTTTCAACAGTAAGTTTTTTAATGGTGCAATCAGCTACTCTAAAGGGAAACGAGAATATATAACACTATAGAATGTGACTGTTGAAAGGTTGTGAATGTGGTATTAGTCGTCTCAGGCATATATATCCCTTTTGCTGGTCTCCCCCTTTTTCCTGCCCACTATTTGTTTTAGTTAAATTCTCTGCTGTTTCCTGTTTTCCCTTGTAGAGTGTATTTATTTCCATAGCTTTCCTATCTGTTTACTGGAGTTGTGTCCCTTGTTTAAATCTCTAGTATTATCTTCTGTTCTAAGTGCTATTTCTGTTTCCCATTGACTTTCTTCTTGAATGTCCTACTAGCATTTCAAGTAAATGTATTTAAAACTAAACATTTTTTGCTCTGGCTGGCTAGGCTCAGCAGTTAAGAGCGTTGGACCATGGACCAAAGAGTTGAGGGTTCGATTCCCAGTCAAGGGCATGTGCCTTGGTTGCAGGTTTGATCCCTGGCTCCTGTCGGGGTTGTTTGGGAGGCAATCAATTGATGTCTCTCTCCCTCCCTCCCTCCCTATCTGAAAAAAATCAATGGAAAAAGAAAGGATTAAAGAAAGAAAGAAGGAAACATTTTTCTCCTGAAGCCACCCATCTCTTTCTGTCATTAGTCCACCCTCATAATCGTCCGGACCCATATTTGCTTCTTCCTCTCCTCTCGCTCTGTTACCTGTATAGTTTCCAACCCTGCTGCTCTTTCTTGTTTCTATACTTTGCCAATATATTAGTATAAAAAATTTCCAGCATATAGACAAATTGATAGAATTTGACAGAATACTTATATGTATTCACCTCTGAGCTATTACAACAAACATTTTGCTTTATTTGTTTTTTTTACATAGTTGTCTGTCCATCTGTCCTCTTGCTTTTTCTTTTATATCTTTCTCTCCATTCCTCTGATCATCACACACTTGCATTATCCTTAGATTTTTTTTCCTACAGTTACCTCTCCAGTATATCCTTTATACCAGTGGCCTTCAAAATGTCAGTGTTCAAACTGTCTTTTGGTATACAGGAAAAAGAAAAGTTAGAACTTATTTTTTTGTAATGTTTCTTTTAGGAAAAAAATAAATTAAGCTTCTCTCCTGTTCTGGCGCAGGCCGCAGTTCTGTAGGTGGCTCGGTGTGATGGCCCTCCTGTGGCACCCAGGGCGTCTTACTCTTGTCGGGCGCTGTGCAGTTTTGTGGCTCACTGGGTCCGGTTTAGTGGGTTTAGAGACCATGTTACAGTTTTTAATCCAGACAGAATTGCAGTGTGACTTTAAACTCTGCAAAGATGGCACCAATTGAAGATAATGACAAATACGCAAGTCCATGCTAACAGTAAGAAAACGGTAGCACTGACGGTTTGCATATTCTGTGTGTGCTCTGTTTCGTACATATTAGTAAGTAGTACATATATATTTATGCATAAGTATATATATCTTGGAGGTACATGTTCACATTTTTTACTAATATGGCTACATAATCCAAAAACTGGCTATATTACCTGTTAATCTTTCTAACAGGAAACTGCCTTCTTACCTTCCCCTTGCTCAGGGACCTATAGTGGCTCTCTGTTGTCAGCAGAAACAAGTCTAGACTCCCTGGTGAAATAGGGAGGATTTTTTTATAATTGAACCATATTCTATATTTCTTTTTCCAAGTATTTCCATGTCATAAATATGCCACATTTTTGTCTTTGTCTTTGCTATATGCCCATTTGTCTGCCAGGATCCAGCCTTGTTCCCTGTGTCCACCTAGCTCATACCTGCCTATCCTTCTAAACTCACATCTAAGGTACAATGTCTTTGTTGTCCCTTCTGTCACTCTCTTCCAGATCAGAAATAGGTATTCTCTCCTCTGTGTTCAGTGGTACCATGTGACACATATCTATTCTAACGCTAATTCTATTGCATTGTTACTAGACACCTGTATTCTAGAAGATTAATGGTTTTGCCTTATTTGTCTGTATTTCCCTTCCATAGAGATGTAAATATTTGCAAGGTGAGCAGAAAGGAAGCAAGGAGAGAAGCTGTTCTAACCCCCAGGTTATTTTGGTCATCCTTCTTGATCAAGTTCTGTCTTCATTCACTGGTTTGGCATCAGTAGAGAAGTAAAATACAAGAAGCAGTGAGGTGAGGTCAGAATACCGCTGATGCATGAGCATCACGTGGCTTTAGCTCTGCACCTCTGGGCACTTGCTGATATTCTTCCCCGCAGGAGGCAGACTCAGGCTGCCGATCCCTCCCACCAGGCGAGCATGCCGCAGACCAGACCAGGTCACGTCTCTCTGCAGGCAGGCTGACATCCGCAGCAGAGAGGGAGCCCAAGAGGCCCTGAGCCAGGCACACTGAATTCATCCTCTAAACTCACCAGTTAGATAGGATGTTTTTTCATCCCTGCAGAAGAAAGTGAAGGGGCTCAGAAACGTTGGAAGTTTCTCCCATTCTTTCCCTCTATGGAAATTTGAAGAAGTGGATGATTGTGAAGACCTAATGCTCTTTCCATTAAGGGTGACCATATGCCTTGGTTAGTCAGGACCTACCCAGCTTATTCCTGTTGTCCCAGCATAATTATTAACAATGCCCCCCAGCCCTGGCCGGTTTGACACAGCGGTTAGAGCGTCGACCTGTGGTCCAGAGAGATCCGGGTTCAGTTCCCGCTAAGGGCACGTACCTCGGTTGCAAGTTTGTCCCCAGCCCTGATTGGTCATGCGGGTGGCGGCCACTCGATGTGTCCTTTTCACATCGATGTGTGTGTGTGTCTCTCTCTCTCCCTCCCACTTTATCTGAACAAAGAAATGGAAAAATGTCCTCAGGTGAGGATAAAAAAAACAAAACCAAACAAACAAACAAAACCGGTGCCCCCTTGACTATCAGAAGCAAGCAGTGCATTATGTGGCCATCCTAGTAGAGCGTCCTTCAGGTGGAGCGCCCAGAACTGCATCAGGGTTCTGCTCCTTCACCTGTTCCTGTGGCCACAGGACCGTCCTCCACCCTTTCCTGTTCACAGTTCGCCTGGTGACCTTGTCCACTGTGTTGGCTTTGACGACAGCGTCTCCCAGGTCCTGGTCTTCCTACCTGTGTCTTCTGAGGACCAGGTTCACGAGCTGAAGAGATGGTGCCATGTCTCTGCCACGCTGGCACCAGACACTCCCTCAGTGAGCCGCGTCTTCCGTGTCCCTTCCGGTCCTGCCCTTAGCAGTGACCTCACAGCCCCCCGGTTCCTTGAGCTAAAAACGAATTATCATTCTCAGCTTTGCTTCTCACCAAATGCTCCTCACTGCAGTAACTACCTCGTCTGTCAGTCGGACCTGAGACACCTGCCCCCTCGAGTGTCCAGTGGACGAGGCACTTTCTCCATCGTCTCTGCCATCTAAACACCCGTGAACCCAAATCATACCTTCTTCCTATTCCCACAGCCATGTTTGTAGTAGACATTTAACAATATTTGATTTAAAAAAACTTTTTATCATTTTCATGCCAGAAGACCATAACCGAGGCATCGCCCTGGCCTCCCTCTCCTCCCTGTGTTCCTGCTGGTGCCTGAGCCCTGCCTCTCTCTTACCCACCTCTGTCCACGCCGCGGCCTCCCTCTCCTCCCTGTGTTCCTGCTGGTGTCTGAGCCCTGCCTCTCTCTTACCCACCTCTGTCCACGCCACGGCCTCCCTCTCCTCCCTGTGTTCCTGCTGGTGTCTGAGCCCTGCCTCTCTCTTACCCACCTCTGTCCACGCCGCGGCCTCCCTCTCCTCCCTGTGTTCCTGCTGGTGTCTGAGCCCTGCCTCTCTCTTACCCACCTCTGTCCACGCCGCGGCCTCCCTCCTCGCCTTCACACGTCTTATCGAGGCCCTCCATCATTCTAATTTCTCTGCCTTATCCTCACTCCACTTCCCCCATTTCATCCTCTATTGTAGCTGCCCATAATCGTTTTCAAATATAAATGTAATCACGTCGCCGTCCAGCTTGATCAGTTCAGTCATCAAAATAAAGAACGAACTCCTCCCTGTGGCGTCCAGATGTGGCTCGTGCTGGCTTCCAAGACAGAACTTACACGCCCTTCGCCCCAGCCCAGTCACATGGCTCGTAATTACCGAAAATGCCAGGCATCCTTACTCAGCACCTCGGTGGCTTCGATCTGTCTAGATCGCCTCCTCTCCCCACCTCCAGCCGTCCTTCAAGACTGCTCAGCCCTGGCCGGTTTGGCTCAGCGGTTAGAGCGTCGGCCCGCGGACCAGAGAGACCCAGGTTCGGTTCCCACTCTGGGCACGTACCTTGGTTGCGGTTTGTCCCTGGTCCCGGTTGGGGTCGTGCGAGTGGCAGCCAGTCAGTGTGTGTCTCTCACATCGATGTTTCTCTCTCTCTCTTCCTCCCTCTCTCCCTCCCGCTCTACCTGAAGATAAATGCAAAAATGTCCTCGGGTGAGGATAAAAAATAAAAAATAAAAAATAAATAAAAAGACTACTCAGACCTCGCCCTGGCTAGAGGCTTTCCCGTGGTTACTCTTGCCAGGTGGTTGGTGTCATTTCTTGCACTCCCCCCAGAGAGTTTGTGTTTATCTACATTATATCATTTATCTCTTCTGTCTTCCCGTTTAGATGATCAATTGCTTGAGGTCAAGGATTGTGTTTCTTTCTTTTTTTAAAATATATTTTTATTGATTTTTGGGGGGGGGAGAGAAAGACACAAGCGTCACGGTGAGGTGGAGACTTCGATTGCTTGCCTTCGCAGGCCCCTACCCGGTCCCTCCTGCGTCCCAGTCGTTTGCCCTGACCTGGGGTCTAAGGGAACCTCTTGGTGCGCAGGACACCACCCAGCTAACTGAGCACACCGGTCTGCGCAAGAGTTGTGCTTCTAATTTTAGATTAGATAAGTAAGGAGAGAGGAGGGAGAGAAGGAAGGGAGAAAGGAAAAAAGGGAAGGAAATCAGTGAAGGAATTGACCCACTCTGTGTGCTGGGTCTTTTAGTTTCGCTTTTATTTAAAGGAGCAAATAATCACTTCTTTATCTGTATTAATCTGTCTTGCAAAAAAAAATTGGCTAATGGTATCACTCACTGGTAAGGGTTTAAAGTGATTAACCCGTAAGATAAATTGTCATCAGTTTTACTCTTCTAAAGAAAGGGCTATACTTTTAGCTGTTAGTTGCTCATTGCTTTAAGTGTTACTAAAATGCTGGATTAATTTCCAGGTTAACTCTAAAGTATATTTATGTTGGTCTTTTATCCTTGTTAAGTATCAGCACATCCTGACTAGTGACTTTTCAGGTGTCCGTGGAATGTTTCACCTGTCATAGCTCCTTCCTTTTCCGGACTTCTCCAAAGACAGAGCATGGCCTGCGGTGCGTGAACCTGGAGTCCCTCACACGGCACCTTCAGTCCCATGCTGGGTCGGGACTTCTGTGAAAGGAAAAACGTGGAAGATCCTTAATGATAAAGCCTTGGTAATGTTACCATAGGCAGTTTTTACAGACATAATCCAACAAATACTCTCATCCATGTAATAGTTGCTTAGACATAAAATATCGCTCCGGGTTCATTGATGATGGTGCCTGTGGGGAAATCAGAGGGAACGGAAGTGTGCCTCAGTTCTCCCCTGTTTCCACCTAGCAGCTCCTTTTCAACTTCTGTCGTCTCCTCTGCCTCAGACGTTTCAGCCAGGTCTTTCAAAGGAAAACCGCAAAAGCTCACCAGGCTTCAAAACCACCAGTCGCTGCGCATGCACAGGTAGAAAGGTGCTGGAGGAAGGGGTGAGCTTTCCATCCAGAGGCTAGTCATCTGGTTTCTCCTTTTATTCTGCGTGTAGAATAATAAGTTTTATTGGCACATAAGACATCGTATATAGGTTGTTAGGTTCATTATACTGGAGTTTTTACTAATAAAGTTGGTAACTTCATAACTGGCCAGATATAGCATCAACAAATCATTTGATGTAGCCAAGCCGATTTTCTGTCCAGCATACATCATCTGCATGTGTGCACACGTGTGCATGTGTGCTCCAGCATAGCAGAAAAACTCTTAAAGAAATTGAAAATATGCCCTGGCCGGTTTGGCTCAGCGGTTAGAGCATCGGCCTGAGGACCAAGAGTCCTAGGTTTGGTTCCCGCTAAGGGCACGTACATCGGTTGCGGTTCATCCCCGGCCCTCGTTGGGTTTGTGCAGGTGGCAACAAGTCAGTGTATCTCTCTGACATCGATGTTTCTTTCTCCCTCTCCCTTCCTCTCTCTATAAAATTAATAAAGAAAAAAATTTTTAAGTGGGGGTTATCATAGTGTACAACTGTGGGTTATTATTTATTAAGCCCTTCTTGCTGGGCTCCTATGTCTAACTGATAGCACTAAAACCACCTGCTAGGAACATTCCTGTCAACTTAATCCACGTCTGACTAATGATTCTTGAGAAGCCTTATTTTGGAAAACAGAGTAGGAGAGAAAAAAGGATTCTTTCTGATAGGGTCAGTTTGTGTTGGAAAAAATATTCGGTTTTTCAGGTTATATTTTATGGGTCAGTTACTTGGAATAAATAATATATAATAATCCTATGTAAGATATTTCTTTGTTATTATACATACAAATACAGATTCCATACAAGGCATTGTGGTAGGAAAATAAAATTTCGGATACTCAGATCAGGTTAATGCAAGGGAAAGTAGGCATTTTCTTCGATTTTAAGCAAATTGAGGCTGCCCCGTTGAAATGTAAAAAACCCAAGGCTGGCGTTTCCTTTGGGGAGAAGTGGGTCAGAATGTGATAGAAATAGTGGGCAGGTCTTCTGTGTCACAGTGAGAACTCTGATGGGCGGCTGCTGCTTGCATTGGACTGCAGGGCAGGTGTCTCGAATCAGCGCTACCACGCTTTTTAAACGAAAGAAATAGGACAGACCCTCCCTCCCCCATCCAGTTTTCCTTTCCATGGTTTCAGTTACCTGCAGACGATCATGGTGCTAAAATACTAAATGGAAAATCCCAGAAATAAACAATCCATAAGCTTTAAATTGCGCACTGTTCGAGCCGTGTGCAGCCACCTCGCGTTGTCCTGCTCGGTCCCGCCCAGGATGTGAATCGAGCCTTTGTCCAGCGGATCCGCACTGGGTGCACTGCCCACAGCCGGCTCCCTTGTCAGACTGACTGTCGCGGCGTCACAGTGCCTGTGTTCAAGTCACCCTCACTTTACTCAGCAGTGGCCCCAGAGTGCAAGGAAAGTGATGCTGGCAGTTCGGGTTGGCCGAAGAGAAGCTGTGAAGTGCTTTCCTAAGTGGAAAAGTGTGTGTGTAAGAAACACACACATGTATGTAGAGGGTTCAGCACTGTCCTGGGTTTCAGGCATCCACTGGGGTCGGAACATGTGCCCCAAGGATAAGAGGGGACTACTCTATTCCAGATGATTTTTAAAATAATTAGCATTTTCATGGTTTATGATTCGATAAACACATTTGAGTTTAATGTCATCTCATGTGCTGAGGTTCTAGTTATTTGCTGAGACACTGGCTATTGAAGAAGCCACTCAGACTCAACCGGTTTGCTCTTGGAAAGCGAGCCCTCGACTGTCTGTCTCCCAAACATTTAAATTCACGCATGGCAAACTCCCTCACGCTGGCTTTGAATCAGGCATGTCACTCAGTTTCTTTTTCTTTTCCTTACAGAGCTTCCCTATGGCTGGGAGAAAATAGAGGACCCTCAGTACGGGACGTACTATGTTGAGTAAGTTGCTTACCTGGGTTACTGCCCTCCCAAGTGCATTTCTGCCATTGTGCAGCTAGCCGTATGGCCCGCGGCTCCTGCGCCCACTTGCAGGAGGGCCTGGAGGGCTCGAGGGCAGGGCCGGGGCCTTCACTCCCCGACTGGGGCTGCAGGGCAGAGCGTGGGCCTTCACTCCCCGACTGGGGCTGCAGGGCAGGGCCTGGGCCTTCACTCCCCGACTGGGGCTGCAGGGCAGGGCCTGGGCCTTCACTCCCCCACTGGGGCTCGAGGGCAGGGCCTGGGCCTTCACTCCCCCACTGGGGCTGCAGGGCAGAGCGTGGGCCTTCACTCCCCGACTGGGGCTGCAGGGCAGGGCCTGGGCCTTCACTCCCCCACTGGGGCTGCAGGGCAGGGCCTGGGCCTTCACTCCCCCACTGGGGCTGCAGGGCAGGGCCTGGGCCTTCACTCCCCCACTGGGGCTGCAGGGCAGGGCCTGGGCCTTCACTCCCCCACTGGGGCTGCAGGGCAGGGCCTGGGCCTTCACTCCCCCACTGGGGCTGCAGGGCAGGGCCTGGGCCTTCACTCCCCCACTGGGGCTGCAGGGCAGGGCCTGGGCCTTCACTCCCCCACTGGGGCTGCAGGGCAGGGCCTGGGCCTTCACTCCCCGACTGGGGCTGCAGGGCAGGGCCTGGGCCTTCACTCCCCCACTGGGGCTCGAGGGCAGGGCCTGGGCCTTCACTCCCCCACTGGGGCTCGAGGGCAGGGCCTGGGCCTTCACTCCCCGACTGGGGCTGCAGGGCAGGGCCTGGGCCTTCACTCCCCCACTGGGGCTGCAGGGCAGGGCCGGGGGCCTTCACTCCCCCACTGGGGCTGCAGGGCAGGGCCTGGGCCTTCACTCCCTCTCAGGCCTCCCAGCAGGCGGCTTCGAAGTCCACAGGGAGAGCTGGAGGGGAGTTGCCCAGGTCAGGAATAGTCAGCATCACTGCTGCAGCCTCTGCAGAGTAGACGAGAACTGGGAGATGAGGGTGCTGCACCGGGTGGACAGCGAAGGTCACGTCCAGCACTAACGCTGTGCGGCCCCGACGACAGTGGGGGAACTTTTGGGGCAGCGGGCCATATGCTCCAGAATTTTGAAGTATCTGATTAAAAGCACTCTCTGGCCCTGGCCGGTTTGGCTCAGTGGTTGGAGCATCGGCCTGCGGTACAGAGAGACCCGGGTTCGGTTCCCGCTAAGGGCATGTACCTCGGTTGCAGTTTGTCCCCGGCCCTGGTTGGTCGTGCAGGTGGCAGCCACTCGATGTGTCTCTTTCACATCGATGTTTCTCTCTCTCTCTCTCTTCCTCTCTCTCCCTCCCGCTCTATCTGAACAAAAAATGGAAAAATGTCCTTGAGTGAGGATAAAAAAAAAAAAAAAAAAGTAAAAGCACTCTCTGTTTTAAGGAGTTAATCCAGGAAAATGTAGTAATTTGGGGTAGGGTGAAAGTTGCTCCTTACACAGCTGTTATGGCTAAATGTACACGAACATATGTTGGCCAGAACACCAAATGCCTGCCTTTGTTAGCCAGCGAAATTAAGGTAGCATCAACATCTAATTTTTCTTTCTCTGTTCTTCATTTATGCTGTATTGTTATGACCATTGGGGTTGCTTTCCTTCCAAATGCTATAGATACAATTTTGACCTCAGGCATCTAGTACTAGGCAAATAATTGCATCAGAAATGTTACTGTTTCCTTGGAAACTGGGAGCCTGAACCTACTGCCTGAGTAGTGGAGGCAAAATGATATTACTACCTGGAAAAAATAGCAGACCTGAGAATCTTTTAGTTTTATGATTGCTTGTTAATTTTTTATTATTTGTTGGCATAAACAAATGTCACTTCTTGGTACTTGTCCTTAAAGTAAGTACCTCTGACTGTGGTTGTAACTCTAGTCTTTACTCCCATGTATGGATTGTTTCTTGAGTCCATGCTCAGAGAGATCTTTTGGCAATCCTTACACATCTAATTTGCACCCTAAGGAAACAACTCAGTTTGACCCTCAGGTCTGTAACTTCTCAAAGTCAATATTTTGGTTCCTTTGAAAAGCTATGCTAATTTTGTTTTCATTCTGCTATTTAGTATCTTGCTGACATTGTGATGTGAAAAGTATACCACAGCTCTTTGGTTATTTTTTTTTTTCTAAAGCATATTTAGTTCAAATAAAACAAACATTTTTTTTTAAGTCCAGGGAGTATTTGAAGGCCAACTAAAAAGGTTTTGTGAACACCCCCCACACACACCCCCCCAGTAGTTTAATCTATTTAAATTGGGTTTCAATCAGCTGTTATGTACCATGGACACTGCTGAACGTTTCTGGGCTAATGATCCTCGTTCTCTCGTTGTCCATTCCCGATGAATTTGAATACGTGGTCAAGAGGTGAAAGTCATTTGCCTGTTACAAACTCTTGGCTAAATGATCTGGTTCTCATCAAGCAAGGCTGTAATACTGAAGCAACTTTGGGGCAGGCCCTGAAGTGACCTGCCCCCGGTTGTCGCGGAGGTATGTGGAATGGCCCGTCTCAGCAGCAGCAGCCACAGGGTTTGTACGGCTGTTCCCAGAAGGAGCTCATTTTGCAGGAGGGTAATTTATTAGATTAAGAAAGAGCAGGCTGCACTCAAGATGCACACATCAGCGTGAAGTCAGCTGAGCCGTGGGCTGTGGCTGGGTTCCCAGATGGGTTCAGTTTTGAATCCCGACCACAGTAATCTGCAGCGAGTTTACTGATGGAGATAAAAAGCTGTTACTTGAATGGCTACTCTTTGGCTCTCTTATTTGTCAAAGCAGATGGCACGAAGATTGCTCTTGGCAGGAGCATCGCAGTAGTAACACCAACTGCGGTGGCAGTGTTTCTTTGTATTTATTTCAGAGAACGGGGTTCGGAAATGGATTAATTTATTTTTTAAACTAAAATTGTTCTAAAAATGTAAGGACAGGCCTTCCACAAGAATGCCTATATATATTAGGAATGTTGTCTTATTGTATTGCATAAAATGTCTTGGTGCACTTTGGTGACAAAGTCAAAATATACATCTGCTTTAATATCTCAAATTCTTCATAAAAGAATAATGGTTTTGTTTGCTGAGATTAACTTTTTTTTTTTTTGATATTTTGTTCAGATAAAGTGGGAGGGAGGGAGAGAGAGAAATATCGACGTGAAATGGACACATCGAGTGGTTGCCACCCTCACAACCCAACCAGGGCCGGGGACAAACTGCATCCGAGGTACATGCCCTTAGCGGAAACCGAACCCAGGTCTCTCTGGACCGCAGGCCGACGCGTTAACCGCTGAGCCAAACTGGCCAGGGCTGCTGAGATTAACTTTAAAAATCCCTATAGTATACACACAACTCCAATACAGATGAGATTCCAAATTCTATGTAATATATTCAATCATGCTTGTTTGCTACCCTTGTTTAATTTTTCTGATCTTTCATCTCCTTTCTTACTTCCAATAGCTAGTTATATGAAAACAAAATCTGTTACATCTAAACAATGTTGAGGATGTAAGTAACTAATTGAAAAGGAGAGTGTTTTTACTTTTGTTTTGTTTTGGGCGGCATTGTAATTTAGGCAGTGAAGGTGCCGGTTACCAGTACTCTCCCGGTCACTGCAATCTTACGTTCTTTTGTCAAAGACTTTTCAGGAAAAGGGTTCCTCATTTGCATACTTCTATTCCCTCCTCCCACACACTACAAAGAGGATAAATACAAATTACTACTTTTTATATTATAATGCCTGGGTGGCAAAGTGAGTCATTCTAGCTCTAGATGACATTGAGGTGAACCAGGTCCTTTCTAAACAAGTTTATTCTTTCTTTTAAGTGTCAGTTTCTAGTTGTTTTATTCTTTTCAAGAATATGAAAATGTCAGTATTTAATAAATAACTTTAAAAATAGTACCGCCTTAGCTGGTTTGGCTCAGCGGTTAGAGCGTCGACCTGCGGTCCAGAGAAACCCGGGTTTGGTTCCTGCTAAGGGCATGTACCTCGGTTGCAGTTTGTCGTGTGGGTGGCAACCACTCGATGTGTCGCTTTCACATCTATGTTTCTCTCTCTTTCTCTCTCTTCCTCTCTCTCCCTCCCACTCTATCTGAACAAAAAATGGAAAAAAATGTCCTCGGGTGAGGATTAAAAAAAATAAAATAAATAAAATAAAAATGGTACCTAGCTTAACACTGATGATCTTATTTTCATTGAGGGTTAACAGTTCACTCGGTTGGTAAGGCACCCGTCATAGTAAGCAGCAGAAGCATATTGAGATTTAGTGACATCAGAACCCAAAGAATGTCAAGCAGAACTTGCCGTCTTTAGAGCTGAAACGAAGTAGCCGCGTCTGTCTGAGTGAACGCGCTCGCCACCGAAAGGGCAGGAACCTGGCCGCTCCCCTCCTCCGCCACTGCCAGCAATGCTCGCAGATGGCAAAGCCATCATTCAAGTGGTGGGGCTATATTTGTGCAGATTTTGTAATACTCGGCCCAGCTAAAGATAGTCATAATCTGAAATTCTGTTGACTTGATGTTTAATTGTTGGTGTTCTCTCATGTAACTTTTTAAAAAAATGGATTTTGCTGGAAAATGCATATCATTTGGCTAAAATATACTTGTGCTTTGTAAGTGCTCAAATATCATTCCATTGTTTCTGTATCAGACCTAGTTGTGGTCCTAAATGTCTTGTGCAATAGTTGCATTTTATATATATATATATATATATTTTTTTTTAATTTACTTTTTAGAGAGAGAGGAAAGGAGAAGGGGAGAGAGAGAGAAACATCAATTGGCTGCCTCCTGCACACCCCCTACCCGGGATCGAACCCACAACCCAGTCATGTGCTGACTGGGAGTCAAACCAGCAACCTTTCCGTGCACAGAACAACGCTCGACCACCTGAGTACACCAGCCAGGGCAGTAGCATTCTTACCACGTCCAGTTGACCTGCCTGCCGGAATAACCCGTGCCCTGTCCCCTCTGTGATACACACTCTTGTCTGTAGGATATTTACTCCTACTGGCTAACTGCTTACCTTGTTCGTCTCCCTCTTGTCTGCTATTTCCCGCAGACTTGTATACTTTCCAAGTCAACTGTGAATGTCCCCAAATCAGAAATACCAGTTAAACTTACATTGTAGTTACATAATTCATTTAATCACTGTACAATTATGAAAAAAGCTAAGTGTGCAAGAGTTGTTCTGTGCTATCATTTGATAAAAGCAAACCTGTTCTTTAGTTGCTGCTGAAATCCTATGTGGGTCTGTGGAAAAGGCAGTAAAATTCTAGATGGCTCTGTACTCACATTTCTTCAAAAGTGTCTTTGCAGCTGCTTCATTTTAGAGAAACTTAACACCCTCTTACTATTAACTGCCTTTAAAAAATTAATCAATTATCAACAGTTCTAACTGCATTGATACGAGGGCTTCTTCCGCAGTGTTGAAACTGCCGCTGGCTGTGGGGTGCGTCAGCGAAGGGGCCACGGGGCTCTTGCAGCAGCGTGTGCGGCTCCGTGTGCGCCGGGCTCCTCTTTACTTGCCGGATGTCCTCCCGCTGGGGTCTGTGTCCCATGTCTGAAGATTGTGTTTGTCCCTTACGCTTTGGCGACCGAATGGTCTGACAGTCTGTTTAAAATAATGAAACTCTTCTGTCTCAAACTGAAATGCATGTTTTCTGCATTTTACAGTCACCTTAACCAGAAAACCCAGTTTGAAAACCCGGTGGAGGAAGCCAGGAGGAAAAAGCAGTCAGGACAGGCCGATACTGGCTCTTCAAAACCAGGTAGAGCTTTTTCCTAACATGTGACATTAATATACTGAGTGAATTAAAAGTGACTTTGAGCTTTTCATTGTTGAGGCTCTAAAATTCAGAGAATGTCTAATTGTTGTCACTGTAAAGATAGGACTAATCTTAATAAAACATCAGCCGGTTTTGAGAATACTGAGATTTTTCTCGTGCGGCTTATACAGAAAGCGGGGAGTTGCTGGGAGAAGGGACTGAGCTTTGCGATGGGTTTGAGGCTCTGATTTGAAGATCGCATTGTTTACCAGCCTCTAAGGCCTGGCCAGCGTGAGATCACTCATTCGTTGAGTGTCTCCCAAGTTAATTGCTTAGGTCTGATATCAGTAGCCATTCAGGAGCCTTCATTAACTGATATGAACAAATACTAAATAATTCATATGATTTGCCTTTCAAATGGGATGGTATTAATAATATTAGGATCATTTGCGGAACCTTTTTAAACTAGACAGTTCCTGAGATTTTGCTGAGCCTACCCATGTGTATTTTGAAAAAGCTGCCCAGAAATTTCTTACATTCTACTCATCCCTTCCCAACTCCTCCCCCTCCTCCATCTGTCATTAATGACTATATTACTGGTCTATATGGTCATATGGCCAGATTGAGTAGGCTCCCCACCTCTGTTGCCCATGAGAGAAATAGTTCTTTTTATAACTACTCCTCAAAAAATAGTCCCCTCCCTTAAGGTTTGCATTTGATTTAGCAAATATTTTTGAGCACCTGCCGTATGCCCAGTGCTTTGCTAGGCATATGGTGCTCAAAACAATTAGGAGTAAGACAGGTCTTGCCCTCAAGAGTTCACAGACTAATCTAGAAAACAGAGTAGCAATGTGCGGTGACAGGTGGCATCCTAGAATAGCAGTTAAAAGTGCAGGGCGGAGCAGGTTTGGATCCTGCTGTGGAACCTTGGGTGAGTTCCCTAAACTCCTGGTGCCTCTGTTTCCTCATCTGGAAAAAGTAGGGATAGTAATAGTTCTTATCTCCTAAGGTGGTTCTGAGTTGCAAATTAATTCATGTAAAGTGCTTACAATGGTATTTGGCAAATGGTAACAAATACTTGATAGCTTTCATTGTGATTAGTGGAGACATACAAAGTACAGTGGAGATGCAAAGGAGGGGCCCTCAGCTCAGCTTTGGTGGAGAAAGTCACCGGGCCAGGGGCACTTGCAAAGCAGAGGACACATCACATTTGAACTGGGTTATGAAGTGTCAGGGAAAGTTAAATCAGAAAGATAGAAATTTTAGAGGATGTTTATAGCAACATTATTCCTAACATCCGAAAAGTGGGAACAAATGTCCATCAACTGATAAAGGGATAAATAAAATGTGCTATATCCATACAGTGGGACATTATTTGGCAGTAAAGTACAAACATGTGCTACAACACAAATGAACCTCAAAAACATGCTAAGCAAAAGAAGCCGCTCAAAAAACCACGTCATATGATTCCATTTACACGAAATGTTCAGATTGGGAAAATCTATAGACAGAAGTAGATTAGTGGTTGCTTAAGACTAGGGTGTGAGTTCAGGTCTGGAAGAAAGAGTACCTGCTAATGGGCTTGGGAATTTCTTTTTTTGAGGAAGGAGAACGTTTTCTAAAACTAGATTGTGGTGATGGTTGCACTATATTGACGTGTACACTTTAAATGGCTGGATTCTGTAATATGTGAAGTATATCTTAATAGAGCTGTTAAAAATATTTGGCAGAAAATTTTAAACCATCGAACAAAAATTTGTTAAACAATGCTTTGTAAATAAGAAATCTGCACCGTTTGGTCCTGAGGGTTTTCAGAGGTGCACTAGTGGGGCCCCGGTGGGGGGGGGGGGCGAGGCCCGGGACGGGACGGGAGGTGTTCTCAAACATGGACAGTCTTCGTTCTAGGACGGTCTGAGGAATCTCTAATGGTGGGCTCTTCAGTGGAGCTGGGCGTCTTCTTCCCGAAGTATCCAGTAAACATAAGCGCAAGGGAAAGACACAGGAAGTGTTTCCTGAGTTTAGGGATTCTCTCCTTCATCAGATACAAAGTCAAGGCTGCAGCCGGCTGTCTTCCTCTTCCTAGAATAGTGTTTTCCACACACAGCTCAGCGGGTGCTCCTTCGGGTGACACGGGCGGCTGGGTGAGTGTCCACGACTTTCAGGAGTTTTATAAGGCGACTGTCCCTCCCATTTTGACTTCAGATAAGGGATTCTTTGGGGTGAGAGAAAGTAAGTACAAACAAACAAGGCAACAAGGAGGAAAAGTAGGTGCTTTTACTTTTCAAGTAACATGGAAGAATCATGTAAAAGAGAAATGACGTACTCGCTAAGTTTTAGTTTTCAGTGACTTAGTTGATGAATTTAAATTCTAACTGTCCCATTATATTTGAGTCTCTCTCATTTTCTTCTTTGTAGTTCCTTATGTTTAAATTATATAGACTATCTTAAATACTGCCTTTGAGGGCCCCATTCATTGTCATGATATTTGTCTCTAACCCACTTCTCATTCTGACAGATACGGAAAAATCCCACTTCACGCGTGATCCATCCCAGCTTAAAGGCATCCTTGTTCGAGCATCACTGAAAAAAAGCACAATGGGCTTTGGTTTCACCATCATCGGCGGAGACAGGCCTGATGAGTTCCTGCAAGTGAAAAACGTGCTGAAGGAAGGTCCCGCCGCCCAGGATGGGAAAATCGCACCAGGTGAGCAGTTTCACAGACGTGTGCATACGTGTTCTGGGTATGGCATTCCATCGCCATTAGCCTCTGGGCAGCACCCAGCTCACGCGTTTTTACATTTCTGTAGCAAAAATGTATGAACAAGTATGTAATAAATAAATTCTATAAAGAACATCAGTATATATTACGTATCATTTTATTGAGAAAAAGAACTAAATTATACAACTGAAGATTTTTGTGTTAAAATAGTTTATCATTTAAATTAAGTTCATACTAGATTTTGTGTGTGTGTGTGTGTGTGTTTTAATTTCTATTGATTTTAGAGAGAGGAAGGCAGAAAGAGAACATAGCCTGCTGTTCCACCCATTCATGCCCTCAGTGGTTGATTCTTTTTTTATTATTATTGATTTGAGAGAGAGATAGAAACATCCATGAGAGAGAACATTGATTGGCCACCTCCTGCATGCCCCCCATTGGGGATTTGGCCCACAACCTGGGCATATGCCCTGACCAGGAATCGAACCATGGGTCGATGTTGATACATGGGTTGATGCTCAACCACTGAGACACACCGGCTGGGCAGTGGTTGATTCTTGTATGTGCCCTGACCAGGGACCAAACCTGCAACCTGGGGCTTGGGGATGGTGCTCTAACCAGCTGAGCTACCCAGCCAGGGCAAAGTGCATGCTAGTTCTGAGGGAGGGCCATCTTCACAGATAAGTGGAAACTTAGAGAACAGGTATTAAATTTATTAATTTTAGAGTAGTTTGTATAATTTTGAGATAACCCTTTGGCTTTACTAAGCTAAAGATTTATGAACCATCTCAGAAAACTCTTTGATTGGTTTTCTTCGATTACATGGGGTATTTCTGGAACTATTTAATGTTGATTTATAACCGGTTTTGAAAAATGATCCACTGTGATGTTTATAGTGACACCAAACAAATTGTTACATCTACCAGTTTTCTCCCAAGTCCTGCTTGCTTGGTCTCACTGGTTGGGAGTAAAGTTAAGCGGCTATGTGAAGAAGGGTAGACACGGATATTACCATTTCCACAGAGCTGTATAAATGTCTTTTACATAGATGTCCTAACTTCATAATTTCTAGAAATTTTTGCGTGGCCGACAGTTTTTATGGCAGAGGGGAAATTCAAGACTAGTTACAGGTTGTGAAGGAGGTTTAAGCACTATTCCCAGAAGGATTTTAGAACCCCACCGAGGTTGCTTCTTGTAGTATTTACTAGACTCTGTTGTTTCACATGCCATGTAAAAATAGCGCGCATTTGGTCTGCTCCTGTTGTCATAATATTTTTCATGATGGATATTGACTTATTTCCAATTAGGATATGGGATTTCTCAAATTATGCTTTTTCATTTAGGTGGTAGCAACTCAAAACAAGAAAACTTAAAATAAACAAGTTATATTTATAAAGAAAATTATTTTTAGTTCTCCTTTATTATTTTATAAAATAAACTTTAGTGATTAAAATTAATAATGAAGGGTTTTTTTTTAAGTTCTCAATTTTGACTTTTTGTCTATGAAACACATCTTACAACTATTGTATATGATGTTGAGATTTCATAATATTCAGATTTGTCTAAAATTATCTAATTTGCATAGCAATACAATACTTCCATGAAAACTCTTGGATTTTAACCAGGAGAGCAAAAGTTAAAACTGTTTCTAATTAGTCTAATTTCTGTATCTTCTTAGATTATGAAACAAATTTCCACAGACTAATGTTTTTACATGTCATTCTTGTTGATTTTTTAAAGCCCACATACAACCAGAACACATTAAATCACCTCTGCTTGGGCAATAACCTTTGTTTTGTGTGTGAGATTTTTTAAATTGATTTTTAGAGAGAGAGAGAGAGAAGAACGTCAATGTGAGAGAGAAACACTGATTGGCTGCCTCCGGCACACCTCTGGGAACCAAGCCTGCAGCTTGGGCTGATGCCCTGACCAGGAATCAAACCGGCCGCCCTTCAGTGCATGGGACTACGCCCAACTGACGGAGCTCCGCTGGCCAGGGCTGGCAATGACTGTTTAAATAAGTATATTCAAATGAAAGCAGCAAGTGGATAAGACGGCAGAGGACAAATTTTAAAAGTTGAGGCTGTGCCCTGGCCAGTTTGGCTCAGCGGTTAGAGTGTCGGCCTGGACCAAAGAGTCACGAGTTCAACTCCAGTCAAGGGCACGGACCTGGGTCGCGGTTCTGTCCCCGGCCCAGGTCGGGGTCATGTGGGAGGCAGCAGGTTGATGTGTCTTTCTCACATTGATGTTTCTTTCTCTCTCTCCCCTGCCCTCACTCTATCTGAAGATAAATGGGGAAAAAATATCCTCGGGTGAGGGTTAAAAAAAAAAGTTAAGGTTACATTAAGAAAAAAAAGCACAGCTGGTGAATGTCAGGTGTGGTGGTCATAATGTAAAATCAGGGAAGCAAAACCAACTGTTACAAGATTAATTTAGCTGACTTTTCAGTGTCCTAATATGTTCTTTGCTTGTATTGGACTTTGTTTTGCTTGTTTCTCCTTGTGAAATCTGAATGACGACAAATTGGAACTCTACAAAAAGAAGAGGCTAGGAGAAAACGTGTTCCTAATATTATTCTAATCTTGAGCCCTACATTATGAATGTTTAGTTACATCTTAATGGCTTCTTAAAAGTCAAGAAACACAATGGTATTTAAAGATTACCCGTTTGTACAAATAGTCACTGGAGTTACTCGATACCCTTTTATGTACTGAACACCTACTACCATGTACCTAGCGAATGTGGCTACGTAGGTGGGACACAGAGGATACACTAACGATGATACGGATTTGCGGTCATTTTTGGTATGTGTCCCTTGAGTTTGAGGTCGTAACTCTTTGCTACAAAGATAATTAAGATTTATACATTTATGTATTCTTTCCAGAGAGGGGAAATGACATGTCTCACAGAAGGGAGCGTGACATGCCTGTGTTTGAAATCTAACTTTTCAGCAATTAATGAACAGTTAGAGGTTTCCAGAATTTAAATGTAGATGCTGAATTTTAGTTTTGTCTCCCCCAACAATAAGAATTAACTTATTTGGTGGTTTAAATATTCCTAACATGATTATCTTTTACCAGGTGATGTTATTGTAGACATCAATGGCAACTGTGTCCTTGGTCACACCCATGCAGATGTTGTCCAGATGTTTCAGTTGGTACCTGTCAATCAGTACGTAAACCTCACTTTATGCCGTGGTTATCCACTCCCGGATGACAACGAAGACCCTGTGGACATTGTTGCTGCTACTCCCATCATCAATGGACAGTCATTAACCAAGGGAGAGACTAGCGTGAACACTCAGGATTTTAAGTCAGGAGCAGTGGTTCTGGACCAGAATGGAAAATCAGGACACCTCTTGGTCAGTGACCGTCTCAATGGGCCATCAGATGCAAGCGAGCAGAGAGCGTCCATGGCATCGTCGGGCAGTTCCCAGCCTGAACTAGTGACTGTCCCTCTGGTCAAGGGCCCTAAAGGCTTTGGGTTTGCAATTGCTGACAGCCCCACTGGACAGAAGGTGAAAATGGTGTTGGATAGTCAGTGGTGTCCAGGCCTACAGAAAGGGGATATAATTAAGGAAATTTACCATCAGAATGTGCAGAATCTAACCCACCTCCAGGTGGTAGAGGTGCTAAAGCAGTTTCCGGCAGGTGCGGACGTGCCCTTGCTTATTTTACGAGGAGGTGAGTAGTGCGTGACGAGGAGAAGCGTCCGTGTCCGTGCGCTTACCGGTTGCTTGTCCTTCCTCACAGGTCCAGAGCCTCCCCCAGACTCCGCTGGTCCCTAGTGGGCATTTCCTGGCGGTCCTGTCTGACTGCTTTCATGAGCAGCATCTTTTGCAGCAGATTCTTCAGTCATTAATGGTTTCATTCATACATGTGATGGATTTCTTTCCCTCTATATTCTTTTAAAAATCTGATCTATGGCTTTAGTGGTGGGAGAGAGTCACACTCTGAAGTCACAGTGTGCTACTTCAATGAAAGATATCCTCTTACTTCCCTTCTCTCTGTTGATGACAACAGTAAAATTGACTCTCTCCATCACTGGCACTTCGTCCGGACCTCTGGAACACCCCAAAGATGAGAGAGCCGGCGTCTCTGAGGGAGCGCAGTGTTGGGCGGCTGATCTGTTCCGTATGGACAGGCGTGATAACTTGTGCTCATAAAGCTTTATCTGAAGCTCCAGTCTCTGTCCGTAAATGTTAATGAAACCCCACAGTGTTCGTGTTAGAGAAATAAAATTTCTATTTCCCAAGGTCATCCGCTGACATGAACTGCTCGCAGAGGTTATAAATCCTGTTCCAAGGACTGGTCACCAAGTTTGCGCTTCAGTAGGCTCTTAAATCCACACCAATGGCGACTGGCACTGGAAAGAATAAAATCTGGCCCTTCACTCTTTTATCTCTCTGGCTTTTAGTTTTCATTTTTGAGGCAAATGCGTAGTTTAACTTCGTTGGGGCATTTTTGTTTTTGCTTTGCTCATTCTCGTTTCTTCTCTGGGTGATGAGGTATATGCGCTCAGAGGAGGTGACAGTCTCTCTGCTATGCTGAGCGCTGCCGTGGTGTCAGCAGGTCCCACGGGCCTGCCTTGCTCCCCACTGGCTCCACGGTAGGGAAATGATGTTGATCTGCTTGAGTCTTTGGTTACCGGATCTGTAAAATGGTAGTGACATTTATGCCTTAGGATTGTCAGAAGAATGAAATGAGATCATCTGTGTCTAATGCCTGGCACATAGGAGGTGTCAGAATTGACTAGCCTACGGAAAGTCAAAGCTAGTTTATCCTAAACGTTAACTGTATTTGCAATCTGGAGATGCTTCCTCTGTTTTTAAAATTTGGCTTATTTTCTTTAAGGTCCTCCTTCACCAACCAAAACTGCCAAAATGGTGAGTATACAGTAGTCCTCAGATGCTTCTTCCCAACCCACCAAAAGAGATGCCCTGTGCCCTCTGTAGGACAGCCCCGAGGTGGTGATCATGGACGGGGAGGGCCAGGGGTCTGCCCTGGCTGCGTCAGGACTCGGGAAGGCCTGCAGTTAGAAGAAGCCCCATAGAGAAGACATGTGCCCCCTGCTTAAGTATTTCTGCTGGAGGAATACTGGGGATCCGTGCTGCCCATGACCCTGTCCTCTGAACGGTGAAATGTGGGTCATTGACATGCTTACTTAGGGGTCCTTTCTCTGCGTTTGAGAGGAGCACACGGGAGGGAGGGCCATGGAAAGGGTTACATCTCCCTATGCCCAAAGGGAAGACAGGTTGCCTCACATAATTTCATGGGGTCTGTAAATACCCACATTTAGATAACCTCACATTTAGGACTGAACAAGACTTTCTAGAGAATTGTGGCCTCTTGTGCTCAATTTGCTTGTCAAAGTGATTGGCTGTCAGACTTAAAGCACTGTTTCTTTGGCATCCTTCTGAGTACCCGAGGAGCCCACTGAAGGACCTGTGTAGAGAATAAGACCTTAAAAAAGGATGCACCGAATAATGCTACAAAAGAAACTGTGTTAGGTGCACATCTATCTACTTAAGTAGCCACAATTATGTGGATCTAGACATACAGACAATTGTGTCTGAAATCCTTTGCTTGAATTGGGGTCTGTCATCTCACAACTGAAAGGTGGTCGTCCATAACCTTAACCCATAGGCTGATAAAGATGTCAAATGGATAAAATCTTACTAGCCCACCTAATAGGATCCTCTGCAGATTTGATGGGAGCGGGGGGTGTTAATCAAAAGGAAAGAAGCAGTCTGTACTTTTTAAAAATTGATTTTAGAGAGAGAGGAAGGGAGAGAGAGAGAGAGAGATTGAAATATCAATCGGCTGGCTGCCTCCTGCATGCCCCCTACCAGGGATCAGCCTGGAAGCCCTGGCATGTGCCCTGACCAGGAATCGAACTGACGGCCTTTCGGTGAATGGGACAGTGCTCAGCCAGCTGAGCCACACACGCCAGGGCTCTGAACTCTTACAGACTGTACCACTCAGGTCCAGTGTGGGCAGAATTCTTTTCTGCCTATTCAGTTAAAGTTGCACTGCAGTTTCCTACATTTCTCTGGTTCCTCTAGTCATCATTTTTCACATTTTATAATGGATGCCGGTGCACCATGGTGACCCTGACGCTTTGTGCTGATGGGAGTCTCTGGTGACCCTCACTGCTCGGGCAGAATCCCAGGACTGTGGGGCAAAGGAAGGGGGGCTGCTCTCATGTCCCCCGCCCTCTGACTGGTCTGGGTCAGCCAGGGGTCCCTTCGGGCACAACACTGTAGTGACCGGCCCACTGCTCCCTGACAGACAGTGTAAGTTATTCTATCACACACGAGTCTAAAGCCCCCTCTCCTCACAGTAAGTCAGGACAACAAGCCGTTTCAAAGCCCTACTTTCTTAGGCTATTTATTGGATTTCATTTTTAAGATGCTATTAAAGAACTCATTTTGCTTGGATATCAGTGTGTGCAAGTTCTGTCCGAATGGAAGAACGTGGGAATGTGCTCGCTCTGCGTCCCTCGCCGCTGGCCTGGGGCGCGTCCCCTCGAGACACTCGCCCGCCCGTGGGCGTCCCGCCGGCCAGCGGCACTGCCTCCTCCAGGTGCTTAGTGAGGACCCATCAAACCTCCTCCCTGGGGTCAGGCTCAGTGCGCGGCCGTGCGGCTCCTCGAGGACTCTGTCCGTCCCCTGTGCGGCCCGTGCACGTCCCTGTTTGGTCCCGGAGGCAGCTGTGTCGGTGCGCGCGGTGCTCGCCCTTCCCGACGCCGCGCCCTTCAGCCCGGCTCCTCATGTTGTGGTGACCCAGCCATAAAATCATTTCGTTGCTACTTCGTAACTGTAATTTTGCTACTGTTATGTCTTAGGCGACCCCTGTGAAAGGGTCGTTCGACCCCCAACGGGGTCGCGACCCACAGGTTGAGAACCGCTGTAAGGGGACAGGGCAGGAGGCCTCAAGCACAGCCTCACTGAGGCCTTTCTGTTGACATCACTCTAGGCCTTTTCTAGTTTCAGTTAAATATGTTTCACAAACACCCGTGGCCATTCTCGTGGGCTCGGGCACCCAGCTGCGCTGTGGCTTTGACCCGCCACCTCTGCAGCGGAATCAGGGACATGCCCGCCTAGACCACGGTTTATACTAATCGACTCTCTGGCTTTTTCAAATACTAAGTGAGGCCCTTTTGCATTTCAGAAAACTGATAAAAAGGAAAATTCAGGAAGTTTGGAGGCCGTAGATGAGCCCGTTCCCCGGCCCATGCCTTTCCCACCCAGCATCATCAGGTCAGGGTCCCCGAAACCGGATCCTTCCGAGGTCTACCTGAAGTCTAAGACTTTGTATGAAGATAAACGTAAGTAGTTGTGGAATATTTCAGGAGAGCATGTGACAGAATAAATTTGAATTTTTTAAATAACTGGGACCTTCCCGTCTTTCGAAACCATGTTGAAAAGTTATTGCTTCATTCCATTCTAATAACTCTAGGCTTCTTCCATTTACATTCAACATTAATTCCTTCATTTTTTTTTTCAAAATCATATATTAAGTGCCTACTACCTACCCAACATCTAAGTAAGTAACGGGAATAAATAGATAAATAGGCTACATGGGCCCTGCACCCAAAAAGATGATTAAACCTAAATGGAAAAATCAAATTTGTAATCAAATAAGTGTGCAAATCAGTACAATAAGCCTGTCAGGTGCAGTCACAGAAGGATGGACTGGGTGATGAGTCCAAAGTACGAGATGGTCAGGTTTAGCACCTCGGGTAGTGTCAGACCCTGAGTCATATAGGAAGCTAAGTTTTAACCACGTCTTCAAAGACAACTGTTGATGGGACAGGTAGAAGGGAAAGAGAAGGAATACCATTTGCACATTGACTTTGCACGGCCTGGGCTCTGCAAGGGGCTCCGCTCGGCGGGGTATGTTGTCAAGGGGAAGCAGAGGGCAGGAGCCGCGGGGGAGGGCTAGGGTGCTGTGCTGAGCGGCTGGAGTGGTCAGAGCGAGGGAGCCGCACGATGGGTTAACTGGAGGGAGGGTAATACTGCACTGTGTTTTAGAAAGACTTTCCTGGCAGCGGTATGGGGGTGATGAATTGGGTGTGCGGTCTGAGGAGGAGCCAGAGTGCACTCCTTAGGGAGTCCAGCTGAGAGAGGATAAGAAGTTCAGGTTCATACTAACTTACTTACTAACGCTAATCTTTTCCAAAGTAGAATTGTAGTAGGTTTAATTTTTTTAATGTATTTTTTTTTTTTAAAGAAATAGATCTAAATCTACCTTGGAAAGGATGTATACAGGTGGAAATATTATATATAACTGACTTCATACTTATTTAACCAATTATAGATCTTTCCCTTGATGGTCCCAGGCCATGTTTAAGAAGATGAAAGCCAGGCACAAGCACAGCGAAGCAGTAATTTAAATTAGTACCACTATGGAGAACCCCTTCTTCAGCCTGACTTACCACTCGTGGCCTGATCCATTCTTTTTATAATCCTTACCCCAAGGATATGTTTATTGATTTTAGAGAGGAAGGGAGAGAGAGAGAAACACTGATCAGTTGCTCCTGTATGCACCCCAACCAGGACTGAACCCGAAACCTAGGTATGTGCCCTGCACCCTTTTTCGTGTGAGGGGCAGTGCTCCAACCAGCTGAGCCTCCCAGCCGGAGCAGCCTGATGCATTCTTAGGCTTGGTGTAAACCAGTCAATCCCTCTGGGCCTCAACCCATAAAATAAATGAGTTGGACTCATGTGTCCTTCTCTAATAGAAAGTATTTCTCAAAAGACATCGCTTCTAAGGAACAATGTCAGGAATTACTCTGTCCAGTATCTCACTTTTTATAGCATTCCCTGACATGTTTCTCTTCTCTTTCTAGCAAATACTTCTTACATATAAGTAACATTAATATTTTCGCAGAGATAAAATTTTAGTTATGAAGTAACTTTTTTTTTTTTTTGGTACATGCCCCTAGCAGGAACCGAACCTGGGACTCTAGTCCGCAGGCCGACGCTCCAACTGCTGAGCCAAACCGGCCAGGGCTGAAGTAACTTCTTCTGACTTAATAGTCTGATGACTGCCCTTTGGGGGCAGGTCGTGTGTGTCAGGAGCTGGCCCATGAAAATCAAGCAGAGTTTAAACCTCGCTCTGCTGTTTCCCTGACCCTGGGCCCTCCATTTCCCCCCGCTAGGAAATGGGGCTAAAGATAGGTGTTAATTGTTACTTACTTTTCAAATAATGTCATTTTGCAAAGTTAGGCTAAGTGAGCAGTTCATGTGGAATGTTTTTCTGAAACAAACATATTTTATGGGCCTTCTTTTTGCAGGATTTGCCCAAGCATTAATTTAGATCATTTGCACCTATCAAATATCAAACTTAAATTGGATAATTCTGAATTTGATACTGTAGTATTAATTCGAAGGCACGAGGAATGAATGGCAGTGTAGCGCCGAGCACCTGAACAGGGCGGGGGCGGGGGGATGTCCCTAAAGCAGTCCCGATACAGAGTTTGGCTGGAACCCAAAGCAAAGATGTGGTTGAGTTTTGTGGTGTCATACAAGTGTGAATTGCATCTCAGAAAGTTCTGAGGATCTAATTTATTAAACTCTATAATATCCTACTAAATATTGAACTTAGTTTTATTTTAGTCTTTTTAAAATAAACCAAAGTATTTGCTTATTTTTTAAATGTTTTCTGGTTTTCCTTAGCGCCAAACACCAAAGATTTGGATGTTTTTCTTCGGAAACAGGAATCGGGGTTTGGCTTCAGGGTGCTAGGAGGGGATGGACCGGACCAGTCGGTAAGTGTCAATACTTCGGACTTCAGCTATTCCTGTTAAAGCGTTTAAGTGGCACTCTGGTAGAATATGGTGTTTTTGTTGTTTTCTGTTTTGTTTGATTTTTTTTTTTTTAATCTTCACCTGAGAATATTTTTCCAGACAGAGTGGAAGGGGGAGAGAGAGAGAGAGAGAGAGAGAGAGAAACATCAATGCCAGAGAGACCGATTGGTTGCCTCCTGCACGACCCCGACCAGGGCCGGGGACTGAACCACAACCAAGGTACGTGCCCTTGACCGGAATCTAACCCGAGACTCTTTGGTCCGCGGGCCAGTGCTCTAACCACAGAGCCGCACCGGCCAGGGCTGGCGTGTTTGGAAGAGACTGTGTTTCCTCTGGCAGGTTCATCAGCACGAGAAGAACTGTGTTCCTCTCAGCGTCAGGCCCAGTCACCTTAGCGCAGTGAGACGGGGTGGAACTGGGCATGTCAGCCGAAAATTAGACAGTAATTAATGTCTCCACGTGCCTAATGCTTATTTAACATGTTTTACTTCCTTTTGCCTTCATTAAACAGATTTTAAGACATTGTCCTTTTCTAAGAAACCTGTAATTCAAAATCCTATTTACCACAATCACTTTATCGTCTGAATGATCTGTAAACAGTTGGCATGAGCCATGAATATTATGTCACCTAAATCCGTATCATTCACCATATTATTAATGGGCTGACATCTTTATGCTCAGAATTTTGCATGCCATTTCATTTGTTACCTCTGAGAACAGAAGGATGTGAAATAATTAATGCTTCTGTCCAGAAAGCACAAGGGTTATGTTTGCAAAGCATTTAAATCTAGAATGCTTTTACACATGATTTACACACAAAGTTGGAGAGCGAATGTGGTGGGTGTTTTTTTAAGTTTGCCCTTAGTTTGAATGACAGAGGAATAATGTGCTTTGTAGAATTTAAGAATATAGTTAAGTGACTTTTTTTGTATAATATTAAGAAAGACTACATTGTTATGATGCTTGGAAGTTAGGTGACAATAATCTTAAATGACAGGCTTTCTTCTATTTCTGAACAGAACATTTGATTTTTATAGTATAAATGTGCCCTGACGAGTCTTATCAGTTACAGTTAATACAGTTTCCCCTCTGTAGCCAGACATAGGAGCCCTGAGTGTTCCTGAGGCTAGAGGTAGTATGTGCTATTGCTTCCTCTTTCGTTGGTACTCATAGTGGTCACTTAGACATTTGAGAATTTATTTCAGACAACTTGGGAGAACTCTGTCTCTTAAGTGTCAGGGGGTTTTTGTTTGTTTGCTTTTTAACCCTCACCTGAGAATATTTTTTCATTTTTGTTCAGATAGAGTGGGAGGGAGAGAGAGAGAAACATTGATGTGAGAAGGGCACATTGACTGGTTGCTCCCACATGACTCGACCAGGGCCAGGGACAAACCGCATCCGAGGTTTGTCCCCTTAGCCGGAATCGAACCCACAACTCGTTGGTCCGCAGGCAATGCTCCACCTGCTGAGCCAAACCGGCCAGGGTATAAGTGTCAGGTTTTATCAGCTCTGACATTAGCCCCAACGTTCGGGATTGCCTGATTTTAGGATTTTAGCTGCTGGCCAGCAGGATAACCTAGACATGTTCACCTGGATGTCCCTGAACCTGAGGCCACTCTGTGTCCTAAAAATATTCGCTGCTTTGAGGTGTAGGAAGCAGAAGTGTTTCTCTGTCTTATGTGCTGGACTTGGACGAAAGCTGCGTGATGGTGGTATCGTACAAATCACCCAGCTGCTGGGAACCGCGTGTGGACATTTTTCCTGATGGCAATAGACTTGTGTTTACTTCTAGAGCTACCCCACAGAACTGCATTTTCTGGGTTTGTTTTGTTGCAGTGATGGTAGTGATGGTGGCACTTTATAAAGTTATTAAACAACTTTGTATTTTCTGTCTTCTTTGTACTCCATCCGGAGGATCCAGAAGGGATGATGTAGTGTGGTTACTTAAAGAGCCATTTTAGAGAACGGTCTCTGTCTCAGACATCAGCTTTCTAAAAGAGGACTGTTTTCATAGTTAAACTGCAGTAATCTGTCTGTCTGTACAGAACTGAGTCAGGAAGTTCTTTACTTAGTAGGTAAGGATCTTAGCAGATCCTGGCCGACTACACAGGCCAACCTGTCCTTGGTGTGCCCTCAGATATACATCGGGGCCATCATCCCTCTGGGCGCAGCGGAGAAGGACGGCCGGCTCCGTGCGGCTGATGAACTGATGTGCATAGACGGCATTCCTGTTAAAGGGAAGTCCCACAAGCAGGTCCTAGACCTGATGACGACTGCAGCTCGCAACGGCCACGTGTTGCTAACTGTCAGAAGGAAGATCTTCTATGGAGGTATGTGCACCCGCTCCTGCTCAGATAAGTTACAAAAGAACAGGGACTTAGTCCATTGTCTGTGTAGTTTTGCACATTATTTTACATATTATGTGGGACAGTGTGTGAGGCAGTCCGTGCGGTGTGACCCAAGGCCTCGTTGTGGACGGCCATGTAAGGAAAAGGATTAATAAATAATACTACTACTGTCAAAGAAGAGAAATTTGGGGCTTCCCTATTAAGAATATATTAATATATTGATGAATTTACCAGTTTAAATCTGTTTTCTTAAAAACAAATACAAAATTATTTAGTCATACTGAGATGTCCCCTTAGCTGAATATCAAGATTGTGGATCTTGATGAAATCCTACATATTGAGAGGACAGAATGTTTGTACTTGAAAAGTTTTAGAATAATATGATTTAACATTTATTGAGTGCTCACTATGTCCCAGGCATATGGATTCTCTCATTTAATCTTTATAACACTAGGATGCAAATACTGTCAAGTCTAGTTTTGCAGTTACTCACGGAAAGGTAGAGACACACATAACTGGTTAGGTGTAGGGCCAGGATGAAAATGGGTGTTTAATTACAGAGCCCGATGTCTAAATGATACACTCAGATACGAATCTCTCATGTTTGTCTCATCGATAGCTTTGTGAATATTAAATAGGAATTTTGCGGAGTGAATTCTTGCCACTTGCAGTTTTATAAAAACACCCCTGTAGCACGGACTGGAGCTTCCTGGATGGGGACCCCTTCAGTCTGTGCTGACCCAGCACTTAGAAGAGCCCCTGCTGGGCACAGAGTGGACGGCAGATGTTTGTTGGCTGATGCATATTTGCATCGCTCTCAAAAACGAGGCCCTGTGCTTTTGCTCGCAACACCCTGAGCAAAGCCCCACCTCTCTTCGAAAGATCAGGCCTTTAGGGGTGCACACAGATGTTAATGTAGGGTCGCTGGGTTTGGTTGTACCGGAGTCAGGATGGAACTACACAAGGTAAGTGACTAGTGGGATGTTAGACTAGCAGGTGGCTGGCTGTCTCCTGGGCGGCATCTTGAGGGAGTTTCCTACTCATTTGACATTATTGGAGGCATTTAGCTAATTCAGTCTAACCATGGATTATATCCCCAAATCCTTGATTTTTCTTTAATGATTGGATGTTGGTGGCACTTTGTTGAGGTTCAAAAGCAGTCTTAGAATCATGTAGCTTTTGAGCCAAAATAGGTCACATGATTGTGTATTGTCAGTGGCAGTGTGTTGTCGTTGTTCATGGTTTGTATGGTGATGTCACCCTCGGAGAAAAAGGGGTGGGTTAACCGGCCCGGTGCTGGGCTTCCCTGGCGGGGTCTCCGCCCAGGAGCGCTGGCTGTTGGCGTGGACAGCTCGGTCTGTGCCTTCGAACTGCCCGGCAGCTCGTCTGACATCCTCATCGGGGAACTGCCGCAGGCCCCACGGAGGCGGCAGCTGAGCCCAGCTGTGGTGGCCGCCGCTGTCCTCACGTAGTGACTTCCAGACGTCACGGATTTCAGCCCCTGCTGAAATGATACTTAAAGTTGATTTTAAAAGGAAATTTACTGTCACTTCTTATCATCAACTTTTGTTAAAATTACTGGTCAAGGTTAAAATCCTTTCTGGAATTCGAACAATTTCAAGGAGAACTTTTACTCTCAAATTTCACAGAAACTTGGAAGCCCCCCATTGCATGTGTCCCGGCTGTCCATGCCAGGGCATTGCAGGCGTCGGGGTCGTGTCCAGCGTGCACATGGGGTGGGGCAGCTTTTCTAGTCTGTTATTAGAAAGTAAATTTTTTTGAGAGGCTTAGAACAAAAACACTTTAGTTATCAAAAATTACGATGTTCCAGAAATATCCAAATTGGTCATGTTCATTGCAGAAAAGCAGCCCGAGGATGACAGCTCTCCAGCCTTCCTTCCGACACAGGACGGGTCTCCGCGCCTGAACCCCGCGGAAGCCCCAGCCAGGCCGGCGCCCCGAGAGGCCTATGATGTCATCTTGCAACGAAAGGAGAATGAGGGCTTTGGCTTCGTCATCCTCACCTCCAAAAACAAGCCGCCCCCAGGAGGTGAGGGCTGCTGTGTCCTGTTGTCCCAGCCTGTGCGTCCAGTTCTCTGGGTCTCTCACAGGGTGTTACAACTGATTAGGAATTATGTATAAATGGCCTTAGAGACTTAACATTCTAAGAATGATGAATATTTTCTTCATTTTCAAAATTAGGTGATCTGGACCAAACCTCCTAGGCTTCAGGGTTATGTGTCATCTCAGATTCCAGGAAACAAGCGTTAGTAGCTCGGTTTGCATCCAGATTATATTGGGCAGTATGTCGGGGACAGTGCTGAACTTTTTTTTTTGTTGTTGTTATCCTCACTCTAGGACATTTTTCCATTTTTTTGTTCAGATAGAGTGGAAAGGAAAGAGAGGAAGAGAGAGAGAAACATTGATGTGAAAGGGACACATCGAGTGGCTGCCACCCACACGACCCAACCAGGGCCGGGGACAACCTGCAACTGAGGCACATGCCCTTAGCGGGAACCGAACCAGGGTCTCGGGACCGCAGGCCGACGCTCTAACCACTGAGCCAAACCGGCCAGGGCTGAACTTTTTATTTTTTATTTATTTATTTATTTATTTATTTATTTATTTATTTATTTATTTTTTATCCTCACCCGAGGACATTTTTCCATTTTTTGCACAGATAGAGTGGGAGGGAGAGAGAGGAAGAGAGAGAGGGAAACATCGATGTGAAAGGGACACATCGAGTGGCTGCCATCCGCACGACCAACCAGGGCCAGGGACAAACTGCAACCAAGGTACGTGCCCTTAGCGGGAACCGAACCCGGGTCTCTCCAGACCACAGGCGGATGCTCTAACCGCTGAGCCAAATTGGACAGGGCTGAACTTTTTAAATATAGGGGCGTAGTATGAGAAATCGTGTATGCAGAAATGAATTAAATTCTAGAAGCAGTTGACAAGCAAAACAGATTAATAGAAAAACCTTGACCCAAACATGTCGCAGATTGTCCCTTGTGATTTAACAATAATCGCCACGCTCTAGCTCCAGAGCAGCCGTCTTGAGTGACAAGCATTCTTCCCTCTTTATACGCTTCTTGAAAGGTAAAGGTTTTGTCAGAACCTTTAAAATTAAACATCCTGATCCTGGTTTAACAGAATATTCTCATCTGCGAAGGATGAATGTGTATGTTCATTCCCTCAACAGAGGAATTACCTCTAGTATGTTCAGGGATGTTATGAGTCAACAAATTAAATGTGTGTCTCATCTTAGTGTTTCTAAGAAATAATTATCTCTAAATATAATTATAAAATCCAAAATGAATATGAGAACCAGCAAATGAATATTTATGTCTCGTGTTTGGTAACTTTATTTTTCTAAGTCAAATGATAAAAACCTGCGACCACACGGCGGTGCCCCTTGCCTTCCCCAGTGGACTTGGTTATTGCCTGGGTAGCGTGATCCTTCTCCACGAGGTGGTCACTACGATCTTCGTGACTAAAGCAGACGGTTTCAGAAAAGTGTTGCGAGCCAAAGGAATTTACAGAAATCTTGCTGAAACGAAGCGCATGTGAAGGAGGGAGCCTGTGACCTGGCTGAGCTGCGGCTGCAGAGTCAGGTCACTGCTCACTGCTGCTTTCCATTTTCTGTCAGCGGTTGCTATGGCAACACTTGGACCGGGAACTGTCACTGGTGCTGTGAGGATGATTATGTGGCCTGTCTCAGAAAAAAGAAAGGAAGCAGCTTTTAGGCGGATTTTATGTTGTATCGTTGGAAATGAGAATTTCCAGAAACAAATAACCATTTTAGATCATCGTATTCTCATTCTCATACCATACAGTAATCCAGGCTTTCAGATTAACCAACACCGTGAAAGAGTACTACTCAGTATGGTGGATGCTAAGCACTTTTTATATTGAAGATATTCCTTTTCTAGCACTGAAAATTAGGGGAGAGTCCATTGTCACCGGAAAGCTGAGCAGTATAGAGGAATTCAGTAAAATAAAGTTTCATTACTTAAAATGCTTAACATTTTTATATTGATTATATTCAACATTTATATAACATCTTAATACATTACATATTAAATATATTCCTATTTGTGTATATCTTATTTGTTTATATTTAAAATTTTAAAATATTTTATACTTATTTATTTAAATTGTTTCTTAGATGTTCATGGTTTTGTGTGCCATCGGTCTTCGTTACGTGTTGGGCTTTAATGAGACACGCTGCCGAGTCTTGTGGTCGCTGTGTGGTCTCGGGCGTCACCCCCGAGGGCTCTGGTTGGTTCTGTAAAAGGAGGACGCGGGGTCACTTCCGGTCTCGTAACGCGCCGAAGCCCACAGCCTGGACCAGCAATAAGTGTTAGCTGCTGCTGCCGTTTTCATCGCCATTATTTATGAAACTGTTTGTCCCTGTCACTTGATCGTTTTTTAAAAGAAACTTTAAAAAGTTTATTAGTACGTGAGTAATGAGCTGGGAAGGAAGCTCGATTAAAATGTGAGATGGAGGCTGCAGCGAGTGTGTGGCAGGAAATGAGTGTTTGCAGCTCATTCATTATCAGCGTGGAGAGTAAATTAGGCTTAGTTGGCAATGAATTTTATATGAAGTACTTGAGGTTTCAGTCACAGTGCAAGACCAGAATCTATCACGTCACTGAAACGCTAGTTAACAGTCTCAGAGTGCTGAGCCCTGCCGGCAGTTCCAGAACCCCGTCCGTCTCTTGCAGACTGGAGAGGGGCCTGGGCGGAGTGGGGTGAGGAGCTGCCCGCCAGACTGAGCCGACGCAGCGCACCGTAGGAGAGAAGGTTCGCTTTGGCAGAGGGTCAGCACTGGCCAGAAGGCAGGGGCCTGGCTGTCAGAGTAGGTCCTGGACCTTGTTTTGGTGTAGATTGGTATTCTGCTCAGTATAGTTTTTTTTTTTTTTTTTCCTTCTGATTAAATGTATTTTCTAATGACATTTGTTGCAAAAAAATTCCCATCACATCTCTAATACCAGTTATAAAATAGTCTGACATTCCCTACTGTTGGTTTTTCAAAGATCCTAGTGCAGCACCCTTGCTGCCTGGACCCATGGGAACAGGGCTAAGTGAGGGGAACACTTGGGAGAGATGCCTGTTTAGATGAAGAGGACCTGGCTAGTTTTCGTCCACCACATTTCAGTTCTGGTTGCAAAGGGTTTCTTTGAGAAGGGACGTTTTCAGTTACTGTCTGTTCTTTTCCTGAAATGAAAGGTTAGTGATCTCAGCAGCTGGACACGCCAGTCTGCAAGACAGACCGTGGCCAGAGCTGAATGAAGACGGATAAACTGACTTTATGGCAAATGTCTGTAGACTTTGTACACCCCCAAAACAAGGCAGGGCTCCAGATTTTCCTCAGCTACGTGTACTGGGGGGGGGGGGAGGGTGACCTTAAAAACTTCCCAGGCTGTTCTCAGAAGGTCCGAAGCTACCTTCCTACTGGCCTGCAGCATTTAGCCGTCTTGGTGGTGAGCCCAGTGAGTGCCCAGACACGCTCTCCTGCCCCTCGCCAGACCGCCCGCCCTCCCTCCAGGCGGCCCCGGCACAGCTGCCCATTCCTTTCGCCACGTGGCTCGCCGACGAGGCAGGGACAACTGCGACCCCAGAGGTTCAGTCTGCTTGGTGCTTTCCCAAGGTTGAACACACCCCTTTCAGCGGGCCGAGGAGCTGAATAACTCTTCTCGGGGGACCTAGAACGCACACTGTGTGAGTGAATCTTCTGAGCAGGACAGTAACTAAGGTGTTGACCCGGAGTCGCCACAGGGCCGCCCGATGAGTCGGCGTGTTCCTGAGGGGCCTGCGGTGCGGCAGGGCCACTGGCCCGGGACGGCCTTCCTCCTGGCACGGTCCTGGTCACTGTGTTCATGAGGACAGCTTGAGATAATTCAGAGCCAAAAGGCACTTGCTTGCAGCATTGACTTCCTCTGCTTGAAGAGAAGACCCATCGCCGTCAGTCCCGAGAGCCACGATGGCAGCGTCCACGGGGCGGAAATCATGGCCGACAGCAACTTCCAGTTCCAAGTGAAGGCCTGCTGCAGTCCCCAGTACACACCAAACTAGGCTCAGGTCCTTAGCGAGGAGCACGTTGTGCCGTGGGAATGGAACATAATCACAGTGCCATTCGAAAATATTTATGGTCCCTTTCATAGCAAGCAGCAGTTCGCGGGAGCCCGGAGCACAGAAGGGACAGTCGTGTCTTAACGAATGCCCCGGCCACGAGGTGAGAGGTGTCTGGACAGGATTTCTGTGTGTCTGAGAACGCATTTTAAACCGTAATGACAGTCGAGTGTCTGAACAGTCAGGAAAGCCGTCAGCACTGAGCCGGGGCCTCACAAGAGACCCGCACAGCGTCTGTGCCGAGGGGGAGGGCTCAGCTTGTCGTGCAGGGCAGGGTTTATCCCTGAGCCAAGTAGTAGTGACATAAAGCACTGATGTTCTGACTCCACTCAGCTTTTCTCATTGTAAAAAGACATAAAGGCCTGCCTGGCCGGTTTGGTTCAGTGGTTAGAGCATTAGCCTGCGGTCCAGAGAGGCCTGGGTTCGGTTCCTGCTAAGGGCACGTACCTCAATTGCAGTTTGTCCCCGGCGGTTGGGTCGTGCGAGAGGCAGCCACTCGATGTGTCCCTTTCACGTTGATGTTTCTCTCTCTCTCTTTCTCTTCCTCTCTCTCCCTCCCACTCTATCTGAACAAAAAATGGAAAAATGTCCTCGGGTGAGGATTAAAAAAAAAAAAAAAAGATCTAAAGGCCTAAATGAAGGGAATTAATTTTGCTCTAGAGCCAAGTACAATTCATTTGGATGGCCAGTCATTTTGCTGTGCCTGGACTTCTAACCAAGAACTTCGGAGTCCTAAACTTGAGTTTGAGCTGCATTTGTTCACAAGGTCCCTTGTGGAAGTAAATGCCCCTTCGACAGAACCACAGAGGGTCTCAGTTTAGCAGTTTCTAAAATAACCCAAAACATGAGGCAGCCCGAATGGCCAACAACAGACAAGAAACGGAGATTACTGAGCTACTATCATCAGTATCCGCGAGGCTGGTCGTCTCTACACAGGACTATTAGGATGACAGTATAAAAATCGGGGAAAGGTTTATGGCAAATAGAAACAGCAAAGGGGTTTAATTGCCGTGGTTGCAGCTATGTGAAGAGAAGGCACGTGGGCAGAATGGGGAAGATGTGTGGGAACCGCTGCGTCTGGATAGGATGCTCGTTTTTCATTGTACTTTAAAGAGTTTTCTTAGATGTGTTGAACTTTTAAACGATGATGATAAATCCAACACTAACAGATACTTAAATAACTGAAAAGCCTGGGGATTTCTTCTCATAGTTATTCCTCATAAGATCGGCCGAGTCATCGAGGGCAGCCCCGCGGACCGCTGTGGGAAGCTGAAGGTCGGAGACCACATCTCCGCGGTGAACGGGCAGTCCATCGTGGAGCTGCCCCACGACAACATCGTGCAGCTGATCAAGGACGCTGGCATCGCTGTCACGCTGACGGTCGTGGCCGAGGAAGGTGAGGGGTGGCCGGGGCGCAGCAGCGGCGGGCGGGGCTCCGTCCAGCTCTGCCAGAACTGGGCAGCGGCACATTCACAGGCCCTGGGGTCTCACTTTTTGTCTTTTCCACTTAATGAATTGGAAAGTTTGTTATCAAGTTATCAGTAGTTCAAGAAGAGTAATCCGGCTGGTGAGTGGTGGCCATTTATTTATGGAGAAGCAGGCAGCTTGGTAAGACTTTTCAGCTCTGATGTTCTTTTAAAATAGTCTCAGCCTCTGCTTGAGTGAGAGAAAATCCTCGGACGGGTCAGGAGTCGCGAGTGTGCCTTCCCAGGACGCAGGCCCCGTCTGGGCAGCTGCCTTGTTCGGGGCAGGGAGTTCGTAGGAATGGCCGGTAAACAGGGCGTCAAACCCACTCAGTGTCTTGCTTTGCTTTAAAGCTGCCTTTTGATCAAGAATTTCTAATGAGGAACCATTTGAATAGAACCCGTTCATATTCTTTGTTTATGAATTACGTAATGCTCATCTCATTTTTCCTGATTTTGTAAAACTAATGAGGAGAAGCCTGAAACAGCAGAATTAGGACGGTCAGTCTTGCATATTAAAATACGTGTGCTGCAGTGTGTGTTCATGTCCCATTCACTCCACGATCCTCTAATGTGGTCAGTCTCCAGCCTTAATTCTCAATTCTTCCGTCCTTTCTCTTGCAACGGCCCCACTGGTATTCTGTAGACCTTTCTGTCCAAGGTCCTGGGTGGACACGCGTTCACCTGGCTGCCCTCCGAGACCCTATTCGTTCCTTCTGGCCCGTGACATCTCTTCCCGTCTCCAGTCTGCCCAGCACTCTGCCCGACTGTCCCGACGCCAATTTTTCCTTCTGAAACCTCCTTAGAGGAAGCTCCATGCTTCCCCACTGCACAGAAAAGTGTTTTTAATTATTTTGCTCCCACCTGCCTTTTAACTTTGCCTCCCAGCGTTCCTCCCAAACCCTTCCCTGAGCGGGGCCTCTCTTAGGCAGCCTCCCCCAAACCCCACAGCTCCGCTTGCCTCTGCCATTCAGAGACTGTTCTTACGTAACCGTCTTGCTTTTAAAAGAGAGTATCTGCTTTTTGAAGACAAAGAAAATATTGCCAATTGCCTATGATACTTGGTAGGTGCTCAGTTAGTGGTTTTTGAATGAGGGAATGAGTTAAAGAATGAACGGATCATTGAATGAACAATGTAAAAGTCAGGAGCTTCTCAGCTCTGTGCCCACACCTGGCAGAGGCCATGCAAACCCAGTAGAAGTGAGGCTTTCGATGGAGTTCACTGGCACCTGTGAGCTGGTTGTAGGAAGGAAACAAGCCACTTGGCGTGTCCACCCTTCAGATTTTAGCTATAGAATTGGAATGATAACATCTGCTTTAGGATCACTGTGAAGATTAAAGGTGAAATTGTATGTAATCTGTGTAAATACCTCCGGCGCTCACCTGATGACGGCTGTCCTTACTTGACCACGTCTGCATGGCTGGCTCCCTGACTCGGGTCTCTGCTTCAGTCACTTCCTGAGGAAGGAACAGTAGTGTTTAATAAATGCTATGTCCTAAAATAATTCAAATCTATTAACTCATTAACGCTCACACTAATCCTAGGTAGGCACCCTGATTTCCCATGCTGTAGGGGAGGAAACTCGGTCACAGAGCAGCCGGGTAACTTGGCCATGGTCGTAAAACTCGCAGGCCGGGACCCAGTACTTGAGTCGGGCAGTCTGGCTCTGCAGTCTGCGCTCCTAACTGCTGTTCCTTCCGGACCAGTTTCCACGAGGGAGCGGGCCCGCTGCCTTCTCCCTGCTCTACTGCCTCCCCCGCACCGAGCCTGCCTGAGCTGTTCACGTGCTCCCCGCCAGAGGGCAGTCACAGGGCTCCGGGCGTTGGGGATGTTGAGATGCTCAGAGCTAAACCCCGCAGGTCGAATACACTGTCAGGCACAGAGCAAGTGCTCAATAAAAATTTTTCGAATGAAAAATTAGCATCACTTAGTGTGATTTTTGGTCAGATTTCTTTATCTCAGTTTCTTTACCACAATCCTGATAGCCTGCTTTTTAGCCTTAAATTTGTTCTGTGACCCACAAAGCAAAGCAGGCCTCAGCACCACAGGAAACAACATGTCAGGTGTTCAGAGAACGAAGTCTCGGGCGTGGGGGGCGTGCGGGGAGCCGCCGGGAGGCGTGTCGCAGTTGCTCAGACCGGCTACAGAAGGAGCAGCGGCCACTTTGCTTCGTCACAGACAGCATGTTTGTGAAGTACAGTGCAAATTAAATGAAAAATAAAAACAAAGACGCTACATTCCCGTTAGATCACTATAAGATTTTCTAAATGCTCACTCGCAGTGTCTTGTTGCTGAGGGAGCACAAACCACACTTGGAGTGTGTGTGGATAGTTCAGTCGTAGGAAGACCCTTCTTACTCTTGAAATTTTTTTTTCCAAAATTACCCTTAATTGTTGATGGTGTTTTCTCTAAGAGGTTTGTCTAAAATTGCGCTGTCACTTTTCTTGAAAGAGTGTTTTGTGTGTAGGCGCACCTCTAAACCATCCCGTTTCAGTGATTACACCTTGTTCAATGACACTCCATGTCCGTCACCCATAGAAGCATTCAGAATCTTGTATTTTTCTCAGAAAAAATAGAAAGTATCTCTTCTGCCCAGAAAAGTCCCATTCATAGAGTTGTTGATCTTCCTAGTTTCTCATAGAATTTGGTATAAAATCTCCCAACTTCACTAGCGTCAAACGAGTATTCACAGTTCAGACTGTGGTCAGAAACCACACCTTCGGAGACATGTCCCCCAGCTGCTGCCTTCCCCCCACCAGCCACTCATGGGGACAGAGACGTGCCCCGGAGAAGGAAAGTGTGTTCCCTTAATTCTCTGTTTCTCCTTTTGATAAACAGCATTTAATATTTGTGCTTATTTTGCCAAGGAAATGGTAAACCAAGTTCCCAAACCAATATCCTATCTGGTATAAAACTTTCAAACTTGTGACCGTCTCTGTGTCATGGCATTATACACAACACTTGTGTTGGTTTCGTTTCGTTTCTTTTTTCCTTTTCTTTTCTTTCCTTTTCTTTCCTTTTCTTTTCTTTCCTTTTCTTTTCTTTCTTTCTTTCTTTCTTTCTTTCTTTCTTTCTTCCTTTCTTTCTTTCTTTCTTTCTTTCTTTCTTTCTTTCTTTCTTTCTTTCTTTCTTTCTCTTTCTACCATTGTAATGTTGCTGTGAACATCAGTGTACAGGTTTTTCTACAGATGTGTGTTTTCATTTTTCTTGAGTATGTACCTAGGAGTGGAATTGTTGGGTCCTGGTAACTGTTGAGCTTTTTGAGAGTTTAAACTGTCCAGTTGTTTCCACTGTGTGCACCATTTTCTGTGTGTGTGTGTGTGTGTGTGTGTGTGTGTGTGTGTGATTCTAGCCACTCTAGTGAGTGTGCAGTGGTATCTCATTGAGGTCTTTATTTGCATTTCCCTAATTACTAATGATGTTGAGCAGCCTTCCGTGTGCTGTTGGTCATTCCTATATCTTCTTTGGAGGAGTGTCTGTTCAAACCCCTTGCTCTCTTAATTGGTTTGTCTTTTGCTTGAATTATTAGACTTCTTTATATATTCTGATAGTAGATCCTTATCAGATATATGTATATCTTTAGTTGCTTGTGCTTTTGGTATCATAGCCTCATGTGTTTTTAAGATTTAACCATGTTGCTGGGTGAACATAATCAATTGCTTTTAACTGCTTGACAGTTTTTTATGGTATATATTCACCATGTATTACCTGTCCACCCCGCACCCCACCCCCAGCCAGCCTCCAACTCCATATCATCACACACTGTCCAGACATACCCTCATGTGTGTACCTTATACAACTGAGAATTTCTTGCAGTGGAATTGCTTGATCTAAGCACATGCCATCCACATGCATTTGACCGAGGACGGTCAGACTGTCCTCATAACTGCTGTGTCCGTCTGCACCCCCCGCGGAACCTTGAGTCCTGTGTCTTCATATCCCCCCCAGTACTTGGCATTATCCTGAAGTATGGGAAGTGTTATCTCATTGATATTTAATTTGTGTTTTTCTCTGATTACCCATGAATTTGAGCATCTCTTCAAGATGCTTGTTTTTGGGGATTTTTTTCTTCTTGTGAATGACCTCTTCATATCCTTTACTCATTTTTCTTGAAGGATTTCTGCCTTTTTCTTGTTGCTATGTAGAGATTCCTTGTGAATTGTATAGGCATTCGTCCAATTTAATTTTAGAACATACGGATATCTTTCCCTGTCACCTGTATGTAACCAAACATAATTCCATACAAAATGTTTACCTTATGGCTTGTGCTTTTGAAGTTTTAAGATAAGTTATCCTTCCCCACCCTGTGTCACAGAGATTTCCTCTTACGTCATCATCTACTAGGTTTATAATTTTGCATTTTACGCTGGGTCTTTAATCCGCCTGGAGCCGAGCTCGTCTAGTTTTGGAGCGTCGTGCAGTTTCCACGGTGAGCCGTGGCTCCGCAGGGCAGTCAGCCAGCACTGCCGTCACACTGTCTGTGAGCATCGGCTAACCCCCAGCACGGGTCTCCAAGCTCTGCTCTCCTGTTGGTGCATCTGCGCTTGGGCTGGTTCACTCATAATATTTTTAAAGTGATCCCTGGCCGGTTTGGCTCAGCAGTTAGAGCGTCAGCCTGCAGTCCAGAGAGACCCGGGTTTGGTTCCTGCGAAGGGCACGTACCTCGGTTGCAGTTTGTCCCCAGCCCTGGTTGGGTTGTATGGGTGGCAAACACTCAATGTGTCTCTCTCACATTGATGTTTCTTTCTCTCTCTCCCCCTCTATCTGAACAAAAAATAGAAAAATGTCCTCGAGTGAGGATAAAAAAAATATATATATATATTTTTTAAAGTGTGTGTATATGTATTTTTTAATCTGTAACTTTGTGGTATATCCTAGTATCTGTTAAGGCAAGTCTTTCTCCAACCCCTCCCCCACTCCAAATAGACTAGATATTGAGGAAACTTTTTCATATAAAATTTTAGAGCAAACTATTAAGCTCCTCCAAAAACTCCATCTGTAATTTTCATTGGAATATGTTGAGTATAGTGCAAAGTTAATGTATTGTATTTATTAAATTTGGGGAAATTTATACCTTTAAAATTTTTTCTGTATTGATTTTAGAGAGGAAGGGAGAGGGAGAGATAGACACATCGATGAGAGAGAACATCAGTTGGCTGCCTCCTGCATGCCCCCCACTGCGGATTTGACCCACAACCTGGGTATGTGCCCTGACCAGAAATCGAACCAGCGACCTCTAGGTGCATGGGTCGATGCTCAACCACTGAGCCACACTGGCCGGGCAAATTTATACCTTTAAATATTGTCATCTCACACAAGAGCATGTGATGTCTTCAATTATTCAGATCATCTTTTATGTCCTTTAGTAGAGTTTTAGAAAGTTCTCTCATAGGGTATTTATTCTTGGTAAAGATGATTCGCAATGCATTGTTTATCTTCTGATAATAATACTTTTTCTTAAGTAGTTACATATAGAAACTCCTGAAAAAGCTCAGTTGTCATTGAGGACAGGATACTTAACCCACTGCTTTACTAATTGAAAACATTTCAGATAAAATTCAGAGATAACATACCTCTTGGAATAAATATTTAACTTTGAGAAGTAGAGCAGCTTTTAACACAGAAATGAATTGGATGACTAAAAATGAAACGAATAGCAGTGAAAGAAAGTTGTATTTAACCTGAAGAGGACAAAGCAAAAACATGTAACAGCACCAATTTGCGGTGCCTTCTGCCTGCAGTGACATCTCTCACCCTTAGGGGGAGGTAGAGGAAGACTTGAAATTGACCAGCTTATTTTTAGTCCTGAAGTTTTACACCCATTGCTCTAGCCATGCTGGTGAAGCCAAAAAAAATTATCTAAATTGAATTCCTACAAAGGTACAAGTATCTCCCAGTCATCTTGCTGCTAGATGTAACTATTTCCATCAGTTTTCATTCCCCTAATAGCAGCCATGAATTTACGACGACAGAGGAGAAATCGCCTCTCTAGGGAACTCTCAAGTTTAGAGGCAGGGAACTTGCAGTCGGCATGCCCAGTAAGCAGAGGTTGAAGGACTTCTGGGAGTAGAAAGATAAATGAGGTGTGATTCCTGCAGCCAAGGAGTTCACAGTCCAGCAGGAGAGACAGGTGTTCACCTCACTCGGGCACAGCGTGTTAAATGCTGTGAAAACAGTGTGTTTAAGGAGCCAGGTGATGTCACAGAGGCGCCGTTGTGAACAGGAGATGAAGTGCAAAGGCAGAAGTGCCCAGGTGACAGGCTTATAGTACCTTCTGAGCAATAGAAAGCCGACAGATTTTTAAGCAAGGCACTGGTATGTTTAACTTATGTGCTGGGACTGGAGTCCAGGAAGCAGAATGGAGACGAGATGGTGGCAAGAAGACACCAACATAAGTAACTAAGCTAATGAGGAAATGAAAGTCATGACAGTAATATGAAAGAGCAACAAACAAACTTGCAGGCCACCCCCCGCCCCAAAAGTGTGCATACTCCTCTTCTTCCCTGAAACACGACTTTGAAGAGGAAAGACCACCCTTAGATAAGGTCTGCCAGGGCTGGTCCCATCGCTGCGTCCAGGACGCGCTGCTGGCGACCACGCAGAGCAGCCTGGCACCAGTCCCAGCAGCAGAACCCCCAGGGGCGCCACAGCTTCCCCACAAACCCTGACCCTCCTCCTCCCACCTCCCATACTCTTGCCTGGGTTTTCAGGGTCCTCTTGCTCAATTGCAAGAGGTTCTTTAATGTACCGTATCTATGTTTTTAGTCCCAAGAACTTTGAAGAGAAACTTAGTCCGAGCCGTAAGAGAGTGATGCATGTAGTAAGGCCTGGAGGCTCAGCTCCCTCAACAGAGAGAGCTTCCGGAACACTCGTGTCCCTCGTCTCTGACGCTGGTCCGTCTCCCTGACACTCCGAGACTGTGTGTGTATGTCAGTTCCCACGAGTTCTAATCAAAAATGGCGTCTGTATCAAGCATTTTTGCTGTATAAGGTAAATATTTTAAATATACACTTGAAGAGAAAGATAGCCCAAAAGAACTAGTTTACCATTGACATTAACAATAATGATGACTATGTTTGAAACTTTTCTATAGTGACTATAAGATGCCAAGCACTATTCTAATCATGTTCCTGTTCTGTGGATGAGATGATTAGAAGCACAGAGAGGTTAGGTCATCTGTTCAAGAACACACAGCTAGTAAGTGATGGCAGGCTTAAGCCCCGGCAGTCTTGCTTCAGAGTTCATGGTCTTAATCACTAAGCTGTGTCCCCTCTCTTTGGTATTTTAAATATCCTGTTTGATATTTGGACAGGATAAAACATTAAAAAGTTTCAGCTTTAAAAATACGAGTCTGGCAGCGTGAAGAGTCTCTTTAACTGTCATCTCCCGTGACTGGCCGTCTAGATCAGGCTTAGCTAGCAAATCTGCCTTCAAAAAACAACAGAGCTGGAACTATTGCAAAAAATACAGAAACAAATGTTACTTTTTTCACCTATATTTGTGCTCTCAGAAAACAGGAGCAGGAAAATCTTTGAGGTTTTTTTTTTAATCCTCACCCAAGGATATATTTCTGTTTATCTTCAGATAGAGAGGGAGAGAAAGGGAGAGAGAGAGAAACATCGACGTGAGAGGGACACATCGACTGGTTGCCTCCGGCACGACCCCAACCAGGGCCAGGGACGAACCACAACCCAGGTATGTGCCCTTGGCCGGAATCAGACCCACGACTCATTGATCTGTGGGCCCACGCTCTACCACTGAGCCAAACTGGCCAGGGCAGAAGTGGGAAAATCCTGGTAAACATTTGTCAACACACAGGATAATTTGGTAAGTTGTCATTGGTGTTCAGCGTCCGGCAGGGTAACTGCTCCCATATTAAAGGTGCAGGTTGCAAGCTGTGTGTGGAGTTCGCAGGCCCTGTTCCAGCATCTCTGAGACCTGTCTCTGTTGTCTGTTGTCTAGTGGTTCCAGGATGGAGTGTGCTCTGGAGACTCCCAGAAAGAACAGGCTAAAGGGAGTTACTGAAGCCCGACCTCGCCATAATATTACTCCAGTGTGTTCCTTTCTGAGTTCCAATTGTGTGGGTTTCCAGACAAGGTGAAAGACGGGGCCCCTGGCCGGTTTGACTCAGCAGGTAGAGCTTCGGCCCGAGGGCCAGAGTCACGGGTTTGACTCCAGTCAGGGGTCTGGCCCTGGTCGGGGTCGTGCAGGAGGCAACCATTCGATGTGTCTCTCTCACGTTGATGTTTCTCTTTCTCCCTCCCCCTCCCCCTCTATGTGAAAATCAATGTAAAAATGTCCTTTGGTGAGGGTTGGGAAAGTGAGTGTAGTAAGAATATGACTCCTATTCTCTTCGAACATAAACTTTAATCAAAAGGCCCAGGGGCAAAGGTGGTAAGGTTCACTTCCAGACAGCTGAGAACACGCTGTGCGTGCGGAAGTCTCCGAAGTCGGTAAAGCAGCAGCCATTGGTTATTGTCTCGTTTGCACAGACTCAGTTGGCCTTCGCGTTTTTAGATACAAATGCTTATTTGTGTTGTTTTCTCATCTGAACAGAGCATCATGGTCCACCATCAGGAGCAAACTCAGCCAGGCAAAGCCCAGCCCTGCAGCACAGGCCCATGGGGCAGTCACAGGCCAACCATGTACCCGGGGACAGGTGAGGCTGTTCTCTCCTCACCCAGCCCCCACCCCTGCTCCACAGTGATGCAGATGCCCGCTGGAGGGGTCAGAATGGGGTACCTTCCGTTTCCTGCACTTCTCCATCCCCCGGCACAGCCTCACTCCAGTCCTGCCGACAAGTGGGTTAGAAGGCAGCCACAGTACCACTGGCCCCTCTGCCCTGTCTTGATTTGGGGAGAGAAGCCCCGGCCCCACAGATGGTTGTCTTCCCAGGTGACCCGAGCAAAGCAGTATTTGTACCTATTTCTCTCCTCTTTGTTGAAAATATTGCCGTAAACAGTAACTGGACTTCTAGAGAGTCAGTGGCACCTTCGAGGGGCTGGCACTCCCTGCAGGAGAGCCATCTGTGCCCTCGGGTGTTTGCTCGGGGGCGTTCGCCTTGGTGGACGCCGAGGCGCCCTGACAACGAGAAGGAACAGCCGCGGACGGAGCCGAGGCTCTGCCGGAGGGAAGGACCCGGCTTCTGGCTCGGGGTGTCGTCTGTCTTTGTAGCAGTCGGTCAGGGGGAAGGGCCAGGTCCAGCTTTGGAAGGAAATGAAATTAACCTTTTATCTGTAGCCTGTTCGTCATTTGCTCAGTTCAGAGTGAGCCTTGATCTCTTGCAGTGAGGTTGGGAAAGACGTGTCCGCTTCTTACCGACACTCCTGGTCTGACCACAGGCACCTCGCGCAGCCCGACTCGGCCGCCATCTCCGTCGGCGGCCGGCACAACCAGGTACAGATGCCCCCGAAGCCGACTGGCTTCTTTTCATCTGCTGAGTCACTGACACAAATTTTTACTGCAAATCAGATAAATTAGTCCCTCCAGTCAGTCATTCTTGAGGACCCACGAGGTGTCTGTCAGCTTCCGGGGGGGAGAGGAGGGGGGACAAGCCCCCGACAGCTGCCGAGGTGGGAGCCCCTGGCCGGGCGCTTAGAGAGAGCAGTGGTTGAGTTCCCAGAGGAGGTTTGGGTTTTTCCTTTTTTCAGAAAAATTAGTCCAAGTCTACTTAAAGGGGGCATGTCCCAGAATCCTGTTCTCTGCTCCCCCGCACGTTGGCCAACTAGCAGAGGACGCGGAGCCCGGGCGGGGCTGGTGGCCCGCGCGGCCCGTCACCCACGCGGCCGTCCCCTCCGCAGGCCTGCAGGCAGCTGACGTCTCCTCGCCCCATAAGCAGGCAGCTCTCCCTCAGGGCGCAGAGGAAGCAGCCATGAGAACGTGCTTTCTCGGCCTCTCTGCAGAGCCTGGGCTGTTACCCGGTGGAGCTGGAGCGAGGCCCCCGGGGCTTCGGGTTCAGCCTGCGAGGAGGGAAGGAGTACAACATGGGGCTGTTCATCCTGCGCCTGGCCGAGGACGGGCCCGCGCTCAAGGACGGCCGCATTCACGTGAGTGGGTCTGCTTCGCCCTGGCTCGGGCTGGTGCAGGGCTGTCTGTACAGCAGTGGGTCAGGGGCGAAGACAGCTGACGGAAGGGGAAGCGGAAGGCTCTTGGATCTAAGCAGCGAGCTTGCCCCGGACCTGAGAGGCAGATGCTGCCCGTCCCTTCCTCCCCTAGGGGGTCGGTTCTTTGTTCCGCCCGCGGGACTGCGGCCTATTCCTGTTGTTCCGCATCTCAGCGCCTGCCACGATGCCCTGAATATTCAGAGTAGGTGCTCCGTAGATATTTGTTGAAAGAATAGACTAGAGGGATGATACTTCTAGCTAATAAGAGAATTATTTTTTATTTTTATTTTTATCTAGTTTTTATCCTCACCCAAGGACATTTTTTTTTTTTTTTTTTTTTTTTTGCATTTATCTTCAGATAGAGCAGGAGGGAGAGAGGGGGGAAGAGAGAACATTGATGTGAGAGAGACACATTGAGTGGCTGCCACCCACACGACCCCAACTGAGGCCAGGGACAAACTGCAACCAAGGTATGTGCCCTTAGCAGGAACTGAACCTGGGACTCTCCGGTCCGCAGGACGACACTCTAACCGCTGAGCCAAACCGGCCAGGGTGAGAGAATCATTTTTTAATATTTAAGATTAGCTCCCAGAACTTATTACTGGATAGGCAGGACTTAGGTTAGTTATATGAAGCAATTAGCAAACAATGTAATTCACTAAAACAAGAAAATGTGGCCCTGGCCAGTTTGGCTCAGCCGTTAGAACGTCGGTCCGTGGACCAAAGAGTCCTGGGTTTGATTCTGGCCAAAGGCACGTACCTCGGTTGCAGTTCGTCCCTGGCCCTGGTTGGGGTTGTGTGGATGGCGACCAATTGATGTCTCTCTCCCTCCCATTCTGTCTGAAGATAAATGTAAAAATAGCCTCGGGTGAGGATTAAAAGAAATTAATTTAAAAAAAAATAAAACAAGAAAATGTCAACTTGTATACAGATGGAAAGGTGTTGTGTCTTTGAGAGGATCTTAGACTTAGTGAGTCTTAAGCTGATCCTTTAATCTGGTTAAAATGTAGAGAGGAGAAAATACGGTTCTGGGCAAAGCTAATGAGAAATCAGCCGAGTGGGAAAAGTTCACTTTAAGGAATAATGTCAGACTTCAATATTTAACATAGAAGCAAGTCAGCTTAGAAAATATCCGGAGTCCGTGTCCCCGTGCCCTAGTCTTGCACAAAGGGAGCGGCCGGTGCCGTCATCCCTGCTTCTGAGGCTCAGGGAGACTGAGGCACGCGCTGGGCTCACTGAGCAGTGACGGCCGTGGTGTGGCCCAGCTCGCGCCCTCCAAGCCCAGCGTGTGCTCCAGGCCGGGCCTGCTGTGTCCACCGCCTTTTCATTCCTCGGGAGGCCGGAGGCTCTCGGCAGGGCGAGAGGAGTGTGAGCGATGTGCTGGAGATACTCTGAGTGTGGTGCCTTCCAGTGCGTAGTTTAAGAACTGGGGGACTGCCTTAAAAAGGGTGTTTTAAAAGGAGCCCAGCCCAGCCGGTGTGGCTCAGTGGTTGAGCGTCGACCCTACACCAAGAGGTCAGGGCACATGCCCAGGTTGTGGGCCTGATCCCCAGTGGGGGGCACGCAGGGGGCAGCCAGTCGATGTTCTCTCTCATCGATGTTTCTATCTCTCTCTCCCTTTCTCTTCTCTCTCCTCCGTCCCCCAGAATTTTTTCAGTAATACAAACCTGAACATGAATTTGTTCTGTTTAAGCAAAAGATGTATTCCTTAGTTTATTCTTATCACATTTAAAAAATTTTAAGTAACAAAGTTTTAGGAGAATGTTTGTTTCCCTTCCCCTCTGAAAGGTGCCCATTTCTGTCCAGCTTGGTGCCCACAGCACAGCCTCTCTGCCAGGAACCTTGCAGCCCCCTTTCCGCCTCCAGTTTACTTTTAAAGTTAAACAAAAGTGACACCTGGTGGCAAATCTATTCAATTACAAGTTTTATTGTAATTTATTTGTTGTGCTAAAACAGTAAGACATATACATACAGATTGACAGTGAATTTGATTGAAATTAATTATAACCTCAATCACGTTTTACAAGATGTTCCCAAAGCACACTTCAAATACCATCTATTTTCATTTTCTTTTCTCTCATTATCAGCAATCTAGTAGTAATTTGTCATCTCACAAAAATGATTTTTCTTCAGTCACTTATTAAGGGAAGTCTGGGTATTGGCTTTTGTTTCACTTATATATTCTAGATATAATTATGTTCATTACTTTTCTCCATTCTATTATCTTACTTGTTTTTAAAGATTTATTTTCTACTTTATATGTTAAATTCATCGATCTTGTTTCTGATATCCTCCATTTCTTCATTTTTTTCCTAAGTATACAACAAGACACTTTTTCTATTTCATAGTTTACTTGACATTTTTTACATTGTACCATCTACAGTTAGATCTAATTCATACTGATGCACTTTTAAGACTTTTTTGGGAAAACCAGAAACTAGATATTGCTGGTGTGTAATCATGTTTTATTCCATTAAATCCTCCCAGCGATCCCGGAAGGTATGTGCTGCTCTTATCCCCGCTTACTGGAGAGGGAAGTGAAGCCCTTGGCCAGGCGGAGCCAGGAGTGACCACCAGCGTCGTGGCTCCAGAGTCCGGGCCCCTGCTCTGTGTGGACCCACAGTTGTCCCACTAATTGTCATTAAATAGAGTCCTTTTCTGTTGTTATTTCTGAGTTGTTTTAGCAAGCTCTTATAAATATTTGTGTTTTCTTTGGCATTTCAGTAATTTTCTATTACGCAGTTGTGTTTTGAAGCCAACACCCTTCAGTTGCTCGTTAACCTTGAAATGTATGTTCAAATCCGGGATAAGATCGCTACCATCATTCTTTTTTATCAGGCCCTTTGCAAAAGTTATACTTGATTTGTCCATATTTCCCTTTAAAATAAGGCATTCCTAGTAAACAGCAACGTTCCTGAGGCATCTTAGCAGAAGCCCTAGTTTTGGGGAAATCATTTTACACTAAAGTAATGAAATATGAGCCAGTTACTGGATTTAAATAAATATTCATATTAATATATTCTCCATGGTGAATTTTTTTCAGTTTTAATCTATGAATATTTCATTTGCTCCTTGATTTCAAGATACCCAGATCCTGCCTACTAGTCATACTCCCATTTGGGATTTTTATAAAGTAAATAAAATTAGACATTTTCCCTTCCCATTGGTACCATATCCCAGTCCTCACTCTAGCACGACAGCACAGCGCGCAGGTTAAAAGTTTTATAAACGAAAGAGGTGCTCAGCTAGGTTGTGCGGCTCTGGAGTTGGCCGAAGCAAAACTGAAAGGTGCATAGTTTCCTTGATGTTCCCCGTCCAGGTTGGTGACCAGATTGTTGAAATCAATGGAGAACCCACGCAAGGCATCACACACACCCGCGCGATTGAGCTCATTCAGGCCGGCGGAAATAAAGTCCTCCTCCTTTTGAGGCCAGGAACTGGCTTGATCCCGGACCATGGTAAGTGGGTAGCACACCTGCAGCTGGACAGTTACGAGTATGAGGGAGGGGTCAGCAGAAGGAGAGGAGTATCTATTTGGAGGGGGGTTATTTCACTAGCTAAGTCAGGGGGAAACACCAGAATCATCTGAAGCTAGTTATATAGCATCATTTTTATTTGGGATAAATATTACAAAATAGTGGCTCAGAGAGGACTTTGGCTGGGACTGAATATATGTTAAGCTAATTTCCACAGAAATCATAGTTGCTTTTGCAGAGAATGTGCCTGTAGAAAACAAGGATATCAGAGGCAAATGATTTAAATGTCACAAGAAACATTTGAAATCTCTTCAGATGTTACTTTATTTCATAGCCTAAGATTCGTCCCTCTAATGAGCAGCATAAGAGATCAAGGCTCTGCCTGGAGATGCGGAGTCTGAATCCTGGGCTGGTCTTAAAACATCCCCGGGAACCAGGGAGCTTTAGGGCGAGTGCGCGAGTCTAGGAGTCGTGCCCACAGGCCCCCGCTGCCCCGCAGCCTGATCTCTGACTGTAGTACCTCCCCGTCTGCTTGCCCACCCTGCGCCGGTGACGTCTCTGCTTGCTGCGCTGTGATGTTCGCACACAGGCCTGTTCTCTTCCTCCTTCAGGTGTGGCTCCTTCCGGTCTGTGCTCCCACGTGAAGCCCGAGCAGCGTTAAGGCTTTCAGGGCTTTTCTTGGTCTTTCCTTAAAAAGACTTGGTAAATTTGCATGTCTTGTCGATCACTTCCTTCTTTTTAATTAAAAATTATGCTATTAAGTACATCTAATTCTATCTTCTGCACTTCTCAGTTTCCCTTTGACATTAAATTTGACAGCTTAATGCCAGAAAACGGTTAGCAGCCGCCCGGCCCACAGCTCGGGCTCCTCTGTGAGTGGTGGGCGTGTCCCTAGCTGGTCCTTTGATGAGAGCGAAATCAGTGAGCGTCTTGGACCAGGTTATTTGTCTAATTTTAAGTTTTTTATTGGGCTTTACTATTTATAAAGAATTTATACATCATATTATCTCACTAATTACGTATAAGTAATGGAGAAACTAAATAACTGTGCCAAGTTAGCTACTTGGCACTTCATGCATATGGGAACCTACCCTTGTACAAATAGAACTGTCTCCAGCATCTGCCTCGACAGAGACAGCGAAACACAGATGAACTACTTATACGATCCTCTTCCTGGTCAAGGGGTCAGTGAGTTCAGGTCTGTTCAAAGCTTACCGCTCCTCCTTCACCCCACAACCTGACGGTGTCCCTTCGCGTGCCCTCTCCTCAGGTGACTGGGACATCACTCACCCCTCATCCTCCCGTGTGATCTACGATGAGCAGTCGTCGGCCCCGCCCTCCCGTCCTGCTTCCACGCTCGAAGGGCCGCACGTGCCAGGGGCCGGAGAATCTTTCGTGAGAGCTCAGGTGTGTGAAGAGGCAGAAGGATTCAAGGACACTGTGCCTGGAAAGAAAAGCACTTTAAGTCAGTCTGATCTGAAGCATCCGTCTCTTCCCCAGAAAGATGTGAGGAAAAGGGACCCACCCCACAGCCATGGGCACAGTGACAAGAAAAATGTCTCAAACGTAGAAAATGGTATAACCCAGAGAGGTAGGTCTGCGAGTCCCAAAAAGTCAACCAGTCGCTATGCAGAGGAGCGTTCAGAAAAGGTTCTCAGTCCCCTCAAAAATGATCCCAACAGAAGACCGAGGGACCGATCAGCCAGCCCGCGGAAAGGTTCTGGGCAGGATCGCGCCGGAAGCAGGGGCCGCTCTGCCAGCCCGAGGAAGCAGCAGCGAACCGAAGGAAGTCAAGACCAGGCCAGCGCTGAAGCCAGACTCCTGGAGAGCCAGCGAGCAGGGGCCCGAGCCGGTGACAGCGCGGAGCAGACCGCGGACGGGAAAGAAAAATCGGGTGTGATCAGGAAAGAGACAAAGCAGACTCAGTCTGGAAAAAACAGAACAAGGTCTCCGGAGAAAAAAAGCAAGAGAATAGATGAAAAGTCTCTTCCGTCCAAAAAGACCAGTAACGCTACTAGTAGAGTCGTGTCAGAAAAGAAGCTGAAGCCAGACCCTGAGGAGAGAGTTGTCCCCCAAACGGAAGACGACAGGGGGAGCGAGCGAGAGGCGGCTGACACACACAGGGAGGGTGGCGGGGTCAGGCCCGAGCGTGGCTCTCCAGCCAGGAAGGCACCGATAACCCCAGGGCCCTGGAAGGTGCCCAGTGCCGGCAGAGCCACTGGCACAGCCGGTGTGGCCGAGAAACGGCTGTGACCTTCAGCATAAAGCAAAAACAAGCTGTAACCTTTCCTTGTAAAATGCAGCATTTTCCCCCCCAAAGTCATTTTTTTTTTCAGAAATTCTGAAATACATGTAAGTACATTTTGATTTGATCATCACGTTACGTAGGCTGAAGGAAGGGCCTTCGGGTTTGCTAAGAAGCCCCTGCCCCCGGCTGGCTGCCCTCCACCACGCTCACGGATGCGCCCAGCCCGTCCTCATGGCGTCTGAACCAGTGTGGTCACAACTCACTTGATTACTGTGCCAAGGTAGCTACTGTAACTGTCTGTGTTGACCTCGCTCAGGTAGCCCCGCAGCCATGGAGGAGAGGTGTGGAAGCTGACCCTCTGCACCGCACGCGCATGTCCAGAGAGCTGGGGTCCCTGCAGCAGAGGGGGCTCCGCAGCTCGGCCTGCAGGGTGGCAGCTGCCCTGCTGATGGCGGGTGACGTTCCAGTTTAAAAACACAACTCGGCTCTCACTACTGGAAAGGAAACAATGTAGTCAGTACTGAGGCTTACAGTTTGTGTTTCATTCAGCTGGGTAAGGCATTTCACTTACCCAGACACTGCTCACAGCGGCCCGTTCAGACGCCCCCTGCTGCCATCCAGCCCACGGGGTGCGGCCCCTCGTGTTGCTACTACAAGGAAAACGACCAGATTTCTATGTCTGGCTGTTCTGGGTGTACCTACCACGTCATTAGTGTTAGTACACATCTGAAGAGTCAAAATATGCAGCTTGTGTGAGGGACTTTATCATGTAACCCATTTCACAGTCCCCGCCAGGGACAGGCCCTGCTCTGCGGGTTTGAAGCAGAGCCCTGGTAAGACCTGCTCAGCAGGTCAGGACACACAAGGTCACAGGCAGTGCTTGCTAGGTCTTACATTCGTTTAAAAACAAGAAAGGGAGCCCAGACATCTGCTTAGCCTCAGATTCTCAGATTCCTGGTTTCAAGTCTAATGAAGATGTTTGTCGGAAGGAGCCAGGTTCCCAGGCCCCGGAAGCAGCATTCAGTAGCATCTAGAAATAAAGGAACTTCTCAGAATAAAACCACACTCTGTCTCTGGGCTCCCCTTGCTGTGAAGCATGTCCAGGCCCCTGTAGAAAAGACGCTTCCCCGAGTGCAAGTCGAAGTCCCTTTCATCCAGACCTGTATTTACCTATTGTAACTACTTGAATAGAGCAAAATTAGAAGGCTTGATAAATGCTACGAGTTTAGTACCACAGAAATGATTTATTTTCCCTATAGTCCACAATAGTGATAAAAATCCTATTTTTATTGTTAACTGTGACATAACTTTGATGTCATGTTGTCAGTCTGACGTGGCTCTTTCCTTTGAGTAACCTGTCACTGTATTGACTATGCCGACTTAGCCACGTGGCCTTGGAATGCTAAGCAAAAATATGGATGTACCGGTGTAAACGTTTATATATTGTACAGTAGCTTTATATATACACTGAGGTTCTGATTAGAGAGAGATCTGTAAATCGCTCGTTATTTTTTATATAGCTATTAAAAAAAACAAACAATTCATGGCCTGCATTTCTTTTACTGTTAGCTTTCCATTTGTGGAGCTAATCATCATTGTGGTCTGAGTCCTCACATAGATTTTGTCCTTCCAAGTACCAAATAGTCATAGTCCTGCAATCAAAACTCTTACAATGATGACATTACCTAATAGCCATAGCACACTTTTGTCTAGATGCTTAACTCAAACCAATTACAAGTGTAATAGTATGCCTATTTTATACCTTTCGTTGTAAAGAAAATAGCTTTGCATAAAATAACTTTGCATAAAATAACTGCCCCCAAAAATCCTTTCCTATACTGTCAGGGAGAACAAAGAGCTTGTCTTACTGGAAATTCAGCTCCCAGACATTTCTCATGGCTGTAGTGTAAGCCCAGTTACCCACAAGGTCACAACATTCTGTGTATCAGACTATGAAATTTCACATTATTTTTAAGTCATTCTATTTTCTATAGGCTACACTTCAAAAATGAAGTGTTTGACTTGGTTTCATTTAATTCTTGGTATGAATATGCCTAAAACCTATTTCAAGACATGGCTAATTGAATACTCTTATGGGGGGGGGGGGCGATAAATTCCTACCATTGCATGAACTCAACACTAAGATTAAAACCCAGCCCTACAGCAGAGACTGCAGAAAGTGACACAAAGTATTTTTTTCTTGTTATTTTAGTGGCTATTATTTTCTTACTGATCATAATAGCAAACAAAAGTTCTGGGACAGTAGTGCATTGTTGCACTAGGAAGATTTGACTAAGCGCTCACGACATTACCTTCCAACCGAGTTACATCAGACGTTAGGATCCAGGAGCTTTGGAACAGAGTCAGCTACTCCAGAAGCCCTGGACGCAGAACAGCTGTTCTCATGTAGAAGAGTCCAATACTTTCAGCACATGGATAAATGTATTTCGTGTTCAGTAGGTCCAACACTCCAAGAGAACGGGGTTTTAGGAAAGCCAGAGTATTCAATTTAGTTAAACTGTGACAATCTGACCAGTGACTTCCACAGAGGTGTGTTTGGCTGAAGCCAGGTCGACCGTGTGTTACTACGACACTGGTATCAGACCCCGTCACAAACACCATGTTTCAATCTGGTAAGACGACTATGTCAGAGCAACTTTTTTTTTAATTCTCACTCAAAGACATTTTTCTATTTTTATCTTCAGATAGAGCGAAGGGAGGAACAGAGAGAGAGAGAGAGAGAGAGAGTCGATGGGTTGCCTCCCAAATGACCCCAACCAGGACCTGGGATGAACTGCAACCGAGGTACATCCCCTTAGCTGGAATCGAACCCGAGACTCTTTGGTCCACAGGCCGATGCTCCAACTGCTGAGCCAAACCTGCCAGGGCACATCAGAGCAACTTTTTGCATCCTTATGGCATGCTCCAATGCCTAAGATCCATCTATGCTTTTTAAACAGATTTATTTATTTAGGCTCTTTACTGGTCATGCTATTCAAGGTTATCAGCAATAGATAATATAAAGCATGCCTTAATTATGACAGGAAATCTATAAGCTTTGCTTTAGTTAACCGAATTAGTTTAAGATACCCACTAACTTGGATCTATTTTCGATGCTGCTCCGCAAATAGAGCCTGAAGAAGTATAAGAAGGGGTATGAAGGCTCGTGAAGCATGGGATTCTATCCACTGGAGAACGCGGAACCTTTCTCACTGTGCATTAAAAGACGCAGACACAGACAGATACCCACAGGACTCCGGAGGGTTAGGCCACATGAGAGCACCTGGCTGTCTTCCAGTGCTTCCGTCAGAGTCCAGCACAATCCCCAAATACACAAGTCCAGAGGCGCATTTTGTCCTCCATGAACAAGCACCCTTTGTCACCTTGAGTAATGCCTCATCACAGCTCCCAGGAAAGGGATGGAAGTATTTCACACTTGTGAAATTCAATTTTCACTGTTCAAGATGGGCACCGATAACTGCAAAAAGCAAAGGAGTACTTTAAATGACTAAACTAGTCAATACATGTGTAGAGATTACGTTTAATAAATTTACTTCTTGATAATCCCAAATCATACATTATATTTGAAAGTGAGACCCATGTGGTCCATTATGAGTACGCAGATCTAAAAAATTTCAAAAATGAATTTCACTAATTTAAAAGAAGGTTATTTTTATAGTGCATAAGTCCATTTACCTCTGAATGCAGTTAACCAAGCCGGGTGGGCTTGGCGGTTGGAGCATCAGCCCGCAGACCAAAGGGCTGCAGGTTCGATTGCAAGCAACTAATGGATGTGTCTCTCGCATCAGTGTTCTCTCTCCCTCCCTTCCACTCTATCTAAAAATTAATGGAACAATATCCTCTGGGAGGATAAAAAAATAAAAAATGCAGTTAAACAAAACTAAAAACATAGATCCATCAGCTTATACTTTGTGAGACATACTGGTATTGAGGATTTTCCTACATGTCTCTGAAAATCAAGAAAACCAGACCCCCATTAGGCAAGCATCTGGATATTCAACTGTTAGTGTTTAGTTTCGATTATACATGGGCCATAATGTACATATTCAGGAAGTCTGAGGTTCTACCTCCATAGCAATTTTAAGGGGATAACTTTTCCCAATACAACAAATTCTAAAATTAAGTGAACAGGTATTATTCTTATCCTTTTATGGTTATTACTATTCCAACTAAGTGTATGAAGAACCTGTTGTAGTTCTGTTTTTATATTTTGGTTTACTTTCTCAGTAATAGGTAAATATTATAACATATATGCTCTCGGAGACCAAACAAAGCCGGTTCCCAGAAACCAGTCCGCAGATACAAAGGAAGCACTGGGGACAGGAGAATCGTGAGGTTAAACTCTTCCATCCTAACAGGAAGAGAAAGCACCAGTGGTAAATTACTTGAGGTCTATTTTTCATTCATTCTACAGATTTGTATCAAGTATGTACTATGCGGTCAGGTACTTACTGTTCAGGAGTCTGGGGACCTAGGAGCGAACAACAAAAAAGTCCCTGCCTGAAGGAGCTTGTGTTCTAGTGGGGAAGGACAGAAACAGGCAAAAAGTAAGATAATCAGACGGTGGTAAGCGCCATGAAATCGGTAACCGGATATGAGATGGAACCACCTTAGTTAGGGTCGTCAGAGACGCCCCGCTAGGGAACTGACAGCTGGAAAGCCACCCAAGGGAGAACCTAGAAAAACATTGCGCCCCTGGCCGGTTAGGCTAGTGGTAGGGCGTCAGCCGGGACCAGTGAGTCCTGGGTTGGACTCCAGCCAAGGGCATGTGCCTTGGGTGCAGTTTGTCCCCGGCCCTGGCAGAGGTCGTGCAGGAGGCAACCAGTCGATGTGTCCCTTTCATGTCAATGTTTCTCTCTCCCTTTCTCTTAGGGAGGCCGGCGTGGCGGAGGGGGAGGGGACGGGGACCGGGAGCCGGCCTGGCGGTGGCGGTACTGAGAAGGTGGCTCCGGAAAGGGGAGCTGCCTGACAGTGACCGGCCTCGGAGGCCGCCACAGCGCAGGCCGGGGTTCAGGAGGAGTGAGCACTAGTTTCCATACTGTTCAGTTCGCTGACCCACTGGGGGGAGGAGGAGAGGGACCGGGGCTCAGCGCCCAGCCCGGGTCAGCGTGCCGGCGCCTCAGCATGTGGACACGAGCGGTGGTGGGGTGGACACAGGGGAAGGGAGAGGGACAGAATATTGGCTTGAACAATTGGGAAAACTTTGTTCCATTTACTAAGGTGCAAAAAACATTTATTCTTCCACCTAATTTTTAGAAAAGGAAAAATATCCATGAGAAATGGGTTTGGGAGGTTGGACAGCCGCCAGTACAGAGGAGGGAAGCGAGGTCGCCCCTGACCCCGGTACTGCTCTGCGCTTCGGGGGGGGGGGGGAGCCCCAGGCGGACTGGCCCCGCGGAAGGCAGCTGGAGGCTCACAGCCGGCCAGGGGCTGGGCTCGCAGTCTCCGTGGGCACTGCGCAGCACGGGGGGCGGGGGAACCCCCGGAAAGCAGCAGGCAGAAGTGCCCCGGTCAAACGGGGCAAACCTCGCACAAACGGAGCGGGGGGACTCGGGAGGACTCGGCGCCGACGACGGAGGAGAGAAGGAGCCCTGGACCGTGGCTGCTCTGACAGCTGAAAAGCAAGCTCTGGACCGACCAAGGTGCTTCCAAGCAACCCCATTCAACAACAGAGCAAGAACACGTACACAACGCTCAGGCATGCAAACTTCACATCCAATAAAAAGTTACCAGGCACGCAGAGGAGGAGGAAAATCTGACCCAAAATGGGGGGGGGGGGCAATCAAAATAAACCCAAAAAATGATAAGGGTGAGGATGCCAGCAAAATGGCAGAGTGAGAAGACTCCTTTGTTCCTCCCTTTTAATTTACAACTGTAACCGAACAGAAGATCCCTGCCCAACACGGACATCGACAGATGCACACAGCGGAAGGTCTGAGGGTGGGCGCAGAGGGGTGAGAGGGGGCAGGGTGGGGAGGGCAGGGTGGTCGCTGCCGACGCAGAGGCGCCCGCCACAGCTCCGGCCACCACAGCAGAGGAGAATCCGCTGCGGCCTCACTATCCTGGATGGTAAGAGAGTCAAAAGCAGTGGTCCCCTGGGGAAAGGCAGCTCCCTTCCCCTATCCCCAGCTTTATTTTATTTTTCTAATTCTTTATTGATATTACAGAGAGCGAGGAAGGGAGAGGAAGAGAGAAACATCGATGAGAGAGAACATCGACTGGCCGCCTCCTGCATGCCCCCCACTGGGGACCGGGCCCACAACCTGGGCAGGTGCCCTGATGGGAATCGAACTGGCGACCTCTCGGTGCAGGGTCGATGCTCAACCACTGAGCCACACCAGCCAGGCCCCTTCCCCCCGACTTTAAACAGTAACACAATACTAACAGCTTCTGCTGCCAGGGAACAGACTGCAAATTGTGAACTTCCCTCTCGCCCCACGCCTCCCAGCAAAGCCAGGTGGAGGCAGCAGAGACGCCTCCAAAGACACAGCGGGGCCAGTGGCCACTAGGGAAGAGGCGGCAGCACGGGAAGCTCACAAAGCGGGTTCTCCACCTGCCACACCCACCGCAACGCCAGAGCCCACAGCAGGCGAGCCAGGCGCAGGGGGCCCCACCAGCCCAGGTGTACACAGCACTTTCCTGCTCTATCCAAAATCACTAGCAAAATAGCCTTGGGTGAGGATTAGCCAAAAAAAAAAAAAAAAAAATTGTTGACATGAGCAACTACATACTTACATACAGGGTGGGGCAGAAGTAGGTTTACAGTTGTCAGTATGTGAAACACAATTTATTCTTGTATTAGTATTTATTATTGTATTATTTTCCATACGAACAACTGTGAAGCTACTTTTCCCCACCTTGTATAATTTTAGCCATCTGAAAAATAATTTAAACCAATTATAATCATCAAAATTGTAACAGAAAACGCACAAGAGTAAACTATTTGCCCAGCCAGTGTGGCTCAGTGGTTGAGCGTCAGCCCAGGAACCAAGAGGTCGCTGGTTCGATTCCCGGTCAGGGCACATGCCCAGGTTGTGGGCCCGATCCCCAGAGGGGGGCATGCAGGAGGCGGCCAATCCATGTTCTGTCTCTCTTTCCTTCTCACTTCCTCTCTCTCTCAAATCAATAAAGAAAAAAGAAAGAGTAAACTATTATAAATACTGCATTTAAACTAGAGAATTCACAGTCTCAATAGAAATTAAAAATAAAAAGCAGAACAGCATAAGTCTTGGTCTGAAATCTGCGCTGAGCTCCACCTTGGATCTGAGACAACTGCTGTCCTTCCTTAAGGAAAACAGTAAAAGCATGACTTCTCCGAGCTGCCTTGGGGACACAGAGGCACCTTCACAGAAAGTTCCTTCTAAGGGCAGATCACTGTGATAAGGTTTTCCCTTCAAAAATATACGTAATTCATGCAGCATTTAGAATGGCTGCATATTTTGGTCATCCACTTCTAATTCAGCAATCCTACTTCCTATGTTTCTATCTTTACAGTGAGGAATCTATCAGTAAAATATTTTTAAAGGGTTTTAAATAGCAATAACAAATGTTTATGTTAAATCCACAATAAAGATACATTTGACAACCCTATTGAGTAAGATATGATCCCATTTAACAGGTAAGAAAATTGAGATACAAAGAGGTTAAATAGCCCTGGGCGGTTTGGTTCAGAGGTTAGAGCATCGGCCTGCAGTCCAGAGAGACCCGGGTTCGGTTCCCACTAAGGGCACGTACCTCGGTTGCAGTTTGGCCCCGGCCCTGGTTGGGTTGTGCAGGTGGCAACCATTTGATGTGTCCCTTTAACGTCGATGTTCTCTCTCTCTCTCTCTCCCCCACTCTATCTGAACAAAAAATGGAAAAATGTCCTTGGGTGAGGATTAAAAAAAAAATAACAATAAAGAGAGAGCCACATTTAAAAAAAAAAAATCACAAGGAAGTTAAGTAACTTGCCCCAGATTATGAAGCTAGTAAGTGGCAGAACCAAGGGTATGAACCCAGAAATGTCTAACCTCAAGCCCTGGTCTCTTGAAAAATTCATCTCTAAGCCTCAGAAATCTCCTTGCATATATGGAACACGACTTTGCATGAGGTACAGGCAGACCTCAGAGGTATTGCAGGTTCGGTCCCAGACCACTGCAACAAAGTGATCTTTTTGTTGGTGGAGGGACCTGCCTTCAATTTGCAAAAAGAAAAAAAAAAAAAAAAAAAGGCAACATCTGTGAAGCACAATAAAGCAAATGACAGTAAAATGAAGTATGCCTGTATATACTTTACATATAATAACTAAGTTTCTAATCTTTAAAAATATCACAAAAATCTTATTAAAATGTTCAGGTTTTCAATTTGCTTCAATGAATGCTTCAAAACAGGTAACTCAATGACTAAGACATAGGTAAACTACCAGAGTTTTCATTAACAGGTATATGCCTGTGTGTATAACAGAGGATACTGGTAGAGAATTTAAGTCATCAAAGGCTTCGCTTCGCTGAGTATGGACACTGAGGACCTGAAATTGTACGAAGGGTTGCATCCGTTCAATTGCACAACAGATAAATCGTTAATGCTTCACTTCATACTGTGATAGGAAACAGCTCAGATGATCGCTATGGAAACCATGTTGGTGGACATGGTTGAGTACGCATGTACTCAAATTTCTCGTGCTAAGTTACATGGCATTTCATACACATGACTACTTCACCAACAACTATAGTTACCAAATTAACCTCAAATTTATAAACAAGTTAAAAATGTATCCATAATTTAACAGATATTCAGTTTTAAAGGTTATTTTTTCCTTCAACAACAAAAAAAGCCTAGAAACTGACATTCTCCAATGAAGTTTTTATTTGAGTTCAACCTAAAATAGTTGAAGTTTGACCTCTCTGCTAGAGAAATGAAATCACCGATTCTACACACTGTAATAGAAAGCACTGAATTTGCATATTTCCAATAAAGCATATTGGCTTCATGTTTTGGGTATCTACCATAGTTACCCAAAAGACCATTTCTAGTTAATGTAACTGCACAGCACTGAAATGTCCAGAATAAATGTCCTAACTTTGAATGTGTCTGGACTCCTGACTGTTCGCGTTGTTTGGGACCCATGAAAACAGGTCCTCAGCATGCACGCCCAGTCGGAGAAGATCGGTTCCTCTGCAAACACCGTCCGTGAGGTCAGGTGGGGCGGAGGGCACCTCTGTGCACGGACCAGCAGGCGGTGCCTCTCGGTTTCTCCAGGCAGCTCCTTCCTTCGTGGGTAAGTACTGACGCCAGCAAGGGAGCAGGTCCAGGCACATGACTCGGCTTAGGATTTAATTTTCCAAAGCTAAGAAAAAAGGTCACCAACATAAGTTAGTTTTAAGACAACCGGTGTGGTGTATATGCACAATTCATGACTAAGAACCAAGAACCCTTTAACAAGAAGGAACACTCTGGCAGGAGCAACCATAGGACATCACAGAGAAAAAACATGAAAAACGTCCGGGATCGAAAATGACACACTGCAGTTCGTGGTTTGGGGTTTCCATGTGTTCTGACCTGTTCGTCCCTAGATCAGAGGAAGGCCCTCACTCATCCCACCTATTAATCTGACATGAGATTCAAACTTGATGTTTTTGTGCAATTCAAGAGCACAAAATATTGTGCTTTTGTAAAAGAAGAAAACCTAAGCTGAGACACCTGTAGCCCACCAGTCAAAATGTCTGTTTCTTAAAAAAAAAAAAAAAAAAGCCCTGGCAGGTTTGGCTCAGCGGTTAGAGCGTCGGTCTGTGGATCAATGAGTTGCGGGTTTGATTCCAGCCAAGGGCACGTACCTCGGTTGTGATTCATCCCCAGCCTTGGTCGGGGTTGTGCAGGAGGCAGCCACTCGATGTGTCCCTTTCACATCACTGTTTCTCTCTCTCCCTCCTTCCCTCCCTCCCACACTACCTGAACAAGAAAATAAATTAAAATAAAATAAAATGTCTGTTTCTTTATTTGAAGAGTTAGTTCCATGCCAGACACACACACACAGTGAGGAACAAAGATCACTATTATATGTAGTAGTTTTAAGACTAAGGCAGATGCTACCGAGTGAAGTCACACTTACTCGTATATTAAACCCTAGAAGGTCACTTATAACCCCCGAGACAGCAGAAAGGATAACTACTCGTGTGATGTTGTAGATCAGGGGATTCATTGTCAGGCCATAGAGTCGAAATGGTGTGTCCAGCTCCTACAGAAACAGGAAAGGACCAATGAGATACGCAGTTTCTCGATCTCAGTGATTCTGGGCTGTTTAAGCCTTAGGTGAGGGTGACCGCGGAAGGCCGTCTTTCCTTCATGTTCCAGCGCTGTGGTGGAGCTGACCCACTTTTCCAGTAGCTAAGATTTTAAAGGTGGGTTCAAGCACTATGTTATTTGCGATTTTTAAAAAATGCAATTTAAAGAAGTGATAGACATCAATAATCAGCAGAACCTAGGTAACAAATGGGAAATTTTTTCTTGTACAGTCAGTAACACAAAACTATCAAGTTGGCATTTTAAATCTCCTCAGCCTGGCATCTGTCTGGTACTAGGGTCTTCTCCCAGCATCTGTCTGGTACTAAGACCTTCTCCCAGCATCTGTCTGGTACTAGGGTCTTCTCCCAGCATCTGTCTGGTACTAAGACCTTCTCCCAGCATCTGTCTGGTACTAGGGTCTTCTCCCAGCATCTGTCTGGTACTAGGGTCTTCTCCCAGCATCTGTCTGGTACTAAGACCTTCTCCCAGCATCTATCTGGTACTAGGGTCTTCTCCAAGGCATCTATCTGTTATTAGAGTCATCTCCAAGAAGTAAAACATTGGCTTAATTTAAATGGTAGTAAGAGAGTATCATAGGATATTACTTACTTTCAACAATTTGGTGGACAGTTTTAATACATTGTTTACTAGAGTAAGCTGCTCTTTCTTAGTTGGCTTTTTCTCCATCTTAAGATATAAGTTAATCTAAGGGAAGAAAAAGGAATTAAGGAAAATGTCAGAGAAAAAGTATATTCTGCATTAAATCTGGTGGATTTTAAGGGTCATGTTTCCAAGTAAAATACGTTTTGAAATTCCAGCAGCTATTTCTATGGAGCTCATGTCACGTACCCTAGCCCCATCCCTAATCAGTCATATTTGGCAAGGAAAAGCTATTTAGTAAAGAAAAGAAATGATAAAGCAATTTAAATATCAAACAAAAATTTAAATTATTTTTTCCCTTATAGGAAGAATTCTCCATTATAATTATAAGGCAAAATAAATAAATAAATAAAAACAAAGAACTAATGATACCAAATGCTTTTATTTAAAACTTATGGATAAACATAATCTTTAATGTTGTACTACTCTGTATTTATAAGAAATGTTTCCCAATCTTAATAGTCATTCACATACTTAACAGCAAGTATTTTCCAAATGTTGAGTGCATTCTATGGTTGATACAGAAGAAATTCAAGCTTATTAAACATACTTAAATGACAAGTACACTAAAGATCTAATACTTGATGAGAATATGAGATTAACAGTATGCTCCATTCCCACCGATAATTAAAACTGTATAGTATACAGAGTATTTTCAATCCATTAGCTCTTAATCCATACAATCTGGGGAGCAGCTGGGGGAGATACTATCCTCATTTTATAAGGAGACAATTACCTGGTGGACACATAAGGTCATATCGCTAGAAAGCAACAGACTGTGAACTCAACCCTGAAGCTTCTGCACAAATCTTATGCCATCTCTAACTACTGAACCAGATTGCCAGGGGCATATCAATACCTGTTCGGTAAGTAATATTGAAACATTGCTGTATTTCTTATTGGTTTCAGACCCCAATGAGGCCAGGCGCAGTAAGAAAAGTAGTAAAGCTGTTTCCCAGATCAAAAACTCCCAATTATAAGCATCATTCAGGAAAGTTTTATGTCCTTGGAGAACCTATACAAAGGATCAAAAAGAAGTAAAGTTTTTCATTTGTCTTAAAATTTGTAACTACTCCTTTATCCCAGCTATCTAAAAACATTTACAAGACAGCAATATTTTAATACTCAAAGCAAAGTTTCAACTCATAAAGTATTATCCATTTAATTAGTCATTATATATTTCTCGACATTTACTAGATTTTTTCCTTTTCCTGAAAGACAGAAAGGGTCTGGAAGTAACAAAAGAGGAAACATAACACAGTCAGTAAACCAAGACCAATGCATTTCCAGCCCCTTTACCAACCAGTGTGCCCACTCACAAGCCATGGTGACCTTTTCCAAGTACTGGATCCGCTCATGACCAGGAGAGACCCCGAAAACACATGGCCTCCCACTGAGGGGACGAGAAGATCCGAATCTGAGTAACGGCAGCAGCTCCCACTTACCAAATACCTGCCTGTTACACGTCAGGTTTTCTGGTAACGGTTTCTGTTTTGTTTTTCAAAAAAATATTTTTGTTGATTCAAAAGTAAAGGAATTTGCCCATGCAAGCCCCAGGTAACATGGAGTTCACTGAACAGTCTACAGAGAATACACACAGACCCCAAATATAGGCCTTTTGAAAAACAGGAAGTCACCAAGCAGCTGTCCTCGCCCCAGGCCATTCGGGCTCCCAAGTCCACTCCTCTCAGCATATTCCATGCCTTCCAAGACCCACACTTATTGCTCCCCTAATTTTGACTTGGCCCAGCCTTAGTCTGTCACAGCATCCTGCTGGTCCCACTGACCCCTACTGACCTTTCTTCTCCAAAGTCCACCACTGATACCTCAGATTTTCCATTCTAATTTCCAAAAGAGGGAATATGTCTAACCTAGTCAGGGTCAGGAACTCACCCCAACCAGTTAGTTATAATTAGGGGAGGAAAGTTACAAGTAGTAGCAACCTGGGCCACCTCTTTCACAGATGATACAGTTTACTGTGCAGCAATAGATAACTAATACACAAACCACAGCCACACTGCTATGAAACCAGACACAAAGAACAACTCTTAAAACCAGCCGGAGAAACAGAACATGACTTTTAAAAGAGGGGCCATAAGAATAACAACCAAGTTCTCAAGATAAAATATGGAAATCAGAAGACAACACAATCCTACAAGTGCTGAAAGTAACTGGCAACCTAGAAATCTACGCCCAGTGACAATATCCTTCAAACATGAAAGCAACAAAAGACATTTTCAAACAGAAACTGAGAATTCACCACCAGCAGATTCTTAAAGCAGAAGGAAAATAATCCAGAGGGAAAAAAACACAGATACATAAGAACTAATGAAAGCAATGGAAAGGGGAAATGTGTAGGTAAATATAAATAACTGACTATAAAAACATTAATGATTACATCTTGTGGGTTTAACATGTAACATTTATTTTTTAATTGATTTGAGAGAGAGAGGAAGGGAAAGGGAGAGAGAAACACCGATGAGAGAGAAACAACACTGGCTGCCTCCTGCATGCCCCCTGCAGGGCGTCGGGCTCACCATCTGGGCGCATGCCCTGAATGAGAATCAAACCAGCAACCTACTGGTACATGGGTCAACATTCAGCCACTGAGCCACACCAGCTGGGTGAAACATAAAATGTAAATGAAGCATATTAAATAACACAAAATGCCGAAGGAAGATTTAATAAAACTGACCATATGCTGGATAATAAAGCCAGTCTCTACATATTCAAAGGAATGAAAACATTCAGAGTGTGTTCTCTGACCACAGTAGAATTAAGTTTAAACTCAGTAAATGGGAAAGTTCAAGATAAGCCTGTAACTTCTTGCGATGAAGAAGGCACAGAAAGGGAAGACACAGGGATCTGTCAAAGGAACAGAAGGGTCTCCCACGACCGAATCTGGGATGATTTAAGCATCAAGACAAATACAGTAATAGTTACCATCCACTGGATAAAAATAATAAAGGAGTCCATAGTATAATAAATGAAGGAATGAATTCATGAGTGGGAAAGAAAGGGAAGGTCTACCTAAAGTGACAACTAATAAATGTAGAAGAAATGATGGAGTTAGAATACACTACTTTGCCACCATCAAGGTATAATAGCTTTACTATCAGTCAAAAATTACCAACTAAATTAAATTAGAGTGGCCTTGGAGTTTTAAAGGACTTCAAAAACACCTTTATTCCCATTACGAAAGTTGGGAAAACTAACAAGTATTCAAAAGAGCAAAAGAAATTTAGACACATTAAATAATATGTACTCAGGCTCTGGCCAGATAGCTCAGTTGCTTAGAGCGTTGTTCTGATACACCAAGGTTGTGGGCTTGATCCCAGGTCAAGGCACATACAAGAATCAATTGATGAATACAGAAATAAACGGATCAGCAAATTGGCATCTCTCTCTCTCCCACTCACTTCCTTCTCTCTAAAATCAATCAATTAAAAAACATATTAATATATATGTACTTAAATGCAGTGAAATGGTCCAAAAACAGATATGAAATTTTTACCTGGGCACAACATATGAAAGCAATCGAAAGTGTCAGTAAGAAGACCGAAGACACAACCACGTCGACCGAGCGCTGCGGACCCCGTCTCTGTGGAGTGAGACACAGGTTCACGTGCCCGGTCCCCATCAGAGACGGCACAGCATCAACCCTCCCGTGGTGAGCGCTCTGAACTTCGCTACATTCATGTTTTTTGGTTTTGTTTCTTTTTTCTTTTGTCTTGCTACATTAATGTAAAAATAAACATTTATAAGAAGTTTCTGACATAAGATTTTAACACCTTCAACTTTAATTAAGCACTGAACTCCATGCTGTTCCAAATCAAGGGCATGACTGATTCCCTGACATATCTTCAGCTGGACTATATCCCAAAATGTCAGAAGGAGATGCATCATTCAGTTTAGCGCTCTGCTTCAGCAATTTAAATTTTCTTTTTCCTTGCTAAGCTCTTATTTACTTACCTCCACAAGCCTGCCTCTGTACCCAACTTGGTGTCCAGCAAGTCTACCAGCCACTGATCCAATCCACCCAGTACACAGAACTACACTGCCCATTGCTACGTGCTGCCAGAAAAGTCCGTGAGCATGCTGTCTGCATATTCCTGCATATATTCTGTTAATCGAATAAAACTCACCTTTAGAAAGGAACGCAGTGATAACCATATCTTAATGTTCTCCACCTTTTTAAGTCTGAAATGAGGTATTTCGTATTTTCTAGCTTTCCTGGCAGAAGTAATATGGCTGAAGAGTTTTGCAAATAAAAATCTCTGAAGAAGGTTAAAAAAATAAAGTGAAATGTACATATGTGTCTGTATTTACATGATTGTAAACAATATTCCCAGCATATAAAAATCGTTAAGAGGATGAAGTCCTAATCAGTGATCACTAAGACAGGAAGTGAAAAACTTTGTTCCTAGTTCATTCTCCCAAAGCATGTGATCTAGTAATATACTTCTTCACAGTGCGGGGCCCTCTTCACATCGCTTCGGATAAAACACAGCCAAGGCACATCGAGGCGCAGGTGCTAAGCAGCTAGCGAGGCTCACTCGCTGACTAAGCCACTTACTCTTACCCATGGGCTCAGCAAAATTTCAGATGATAAGAAATCACTGTGAATAATCAATATCACAAACATCTGCCCAGACAGTGTGGCGCAGTGGTTGAGTGCTGACCCATGCACCAAGAGGTCACCGGTCTGATTCCCGGTCAGGACACATGCCCAGGTTGTGGGCCCGATCCCCAGTGGGGGCATGCAGGAGGCGACCAATTGATGTTCTCTCTCTCATCTATGTTTCTTTTTTTTTTTTTATTCCTCACCCAAGGATACTTTTCTGTTTATCATCAGATAGAGTGGGAGGGAGGGAGGGAGGGAGAGAGAGACTGAGAGAAACATCAATGTGATAGAGCCACATCGAGTGGCTGCCTTCCACGTAACCCGACCAGGGCCGGGAACTAACCCCAACTGAGGTACGTGCCCTTGGCCGGAATTGAACCCATGACTCATTGGTCTACAGGCTGACACTCTAACCACTGAGCAAAACGGACCAGAGCTCTCTTATCAATGTTTCTCTCTCTCTCTCCCTCTTCCTTCCTCTCTCTCTAAAAATTAATGAAGAAAAAATATATTACAAACATTTAACTCACAAACACCAAAAGCCCACGTATCCATCCCTCATTGACCATATTAACTTTTGGAGAAAGAACAAATCAAGAGAACAAAAATAATTCAATGAAATATCATATATAAAAGCAGGGGTAAGAGATTTTAATTTTCCACCAACCTGTTTATACGTTCTCTCTGCCACACACATCATGAAAAAAAACATCCACGTGAGACACAATCGTTCAAAAAAATTAATTATGGACAAAATAATAACAGGTGTAACAGGCGGTGCCCCACAGAAAAGAGTCAAGATCTCCTCTGCTGAGATGGACTTGAGTTGGTCAAGGCTCTTCACCCGGAAAAGTCGATGTAAGAAAGGGAACAACGCCAACCCGACGGTGACCACGTTTCCCAGCATCTGGTAACCCACTCCTTGCTGATGCGCATTCACCTGGGGATTATTTCAGAATGTCCGTCATTATCACTGGCTGGATGGAGGCATATGGCAGTATTTGTCAAATTCTACACAGATGATTAAAAACGAAATCTTTAACGCAGAGTCAGCGTTTTGATCACTTAATAGTTCTATGAAATTGCTGGTCACTGAAACAAATTTCGAAGACTCCAAGGACAGCAGGTCAAGTCTTACCCTGCTCATGATGACGCCACTTATCTCCAACACAGACATGTCCAGCTTCTTGCACTCGCTCCCTTCCCAGATGATCGCGCTGACTCGATCAGAGGCAGGACTCGAGTTCTGAAGCCAGAATAAGTGGTTCTGAGAAGAAAAACAGAGCTATTTCTATCCACCGCTTTCCTCCTCCACTCGGTGTCCAGGCACCTGGGCCGAGGTTCAGCCGTCGCTGTTCTCTCCTCCACAGAGCGCATCGCTCCAGTCACCCCTGCAGTGATGCCCATTTCTGGTCCTTTTCCCTTCACTCAGTCATTCTCTTACCTGGAGAGAAGCTAAATGTCTTCTACAGTGACAGCCACGCTCTCCAAGCTGCTTCCCTCTCTAAAGGCAGGGAAGTCATCAGTTACGAAGGGGAAAGTTTTCTAGAGTAACACAATCTACTAGGCTGGTAGGAAGCTAGTTATGAGAGGTGCCAGAGAGGCCTTACATGTCCCATGGCTGAGGAGTAAGCCTTTCTCCGGTCAGAGCAGGACACAGAAAAGCACAGAAAACTTAAAGAGAAGGCCACACTGATAGCAGCCGCCACCCGCCCCCTTCATGTCTTGTGATTCAAGGAGCAAGCAGCTCGAGTCCCACTTCACCAACACGGTCCTCTCTGATCACCACAAGCCTCATTTTGCCCTTCTCAGGAATTAAAAACCTTACAGTCTATATCAGACAAATTAGCATCTAATTATATGCTGCATCCTTTACCTGTTTCCCATATAGTAACCTCATCGCAAACTGGAATATCTTTCTAATAAAGGACCGTATGGTGTATGCTCTTTTTACCACAATGCTTAGCATGATGCTGATGAGCATTTACTGACTTGGTCATTGATTTGGTCAAAATGTTTATTAAGCACCTACTGAGTAGCATGCAGCATGTCCAACATGCAGCTCATTCGCACAGTGGTGGACAGGACGGATGTGGTCCCTGACAGGACGGAGCCTGCAGTGCGGAGAGGGAAGGAATGGCCAGAGACAAGACTGCATCGGGACAAATAAAGGAGCAGAAGTGAATACTCCAGAAGGCAAAGGCACGGACTTTAAGGGGCTAGTGTCAGACCTGAAACATCGCTCTGGCTGCGGAGTGGAGAATGAGGTGAATGGGAGCAAGTGGAGGAAGCTGTTGTGATGCCCAGATGGGAGCAGATGAGAGTGGGCACCATGTAGGGTGGACCCAAGAGGACAGAAGTAGATGCTATACAGCAGAATCGAGAGGCAGTGATGACCGATCACAAACATGGGGATGGTGAGGAGGGTGAGGTCATGAATGACCCCATGGTTTCTGCCTGGGTGGTTAGTGGTGGCTTTCAGAAATACGGGGACTACAAGAAGTCTAGGAGTGGGGACTGGGGCGTGAAGAATTCTATTTGACATGGTAGGTTTATCTTACCTAATTACTCTTATATATGCCTTAACATTATACTGTAAATCCCCAAATGCAAAGGAGGTGCAGATCGTCTGCTATTCGTAACTACTGAGGCTAATGTAAGTCAGATGACTCTTCAGATGCATGTAAAGATACTTAGATTCAAACTTTGATAGCAACATTGGAGAAAGAAGCTTAAAACTGTAATGAAGACATGGATATTTCTGGTTTGTTTTTTTTAAATTATATACATTTAATGAAAGATTTTTCATTAAAAATCTTAAAATCAAGAAAGTTCAACAAATATATATCCATCATCCACTATGTGTAAGTCACTGTGGAAAACTTTAGCCTGAACAAAAAAACTAAGGAGAATCATGACCAGTGTCAATAAACATCTGAGAAGTTGATATGAGAACATTTCTCAGTCAGTCACTCTATTCGCCAGTGGAACGAGATGGCTAAGGAAACAGCCACTCCAGCGCCAGCAGGATTTAAGAAGAGGCCTGATAACCTCCTGATGGGGATGTAAACAGGGATGCTGACACCTGCTGGCCCTGCGCTGTGCCAGGCATTGTGCTCTAAGCATTTCATATTGTCCGCATTAGATGTGTCACAATATTCCTAAGAAGTAGAGATGATTATTACTACGAGGTGGATGGTAAAAAAATTTCTATAGGTGTAGAATGATTCCAACCATCAGTTGGAAGGTTGAAATACCTCCTAAGGAATCTCCAATTCTAGCCTATCTGATTTTATATCAACATAAAGCCTACAATTAAAAGCATCAATTGGTTTATGCATTATTAGAGAAGCAAGCGATGCCATTTCCTAGTAATTGATATACAATACTGTGATGTTTCCGAAATATGAGTTTGATGTACCATTCAAAACAACTCTACCCAGCCCTGGCCAGTTTGGCTCAGCGGTTAGAGCGTCGGCCTGCGGTCCTGAGAGACCCAGGTTCGGTTCCCGCTAAGGGCATGTACGTCGGTTGTAGTTTGTCCCTGGCCCTGGTTGGTCGTGCGGGTGGCAGCCACTCGATGTTTCCCTCTCTCTCTCTTCCTCTCTCTCCCTCCCACTCTGTCTGTACAAAAAAAAAAGGAAAAATGTCCTCAGGTGAGGATAAAAAATAAAAATAAAAAAAACCACAACAAAACAACTCTACCCATATAAAATAAACATTAAGGACCTGGCCAGTTTGGCTCAGCGGTTAGAGCGTTGGCCTGTGGTCCGGAGAGACCTGGGTTCGGTTCCCGCTAAGGGCATGTACTTCGGTTGCGGTTTGTCCCCAGCCCTGGTTGGTTGTGCGGGTGGCAGCCACTTGATGTGTCCCTTCACATCGATGTTTCTCTCTCTTTCTCTCCCTTCCTCTCTCTCCCTCCCACTCTATCTGTACAAAAAATGGAAAAATACCCTTGGGTGAGGATAAAAAAACAAAACAAAACAAAAAAACATTAAGGATCGTTCTATGGAAAAGATTGAGAAAAAAATATTATGAAGAAAAATTTAGGTTAGGGCAACTGGAGAGTACTTCCCCCTGCGTTCTAATCCCAACGTCTATGCTCGATTTCTTCATCTCTAAATTAGGGACAATAATGGCATCTACTAATAGGATTATTGTAGAGTTAAACGAGACAGTACAGTGCCTGGCACCGTGTGAGTACACATTTTAGCTATTGTTACCATCACCTCTACAGACCTGCTGAAAAACATCCTCTTTGGGGTCACGCGTGGCCCCTGCCGGAAGGGTGCGCACATGGGCCCCCTCGCTGTCGCTGGTGACAGACGACCTGCACTCGGGGCCGTGCAGCAGGTCGTCCCACAGCATGTCCTCGGTCTCCGAGTCGTGGCGCGTGCTCTCCGAGTCTCTTCGCGACATGCTGAGGCTTCGAGCGCCACCGTCCACACCGGATCGAGAGCCCTTTAAAGGAAAGCAGACTGTCTTTCATTCATTTTTAGAAACAATTATGTATCTGAAATAAAATTAAAACAACTTATTTAAGGCGATGGCTGGCAAGCTCTCAGAAGTCGATGACCAAGTGTTTTATTCATTTGTTCACTAGGATTCAAACAATAATAGCCAATAATATTAAAATGGTAAACTCTGATGGCTCTCTAACAAGCAGGAGTTTAAAACGACTCCCTTGGAATCACTTTGTAAATTACAGAAAAATCTAACTCCCATGCTGTACACCTGAAACTAATATAATATTGGCTGTCAATTTAATTGAAATTTAAAAAATATATTTCTAAAGTAAAAAAAAAAAAAAATGTACCATCATATGTAGATAAGATTGATAAATGAATGAATGAATGTATTAAAAGGCTCCCTCTAAGAAGCCATTGCCAAGTCAGGGGATCGTCCAACACGGTGCCGGAGTGAGAGGCCCCAGAAGCACACGCGGCGGTCCCCCTGCAGGGAGGCACGACCGAGCCCTGACACACGAGGTTCCCTTCTCGGGATACTGTGAGCGGACTGGACAGCTAGTCACGTGGATAACCATGTTTGTCCTGTGCTACAAACAAAGACAAAAGTTCTTCCCTGACCTCAGCTGCCTTACCAGTCAAAAAGAAAACCACACCACCATCTACTCTGCTCACCCCTGAATTATAATATTCCAAATGTACAACATGCCCATTAGCTTTCATTGATGGGATTTTCTGCTCCCATCTCTCTTTCCCAAAAATCTGTCCTCATCAAATTTAAACTTCATATTTTAGATGCACAGTAAGCAAGCTTTTCATTGTTTGAGGACTGAGTAGCCTCTTTCTAAGCATCACCTGTGATACTTTTAAGATTAGGTAAAAATGGGGGCAGTTGGTAAAGGGGCCAAATATACGGTGATGGAAGGTGGTTTGACGCTGGATGGTGGGCACACAATGCAGTATACCCATCATGTATCATAGTGCACTTGAAACCTAAGTAATCTTATCTCCAATAAATTTAATTTAAAAATAAAATAAATGCCCAGCTGGTGTGGCTCGGTGGATTGAGCATCGTCCCATGGACTGAGAGGTCAGGTTTGATTCCTGGTCAGGGCACATGCCCGGGTTACAGGCTCCATCCTCAGTAGGGGGCGTGCAGGAGGCAGCTGCTCAATGTTTCTCTCTCACATCGATGTCTCTCTCTCTCTCTCTCTCTCTCTCCCCCCCTTCCTAAGATACCAAATGAAAAAATATTAATAAAAATAAACAAAGAAAAGTGTAGGCCAAAATGAGAAGAATTCGTTCTCTTTCTGGGGGTGAGTGGTCACACAGGAGTTGTTAGCTAGATGGACAGGGAGCTGGAGGCAGGAGAGGGGCAGGCCAACGCAAACCCCACTTTGGGACAACTCATTTAAAAAGGAATGGGCAAACGTATTACACTTGAGAATACGCCTTGGCCGGTGACGTCTCTAACGGATTCATACCTGACTGATGAAGGCTGCTGACTCAAATTCTGATTCGACCAGACTGTCTGAATCCCGCACAATATGACACCACTTGGTAGTGGTTTTCATTACCTGCCAAAAATCAAGCCAATGCACAATAGGACACATGTTAAACTGACTTAGAAGTTAATCCCTAGACTTTTATAAAATAAAATAAAATCACCTGAGAGTCCGTGTGCCTTGGAAGTACTGGTTTTCTAGTCTTGACTTCACAGCCATTGTCACTCGAGGCCCCTTCCACGCTCCGACGCAGCATCATCATCTGTGTCCGGGCTTCGCCGTCTTCCTCACTGGACAGGTCATCTGACATCCCGTTACCCACACGCCTGAAAGCTTCCTACAAAGACAACAGCAATCCCTTCCCAGAAGACAGCTCAGCACACTCCAGAAAGCTGCACGCGCACAAACGAACGGCAAAATCGAGGAAGCAGTAAGTCAGCTCGTCCAAAACTAGACAAACCAACACACAGCCAGTGTAGCTCAGTGGCTGAGTGTCGACCCACAGACCAAGAGGCTGCTGGTTCAGTTCCTGCTCAGGGCACATGCCTGGCTTGTGGGCTCGATCCCCAGTATGGGGTGTGCATGAGGCAGACAATCGATGTTTCTATCTCCCTCTCCCTTCCTCTCTCTCTCTAAAAATCAATAAGACAGAGAAAGAAAGAGAGAGAGAAAAGGAAAGGAAGAAACTGACTTTGAAACTAAACAGCTTAAGTAATGAAGCAGTGTTATGGCGCGGTACGAAGCACAGGTGTGAGTAGTAAGTCAAACTCTTAAGTCTCAATCACCAGCCATGTAACCTTAGGCAAGTGAGTATCTTTCTGGGGCTCAGTTTTCTCATCTGAAAAGCAATAATAATACAAGCACCTGTGTCAGCAAAGTGAATGAAGTATATAAAGACTTAGAATGGTGCCTGGTTGTACGAATAACTAAAAAATAATAGCTATTTTTGTAATTACAAAATGCCACAGTTTAACAAATGAGAAAAAAAATTCAGGACTATAAAGAAGTATAGCTCGCTAAACAAAAATGGCAATAAATAAGTACATATCAATAATCACCTTAAACATAAATGGATTGAATGCTCCCATAAAATGACACAGAGTAGCTGATTGGATAAGAAAGCATGACTCATCTATATGTTGTTTACAAGAGACCCACCTCACAGCAATAGACTCACATAGGTTGAAAGTGAAGGGATGGAAAAAATTTTTCCAAGCAAATGGAAAGCAAAAAAAAGCTAGGGTAGCAATTCTCATACCTGATAAAATAGATTTCAAAATGAAGACCATAACTAGAGACAAAGAAGGCCACTACATAATATTGAAAGGATCTATCCAACAGGAAGATATAACCTTGATAAACATATATGCACCCAATATAGGAGCACCAAAATATATTAAAAATGTTCTGGAGGACTTCCAAGGAGAAATCGACAACAATACAATCATAGCAGGGGACTTCAACACCCCATTGACAGCACTGGATAGATCCTCTAGGCAAAAAATTAGCAAGAAAACAGAGACTCTAAATGAAGCACTAGACCAAATGGATTTAATAGATATCTACAGAGAATTACACCCCAAAACTACAGAATACACATTCTTCTCAAGTGCACATGGGACATTCTCAAAGATAGACCACATGACAGGACACAAACTAAATCTCTACAAGTTCAAGAAGATTGAAATCATATCAAGCATCTTCTCAGATCACAATGGCATGAAACTAGAAATCAATTGCAACAAGAACATGCAAAGACATTTCAACACATGGAGGCTAAATAGCATGTTATTAAACAATGAATGGGTCACCAAGGAGATCAAGGATGAAATTAAAAACTTCCTGGAAACCAATGAAAATGAACACACAACAACACAAAATCTATGGAATGCAGCGAAAGCAGTTCTGAGAGGGAAGTTCATAGCATTACAGGCCTACCTCAAAAAACAAGAAAAATTTCTAATTGACTGTATAACCTCACAACTTAAAGAATTAGAAAGCAAACAAAAAGAAAACCCCAGAGCAAGTAGAAGGAAGGAAATAGTAAAGATCAGAGCAGAAATAAATGACATAGAGACCAAAAAAACAATTCAAAGGATCAATGAAACAAAGAGCTGGTTTTTCGAAAAGATAAACAAGATTGATGGACCCTTAGCTAGACTCACCAAGAAACAAAGAGAGAGAGAGAGAACCCAAATACACAAAATCAGAAATGAAAGAGGAGAAGTAACAACTAACACCACGAAAATACAAAAGATCGTTAACAACTACTATGAACAACTATATGGCAACAAATTCTACAATCTAAGCGAAATGGACAAATTTCTAGAAACACACACTCTCCCAAAACTAGACCCGGAAGAGATAGAAAACTTGAACAGACCAATAACAACTAAGGAAATTGAAGAGGTAATCAAGACTCTCCCAGCAAACAAAAGCCCAGGCCCAGATGGCTTCACGGGGGAGTTTTACCGAATGTTCAAAAAAGAACTAATACCCATTCTCCTCAATTTCAAATAATTCAAGAAGAAGGAAGACTTCCAAACACGTTCTATGAGGCCAGCATAATTCTAATTCCAAAACCAGAAAAGGACACTATGAAGAAAGAAAACTACACGCCAATATCCCTGAACAAAATATTAGCAAATCGGATCCAAAAATACATCAAAAAATTATTCACCATGACCAAGTGGGATTCTCCAGGGATGCAAGGCTGGTACAATATTTGCAAATTAATAAACGTGATACACCACATAAACAAGATGAAGAATAAAAACCACATGATCATATCAATAGATGCTGAAAAAGCATTCAACAAAATCCAGCATCCATTTCTGATAAAAACACTCAGCAATGTAGGAATAGAGGGATCATATCTAGACATAATAAAGGCCATATATGAAAGACCTACAGCCAACATAATACTCAATGGACAGAAACTAAAAACATTTCCATTAAGAACAGGAACAAGACATGGATGTCCACTTTCATCACTCTTATTTAACATTGTACTGGAAGTCTTAGCCACAGCAATCAGACATGAAGAAAAAATAAAAGGGATCCAAATTGGAAAGGAGGAAGTGAAACTGTCATTATTTGCAGATGACATGATATTGTACATAGACAACCCTAAAGACTCCATCAAAAATCTACTAGACTTAATAAATGAATTTGGCAAAGTAGCAGGATACAAAATTAACGTCAAAAAATCCGACGGCATTCTTGTACACCAATGATGAACTCACAGAAAGAGAAACTGAAAAAACAATCCCATTTACCATCGTGCCAAAAAAATTAAGATACCTAGGAATAAACTTAACCAAAGAAGTAAAGGACCTATTTGCAGAAAACTACAGGTCATTGAAAAAAGAAATAGAGGAAGATATAAAAAAGTGGAAGCACATACCCTGTTCATGGATTGGAATAATTAACATCATTAAAATGTCCATACTACCCAAAGCAATCTATAGATTCAATGCAATCCCCATCAAAATACCAACGACATATTTCAAAGAACTAGAACAAATACTTCAAAAGTTCATATGGAACCAAAAAAGACCCCGATAGCCACAGCAATCTTGAAAAAGAAGAACAAAGTAGGTGGGATCACAATACCAGATATCAGGTTATACTACAAAGCGACTGTAACCAAAACGGCCTGGCACTGGCACAAAAACAGGCATATAGACCAGTGGAACAGAACTGAAAACCCAGAAATGGACCCAAGGCAATACGCTCAATTAATATTTGACAAAGGTGGCAAGAGCATACAGTGGAGTAAAGACAGCCTCTTTAATAAATGGTGTTGGGAAAATTGGACAGCTACATGCAAAAAAATGAAACTAGACCATCAACTTACACCATACACAAAAATAAACTCAAAATGGATAAAAGACTTAAATGTGACCTGTGAATCCATAAAAATTCTAGAAGAAAATGTAGGCAACAACATTTCGGACATCATACGGAGCAGAATTTTCACTGATACATCACCTAAGGCAACAGAAACAAAGGAAAAAATGAAAACATGGGACTACATCAAACTAAAAAGCTTCTGCACAGCAAAAGAAACAATCATCAAAATGGAAAGGCAACCCACTGTGTGGGAGAACATAATTGCCAATGATGTATCAGATAAGGGGTTAATTTCCAATATATATAGAGTGCTCATACAACTCAACAAAAGGAAGACAAAGAACCCAATTAAAAAATGGGCAGAGGAGCTGAATAGACACCTCTCCAAACAGGACATACAAATGGCCAAAAGACATATGAAGAAATGCTCAACATCACTAATCATCAGAGAGATGCAAATTAAAACAACAATGAAGTATCACCTCACACCTGTCAGAATGGCCGCCATCAACAAATCATCAAACAACAAGTGTTGGCGAGGGTGTGGAGAAAGGGGGACTCTGATACACTGCTAGTGGGAATGCAGACTGGTGCAGCCGCTGTGGAAAACAATATGGTGTTACCTCAAAAAATTAAAAATTGAACTTCCATTTGACCCAATGATCCCACTGCTAGGAATATACCCTAAGAAGCCTGAAACACCAATCAGGAAGAATATATGTACCCCCATGTTCATAGCAGCACTATTTACAATAGCTAAGATCTGGAAACAGCCCAAGTGTCCATCAGTAGACGAATGGATAAAAAAGCTGTGGTACATATATACAATGGAGTACTATGTAGCGGTAAGAAAGAAAGATCTCTTATCCTTTGAGACGACATGGAGGGACCTGGAAAGTATTATCCTAAGTGAAAGAAGCCAAGCAGAAAAAGACAAATACCACATGATCTCACTTATATACGGAATATAATGAACATAACAGTCTGAGGAATACAGTAGACCCAGAAAAATGGAAGTAGGGCACAGACTGACATCCCTCAGAAGAGGGGGTGGGGTGGTGGGAAGATATAAACCACAGAACTTATATGCATGTATGCATGACCAATGGACATGGACAACTAAGCCGGGAACGGGGTGGAGGTGGGGTGGGGAGGGGGCTGCCAATGGGGTAAAAAAGGTGAAATATCTGTAACAAAAAATAAATTAAAAATTTATAAAAAAAAAAAAAAAAGAAGTGTAGCTCATTTTAGACGCAGAGCAGAATGCCTGTCCCTAAACCTAGACAGATCCCACACACCACCCGTTGGACCAGGATGCAATCGACCAGCCCCACTGCGAGGGCCAATGTGACAACAACGCTAGTCCCAGACATGGGAAGAACAAGCTACAGTCTTCATGTGACGATCTCCCTTTCCTGTTCTGAGAGTGTACATGTCCCTTATTTGTTAAGACAAATTATATCAGCCTAGTAGCATCTATTTCATATCTCTAGCAGGGTCTGAGAACAGAAAAATTTAACACAGGAAAGAAAAGATTTTGTTATATTTATACCCTTCAAAATCTTACCCTATGGCACTTTTCTCCATCTGAAAACTTTGCTTTCTCTGTTTCTGGCCACGTTTTAATCTCCGGTCGACCCTGCCTCTTCTTAATGACAGGGCGCAGGCAGCTGGTGTCATTGTCGGTTTCCGTCCCTTTGTTACATATTAACTTTACTCTTTTAGCCCTTTTTTAAAAGAGAAAAAAAGATTATTGACTAGTGTTCTGAAATTAACACCTTCCATGAAATTCAGTAAATTCTGGATTTTCCTCCGAAAATCCAGAAAATTCAGAAATCATATTGTTAGACTTCTCACTTGCTCAGGGTAGAGAAAACAATCCAGTTATCTCTGTCTCCAAAGGCGGGGGTCAGTCAATGGAAAGGAACCTGTACTTTTCAGTTTCAAAAGGAAGCAGGTTCACGGTCCTCCACTTCCCCTCAAACACAGCGCCAGTCCCCTCACATGGCCTGTCGCTGCCACTCTGCAGGACGTCCTCCCTCTCCTGTCCCTCCGAGCCCCATAACTCTGGGCTCCTGCATGGCTCCCGCCGACGGCCTCACTCCAGGGGGTCACTGCCTCTGCCGGACTGCAGGGCCTGCCACCAGCAGGTGATCGCTGACAACTCGTGCGCACTGCGCACTGCGCACTGCACCCTGCCCGCCTCTTCCTAATGAGCCGGTAAAGCCACAGAGAAGGGATGCCCAGTGCCCAGCACGCGATTCAGTACGAGGAACTCACACACAACTAGAGTGTATATGTATCTTTCGAAAAATATGTGACCACACTTCATCTTCAAAATAGCAACTGTGAAATAACTCTCTTTTTGAGTCACACTCATTAACAGAGGACCAGTAAGTCTTACTCTGAGTCCCACCAGCGCTGCCGCAGCCTGCAAATCTGGAAGGAGGGAGAATGTCTTGGATCCACTCCCCTTGGGTCCCTCGCACAGCCCGTCACCACCAGCCTCCCGTCCTGCATCCCATTTCTAAGGCAGTATCAGCTTCTACACAGAAAAATATCTCATCCTGTTCAAGTCCTTTTTTCATAATTGGTGCACACAGCTTAAGATGTTTACCCTTTTAGAGCACCTATCTATATTTCTGTAATCCTGTGGTGCACAATCATTAAAGAACGAACAGAAGGAAACACTGGTGGTCGATGACTGGGCTTACGGCAGTGCGACAGACAGGGAGCCGTGTGCGGAGCGATCCAGCCTAGAGCCTTCGGGACTCACTGCGCCGAGGAGCTCACGCCAGGCACTGCCAGGCCTGACCAGACTCTGTGCTATGCAAACACTACTGTGAAGGCAAAATCAAGTACAAGTTCCATTGTAAGACTTCCCACCTGTTGCCAAAGAGAGTCCCCCAAAAACCACTAATAAAGGGTACAGGTTCCACAGTTTCTACTCCTCTGACTTTATCAGAGGAGTTATTTCCACTTTCTCGGTTCCCATCACCATTCACAGTTTTTCGTAATTTTCTATGAAAAAAGAAAAAATATTTCAACACTTTCAATTATTCAAGACCTTTTCTATTTCTGCCCAAAATATCCCCTCCAGAAAATTAAACTAACAGACTACCACCTGAAATTAAGTATAATGAACTTCATATAATGAGGACATATCTGCGGGGATATTTATGACTTAAGAGCAAAAATAGGTTCCAAACCAAAGACCTGTGCTATGATCTTGTTCAATCATTAAAGAAATAGAACTCCTATTCAAAAACATTACAAGCAAAACAACTTTCACCTAAAAGACTAAGACTCTTTTTAGGCACCACTAACTAGCAGAAAGAACAATTCCTTTAAACATGGATGTCGGAAATCTACTCATTTGGCACATTTAATCAGGAGAACCCAAAATAATAGCAACTGATCGCTCAGCACTGCTATCCTACGTAGTTAAAAGATACATCCTAGCCCTGGCTGGTGTGGCTCAGCAGTTAGAGCTCAGGCCAAGGACCGAAGGGTCGCAGGTTTGATTCCCAGTCAAGGGCATGCACCTGGGTTGCAGGTCTGATCCCTGGCCCTGGTCAAGGTTGTGCAGGAGGCAACCAATCAATGTGTCTCTATCACATCAATGTCTGTCTGTCTGTCTCTCTCTCTCCCCACCCCCCTCTCTCTCTCCATCCAGTCTATCTAAAAATCAATAGAAAAATAGCCATGGGTGAGGATTAACACACAACAAAAAAGATGCATCCTATAAATACCACTGAGACACAGCACAATATCTGATTCCCTAAGTAAACATTAAATCAACTGAACATAATTTTCAATAAATCTTTTTTTGGGGGGAAAAAGCTTGCTTTGAAAATAATACTCAAAAATAAGAATAAATATGTTGAAATTCGGTGCACCAAATGAAAAAGATCTTATTTAGTAACTACTTAGGGGAACAAAAATATCTACAGATACTCTGAGGAAAAAAATAATGTCACATATACCTAAGAAAACTAACAATTTCAAAACCCAAACATAGCACATAACCAATAAAAACATGACATGAAGTCAGTGTGTAGAAAAGTCAAATCAATTTTTATTGAAAGTTTAAAACACTTAGAAATCTCATGCAATATTGAGAAAAGGTGAAATTTTTAGTAGTACCCAACTGTACTAAGATCCATGTTTATAGTAAATTTTCACCAAATTTTGATTAAGACTGAATTTTGAAGAATGCCTTTTCAAAATCATTATTTGATCAATTTCAATAAAGTAATATAGAAAAAGTAATTTCCTTTTAAGCAACTGTACTAAATGACAAAATCCCACCTGGATTAAAGTTCATGACAAGGTTTCTTAGCATCAGGGAGAAAAGTGAAAAGCAAAGCATTCTTTTTTTTTTTTTTTTTTGTAGTCCCAAAATAATTTAAAATATATGCAAATCACAAGATTTTTTGTATTACTTTAATGAAAGATTTCCAGTGTCTATAACACCTCTCCCAGAAAATACACAGCTGCAGGCGAAAGGCCCACCTTCTCCTCCGACTCCCGTTGCTCCCCGCCGGCCTCGCTATCTGCGTGGACACCATCTGGCAGTGGACGGTTCCCATGAGTAACATAAGGCACAAGGGTCCGAGTACTTCACTCACATTCACAATAGGCATCATAAAATATAGCACAAGTGCTATAACTGAAAAGAAGAGGTTTCAAAATGTAAAACATTAGAGATCATCTTTAAAACCAATTCTAGTAATTATACAAATTATCTCTACAAAAATCTATCATTTTACAACGCACACAGGTAAAAGCAGTTTCCTACGACACAGTCTACCTGCACGTGAGCGGAGAGCCAGGGGCTCCTTCTGGCCGTGCGGTGGCCCGAGAAGGACACGCGCTGACGGTGCAGAGCGTGTAGTCCAGACAGACCACGGTACACGTGGAAACCTAACGTGCACAATTTATCCCAACATGAAAGAAATTCTTCCATAACACACACGTGGGAAAATATTTAGCTTTCCCCTTACAAGTGACCAAAGAAATGCACATTAAAGAAGCAAAACACTATTTGTGTGAATCAAATCATAACAATGTTTTAACCTATGATAATGCTGCTCAGACAATGGCAAAGCAGCTACTCTCGTCGACTATTTTCCAAAAGAATCGCGTCACCAGCAATTTCACTATGGGGGGGGGGGGCAAAGTAGGTCTATAATTGTCCATAAGGAAAATACAATAATTAATAAATAATAATGCAAGAATAAACTGTTTTGCTTGGCCAGTGGGGCTCAGAGGATTGAGCGTCATTCCATGAACTGAGAGGGCCCGGTTGGATTCCTGGTCAGGGCACATGCCCAGGGTTTCGGGCTCAATCCCCAGTTTCTCTCTTACATCAATGTTTCTCTCTCTCTCCCCCTTCCTCTCTCTCTAAAAAATCAATAAAAACAACTGTTTCACATATTCACAACTGTAAACCTACTTTTTTTTGTTAATGCCCACCAGAGGATACTTTTTCCATTGATTTTTAGATCGAGTGGAAGTGAGGGAGGGAGAGGGAGAGAAAGAGAGAGGTGGGGAAGGAGAGAGAGAGAAACATTGATGTGAGAGAAACACATCGATTGGTTAACTCCTGCACACACCCCAGCCAGGAGCCAGGGATCAAACCTGCAACCCTGGTACATGCCCTTGATCGGGAAATCAAACCTGTAACCCTTCTGTCCGGAGGCCGAAGCTCTAACCATTGACCATGCCAGCCAGGGCTGTAAACCTATTTTTGCCCACCCTGGATGTACTAAAATTCTTAAAATATTGACCCTCTTTGGTCTGTAAATGGTTTGAGAGAATAAATGCTAAAGAAATAATATAAAGTATGGAAATTTTTTGCTCATAATGGCGTTATTAAGAGGAAAAAAAAGTCAGAAAACCTAAATGCTCACAACTTGGAAACAGTTATGTAAATTATGAATCTGTAAAATTTTATATAATGAATATTGAACTATACAAAGGTATTCATGGTAAATCCATATGACAGACTATTTAAAATGAGTTTTAAATGACGATGTGCCCATATAATGGAATATTATACAGCCATTGAAATGATAGCTATGAAGACATAATCACAATTAAATAAAATGTAAATTCCGGTCCTTATTCACACAAACCACATGTCGAGCACCCAGCAGCCACGTGGCTGACAGTTACTGCACTGGGCATTGCAGAAGGTACAGAACATTTTCATCATCACAGAAATTCCACGAGACAGCACTGTCACAACTTTAAAAAACACTAAACTTACAGATTTGTAAATTTGTAGATTTATTTTTTCATTTTATAACTTAAAAAATTTCAGAAAAACCAATATAAAAAAAAACAAAAATCACTCTAAATTCCTTCACCCAACCCAGCCTTCACTATTCTTTGTTCTAACTCACATCTCTTTGTACAGGATAACCACAGTACACTGCCCACTTTCAGAACATGTCCTGACTCGGCATCAGCAACCCAGTGGTAAAGAGAACACACTGGTCCCTGCACAGAGACGAGGAAGCCACCAGCAGGCACTGATGTGTAAGAGAGGAATTAAAATCGACTCCTGTGACACTGCCTGGGGAAGGGGGGCTGTGCAAAGGCACAGAGAGGGACAGCCTCTCTATGAAGGTTACATCTCTCATCTGAGCTGAGAACTTGAAGATGAGAAAAAAGCTAGCCATGTGAAGACTTAAGATTGTTCCAGCCCTGGCTGGTTTGGCTCATCGGTTAGAGCATTGGCCTGCGGTCCGCAGAGACCCAGGTTCGGTTCCCGCTAAGGGCACGTACCTCGGTTGCAGTTTGTCCCCGGCCCTGGTTGGGTCATGTGGGTAGCAGCCACTCGATGTGTCAGTTTCACATCGATGTCTGTCTGACTCTCTCTCTCTCTCTCTCCCCCCCACTCCCTGCCTCCCTCCCACTCTATCTGAACAAAATATCGAAAAATGTCCTCAGGTGAGAATAAAAAAAAAAAAGATTGTTTCAGAAAGAAAAGCTCTGTGTGAGGGACAGAAAAAAGGCCATTATGCCTGTGTGAGCTCGGAGGAGAATGGTCAGACGTGACATCTGAGAGGTCAGCAGGGAGCAGGTCACGTGGGGCACTGAGGCCACGGTGAGGAGTTTGGGGTTTTATTCTACAGGAAACAAGAAGTCACTGAAGGATTTTAAGCGGGAACATGACATGGTGTGGTTTCTGTGTAGAAGATGTCTCTGAGTGCTGTGAGTGGTCAGCAGAAAGAAGACTCAGATGTGTTCCAATGGTCCACGCAGAGATGCTGGTGCTGTGGTCTGTGGTGGTGGCAGGGACATAAGTAGAGTCGAGACATATTTTGGAGATCGAACTTACAGATTTGGTGACAGACTGGATGTGAGAGCTGATGGCAGGGAAGAATAGAAAGACAATTTTTCACTTGGGAACTGGGTGGCTGATGAAATCATTTAATGAAATGTAAGAAGTCCTAAAAAGGAACTAGCTTATACCAAACAAACAAGTCTGTGAAAAAATTCTAGAGTTCCATTTTGGATATGACTAAGTTCGAGATGCCTAGTAAATCTTGCATTTACGAGTCTGAAGTCCAGCAGAGCTCTGAAGATAAAATGTGAGAATCATCAGTCTACCAATTATATTTAAAGCAATGGGACTTGATGAAAATACCTAAAGAAGAGAAGAGAATCTGGGATCCGCACTTGAGGTGATACAATATTCAAATGTCAGACAGAAGAAAAGACTGAGGAGCCCGGCCAGTGAGGCAGGTGGGAAGAAATTCGAGAGAGGAGAGTTGGATGGTGAGTGGTCTCTGAGCAGATAATCTGAAGATGATCTCCAGATACTGTTGTCCCTTTATTTCTTTGTACTTTAAACCACCAAATGAAAGGGTAAGTGAAAGAACAGTAAGGTCTGCACCACCTAACAGCAAAAAGGAGCCGTCATAACTTACTCCAGCTCCTCCAATTACCTTGCATGAGGTAAAGCAGTAGCAGCCAGACAAAGATTCGTATCGAGGTAACCTGAATCCACCAATTGCTGAACAGTGGGAAAAATACAACTCGAACAAGCCCCTTCCGAGTCAGAGATGTCCATGGAATTTCGGGTTTGGCTTTGGCAAATGTTGAGCCTTAAAATATACAATAGAACAAAACATCAAACATTTACATACACTACCAACTAATGCCCACTTGAAACACTATTAAAAACAGGCGAGAGCAAAAATCTGCACATTAAAAAAAATCAGCATATAGCCTATTCGGTTAAAAAGAATCCTCTTAGGCGAAGTAACGTCCATCTAAGAGGATTCTTAGATGTAATAACTTATGTCTAAGAGAACTCTCAGATGTACTAACTTCTTGCCTCAATCATGAGGACAGAAGGTCAAAATAAGTCAGGCTCACTTGAATGTTATACAATCCTGTGTATTCGTCTTAATTGTACGTTCATCCCTCCCTCTGGACCCTTCGGAAACCATGTAATTTACGCAGCCACACGGCACTAAAGCAAAGGGGACAAAATGCTAAAGCCTGAATGATGAGTAAGAAGATTACTTTTGCAAATGTAAGTACATTATCACATAGAGACACTACCTAAACTAATCTTTAGTACCACTATAAAATAATAATATCCATGAGACACAAACCAAATTCAGAACTCACCTCTGATTAAGTCAACATCAATCAAGTCTGGCTTTATGTGACCCATCTTTTTTGGTTTGTTTTTGAAGCCCTAGGATGAAAACAGAAACAGAAATAAAGAAATAAAAGCCCTTTTAAATACAAAAGGTAAACATGTTTCTTTTTCTCTATATCTGACTCCCTCTTACTGAGGATACTCAACCTTAAAGCTCCTTAAAGGAACTTGTTATTAATATTTATTTTGTTTTAATTTTTAGTTTTATAAAGTAAAGCATGCACACACTTTTGTCACTCAAAAATAATCACACACTACAAAAATATCAGTAAGGGAAAGACAGTAATGCCCTGATCTCCTCTCCAAATTTCATTTATTTACAAATATATATATCTTTTTTTAGCTATTTCTCTTGGTATTTACTTCCATACATCTAAATAATATATTTATAATACTATTTTTTAATGTATTGATTTTAGAAATCATCTTATAGAATGGGGTAAAAGTGGGTTTACAGTTGTGAGTACACAAAACACAGAGTTTATTCTTTTTTTAATTTTTTTATCCTCACCCGAGGACATTTTTCCATTTTTTGTACAGCTAGAGTGGGAGGGAGAGAGAGGAAGGGAGAGAGAGAGAGAAACATCGATGTGAAGGGACACATCGAGTGGCTGCCACCCGCACGACCAACCAGGGCCGGGGACAAATTGCAACCGAGGTACATGCCCTTAGCGGGAACCGAACCCGGGTCTCTCCGGACCGCAGGCCGACGCTCTAACCGCTGAGCCAAACCGGCCAGGGCCAGAGTTTATTCTTGTTATTCATTCATCGCTGAATTATTTTCCATTTAAACTGTAAACCTATTTTTGCCCCACCCTATAGTATATGAAAATTTAACTCTTTCACCACTAATCCCCACATCCTAACTTCCACCCCAAAAACATATATCCTCATAATATAGTAATATTGATTTTTTTGATAAATCAGTAATAGTATGATCACCATGAAATATCATTCCCTGTAAGATATATATATATGTGTATATATATGTATATGTGTGTGTATATATATATGTGTATATATGTATACACACACACATGTGTGTGTGTATTTTTTTTTTTTCCTCACCTAAGGACGTTTTTCCACTTTTGTTCAGAAAGAGTGGGAGGGAAGGTGGGGGGTAGAGAGAGAGAGAAACATTGACGTAAAAGGGACATCGAGTGGCTGTCACCCACACAACCCAACCAGGGCCGGGGACAAACTGCAACCAAAGTACATGCCCTTAGTGGGAACCGAACCCGGGTCTCTCTGGACCGCAGGCTGATGCTCTAACCACTTAACGAAACCGGCCAGGGCCCTGTAAGCTATATTTTATATTCTTCCATGTACTCTATGAGGTTAGTACAAATATTTACCATTTTTGAAATACTGAATGCTAGAGAATTAATCAAAGTTTTTTCTAAAAAAAAATTCCTGAAAGCCCCCTTCCCAGAACCCTCCACCTTCCGGCTCCCCGGCCTGCGGCACAGCTGTGACCCCGGGGCTCCTTTGCGGGCCCGACAACTGTCACCTCTCTGGTGTGGCGGATCTCTAGCTCCCAAGTCCACGCCTTGGAGCACATCCATGTCTGCACATGAGTCCATTCTACCCTCAGACCTTGTTAAAGGTTACAGTAGATACAGAATTCTAAACTGTTTACAGTTTCCCTCAGGAATGAAGACGCTGCCCACTGTTCTCTGGCTTCAGTGTTGCTGCTGCAAACGCCAATGCAGTGGATTCCTGAGAAATGCGTCTGTCCTCCGATCCCCCCCACTCACGGGGCTTCGTCAAGGACAAAGAACTTCATAATGACGTGTCTTGCTATGCATCCTCTACCCACCGTTGCGCTGAGAGTCTCTTCTACGTGAGAATTCATGTCTTTCTGTTTTAGGGAAGTTTCTTTATAATGTATTTTTATATTTCTTCCTTTCTAAGACAAAACTTCTCTCCTGTTTTCTAGCTTTCTGTGTCTTTTTGTCCTGCTTTCTGGAAATTTCCTCAAATTCTTCTATTAAATTTTTCATTTTGATTTTTTGGGTTCATTTCTTTGAGGATTTCATATTGGAGGATTTCTTCAAATATCTAGTAATCATTGGTTGTCTATTTAAATATTAGAATGAGGAGCTAAAGACCCGAGGAACGCAATATTCTACTTCTCGGCATAGGCCCAAGAGAAACGTGTGCACATTTCACTAAATAATGTACACAAAATGTTCATAAATGTATTCTTTATAAGTACCCTAAAATGTAAATTACCCATCATATGAAGTACGTGGTAATTTTCCACTAACAGTAAAATGGATAAACAACTGTGGTGTTATACTGAATAAACTAAATTACGCAACAGATGAATGAAACTGACAAACATAATACTGAACAAAAGATACCAGACTCGGTCATCACCCTATTTCAGAAGATGCTGTGATCACCTCCAACTCCAACCCTCACAACACCCTGTAGTGCAGCAGCAATAGATATTTTTTTTTTAAAGTTATTTTTTTATTTATTTTTTATTTTTTTATTTTTTTTTATCCTCACCTGAGGATATTTTTCCATATTTTGTACAGATAGAGCGAGAGGGAGAGAGAGGAAGAGAGAGAGAGAGAAACATCGATGTGAAGGGACACATCGAGTGGCTGCCACCCGCACGACCAACCAGGGCCGGGGACAAACTGCAACCGAGGTACATGCCCTTAGTGGGAACCGAACCCGGGTCTCTCCGGACCGCAGGCCGACGCTCTAACCGCTGAGCCAAACCGGCCAGGGCGCAATAGATATTTTGACACACACACAAAAAAGGAAAGAAATTAGACTCAAAAGTGTACGTGTTGCATGATCTTATCTACATGCAGCTCAAAAGAGGCAACGTTAATGACTGTGCTAGTATCAGGACACTGGTCTCCTCGCTGGCGCCAGTGACGGGAAGCCGCCTGAGGGGGTTTCTGTGGGATGAACGGTCCACGTCTTGATTTGAGTCACGTTCAGTTGGTGAAAATTTCTCAAGTTGTATACTTAAAACTCTTATAAGTATATCCATATTTACTGAATGTGTTTTACTTCAATAAAAAATTCTTAAAACTTATTGAAAGCTCTGTGTATGTGAGTGTGGCTCACGATTTGGGCTTCACTGCAGAACAACCACATAGGAACTTGAGCAAATCACTGAATGTCACTAGCTGGAGGCGATTTTTTCTGAGAATCATCATGGAATCATCAATTATCAAAATCTGGAGGTCGCCCTGGCCAGTTTGGCTCAGCGGTTAGAGCGTCGGCCTGCGGTCCAGAGAGACCCGGGTTCGGTTCCTGCTAAGGGCATGTACCTCGGTTGCAGTTTGTCCCCGGCCCTGGTCGGTTGTGCAGGTGGCAGCCACTTGATGTGTCCCTTTCACATCGATGTTTCTCTCTCTCTCTCTGTTCCTCTCTCTCCCTCCCACTCTACCTGAACAAAAAATGGAAAAATGTCCTCAGGTGAGGATAAATAATAAAAAAAAACAAAAACAAAAACCTGGAGGTCATTCAAAATAATCTATCACTATTTGAAGATGACATGATACTATATATAGCAAACCCTAAAGAACCCACCAAAAATTAAGAGAATTGATAAAAGAATTCAGTCAAATGGCAGGATACAAAATTAATATAGAGAAATTCATCACATTCCTATACACTAACAACAATCAGAGAATTTAAGAAAACAACTGCATTTACAATTACATCAAAAAGAATAAAATGGACTTCTGGTCAAGATGGCAAAGTGGGTAAAATTTGTGCTCTCCTCCTCCCACAACCACATCAGAATTACAACTAAATTGCTGATCCACCACCCTAGAGAACCATCTGAAGACTAGCTGAACAGAAGTCCTATAACTAACTGGTAGGAGGGGTGGGGATGTTGAAAGGGGCAGGTCCCGCACCTACCAGTGGCAGTTAAGAAACAAGATGGATATCTTGGCTAAGGAGCGACACACCAGGCTCCCCAGCCCAGAGTTCCACTGCTGGGAAGTGAAGTCCCTACAACATCTGGCTGTGAAACCAGCCGGGACTGCATCTGACTTACAAACTCATGGCCACTGGGCTCCAGCACAGAAACAGCACCTTGAAAAGTGCCAAGGACATAAGGGGAAGAGCTAAATTAACTGGCTTCAGGGCAAGGGTTAAAGGGGCAGAGTCAGGGTACCTCCCCTCCAGGGACAAAGTGCTGGCAGATGCTATTGTTCCCTTGTTGAGCCCTCCCACACCAAGCCAGCAGGTGCAGGCAGGCATCAAATCTGAGCTCTGAATTAACCTGGCTAACACCATTCACCCTGCCCCACCCAACTCACATGTGGAGCCTGAACCTTTTCCAGTGGCTCTACCACAAGTAGCCTGCCTTGGCTTGAACTGCAAACCTTCCTAAAATCTCTCAAAGGTCCACAAACCCCAAACAAGCAGTGGCTGGCTTTGACATGCCCTGTACCTCTTGCTGAGCTATTCCAAGCCTGGCACAAGCAGTGACTCATCTCAACTTGTACTGTAACTCTCATCAGGTAGTCTGAAGCCTGGTGTAAGCAGTGGCCAGTCTTGACTTGGAACTACGCTGCCACAAACATGGAACAAATGGCAGCTGGCCTCAGCTTATATCATGTTGCCCACCAAAGAATCCCAAGCCCAACAATAGTGATAGCCCACCTCAATGCACAGAATAGCCCCTCCCAAGCACCTCTAAGCCCAGTACAATCAGCAACCAACTACAGATCACTCCGTAGCTCCTACCAGACAGCCCCAAGGCTGGCACAAGAAGAAGTTGACCTTGACCTGCACCAGAGCCCCTCCCCAAAGGCTCCAGAATCAACACACCTGGTGGCCAGTTTGGAGACCACACCAGAGCACCACCCAACAAATTCCACAAATGATACACCCAAGGGGTGTACTTGGCTGGCACTAGACCCTGCTAAAGCAGTTCCCATCAGCCCCTGCACAACAGCTCATCCAATATAGACATGGCCATCCCTCAAAGCCAGTCAGCCTGAGGGTCAATCCCACCCACCAACATGCCAACAGCAATCAAGTCTCAACTA